AGAGAGAGAGAGAGAGAGAGAGAGAGAGAGAGAGTTTTCTTAATTCCTTTCCACATTAGAATTTATTTGCAACCTCACAAAAATCCACTACAGTGCTGAGATAGCGGCCAAACATAATGACAACATATTATTTATATTTATAGTTCATTTCAGCATACAATATACACTTATATGACATAGTATAATTATAAATAAATAATACAAATTTTTATTAAAAACAATAACACATATTGTTTGTAATAAAGACTTGTGTTTTGTAATAAAGACTTGTATTTTTTTATTTTATTTTATGAGTGATGATTTTAAAAATCAGCGGCACCATAACCTTTCCATTAACTATATATGTATGACTTATACATTATAAGAAAAAATTATTTTTGTAATAAAATATTTTTGTCTCTAAATATACTTTTTCCGTTATTAATGACATTGGAGATGGAATTAGGAATAGAATTACGTTAGCTACATGAACTTTAGGGACGAAATTCCGTTATAAATATATTATTTTTTTGTAGTGATATATTTATATTAAAAAAATTAAAAATATTATTTTATAGTATAAAATACTAAGATCATCCGCCATGTCACTATTTTAAAAAAAAAATAAAAATGGAGAGATATTATCCAATTGCCATGCGACACTTACACTACAAAAAAAAAAATATATTTGTAACGGAATTTCGTTACTAAAGTTCACGTAGCTAACGTAATTTCATCTCTAATTCCGTCTCTAATATCATTAGTAACAGAAAAAGTGATTTAGGAACGAAAAAATTTCGTTACAAAATTGATAATATCTTGTAGTGTTATGTATATATATGTATATACATATATGATATATATTATATATGTTTTTTTTTGTAAATTATATTGAATTTATTGTTATATTTAAATTTTATAATATTTTTTATAATTCATAATATTTTGTATTCTACAAAATGATACCACTATTGAATATATTTTATCAATTTAAATTTTAAAATATATAAATACAAAAAAATTTAATTATTATTTTTATATTTTATTTTTTTAATTAACCAATAATAATTATAACAATAAAAATACAAATTTCATATTAAAATTAAAATTTAAAAATAAATTAAAACTAAATGTAATTAAATAATAAATAATAATTTTTTTTCATAATTTTTTAATAAATCAAAATATTGATAAATAATAATATAATATAATATAATATAATATAATAATTAATTAAATAAATAATACTAAAAATTATAATTATAATTAAAAAATTATATATATATATATAATATGAAAAAAAATTATTAAAAAATTAACTTAAATATATTTGTTGTGAATATAAAATAGAAAAAAATAATAATAGTAGCAAATAATATGGATAATAATAGTAGCAAATAATATGGATAATAAAAAGTAGCAAATATACCTTGCGGATGGTCTAAGGTTTCTCTGTCACTGATGTGGTTGCCCTAAATTTAAAGGGGGCCGAGTGGATTGGAGAGACAGTGAGCTGGCGAGGTGTGATTGGATACCGGCCTAATAATGGATGCATGCACATGAGTAGTACTATATGTTTGAATTTAGCCAAGGCTGTCGGAAGATTAAACACTACTACTTAGCTAATTAGCTTCTTCCTATAGATATTTCGTCATGGGATACGCACACACGTTCACACGCACTTCATGCATGCATATATCTTCATATATATTGTAGACAAAAAAAAAATGTGTTATATTTTTATAAATACAAAATTTGTATAAATTATATTTAATTTAAATATATGCGAGACCTATTCTCTATTCGAATCCTTTTATTTTTTTCCTGGGTCGATCTATTTTTTTAATTTGAATTTGGGTGGCTTCTTTGATCCGAAGGGATTTTGGTCTTCGGTTTGACTTCGCCGGCTTTTGGAAGACTTTGGTATCCGTGTTGGCGATTTTGATCGTCGACTTTGGATTGATGCCTCATTTGGATGATCCGACGGAATTTGACATTTGAGGGGAATTTGGTGCTCCATAACGCTTTTGGCGGCATGTCCCTTTGACTATTGGATCGAAGAGGGCCGAGTTTGCACCTTTGACGAAGAATGCGATGAACATCTTGAAGTTTTGGGAGCGACTTTGGAGGTTCTTCATTGGCTTTGATGGATTCCTCGATGGCTTTGGGAGCTTTGATCATTTCTTCGGCTCGGGCATACGACGAAGAACGCTTCGAAGGACACGAAAAACAATGAAAAACATTGCAAAGAGTCTAAAGAGACTTACCCTTGTGTGAGTCTTCAAATGAACTTCGGTGTGTAATGAATTGGCCAAGGCTCCTATTTATAGGGAGGGTGGCCTTGGCTTTCTTTTCGGATAGTGCCACGTGGGTGAAAAGATTTTATAATCTTTTCATTTTCCATCTGTTTTTCATTATTGACAGATTTGATTGCGCACCTTCTTTTCTTGCCAAAATCTTTATATCATTGTTTTTTTTGGAAGATATTAATTTATATACTTTCTTTATTGACAAGATCTTTATATCATTGTCTTTTTTGGAAGATATTAATTTATATACTTCCTTTATTGACAATATTAATTTATTTTGCTGCCAAATTTATTATGATTTTATTTATGTACGTAATATCTGTACGGTATCTTCCATTTTAAGCAGATTTTTACATTAACGGTTGATATTTATTGTACAAAAATTAACATTTGTGCATAATTAAATACCATATATTTATATCATTGAATTTTATTTTCTTCCAAAATATATGATATTTAATTTAATTTAGACATTTAATTTTTAATGCATATATATATATATATAAATATAAATTAATAAAAATAAATATGTGGATATGGTTGAACAGACAATATTACTAATTATTGATTGCATTTGCATGCCTGGAATTGCAATTCAATTAACTCTCATTGATCCCACCTACGTACATATGTAGTTTGTCTATATATTATCTCCAAAACAATATATATATATATATATATGTGTGTGTGTGTGTCGATCTCAGCTCTTTAATTAATTCTTCAGATAGATTATTGTTAATTTTCATGTGTGAACAGTTAATTAGTTTAATTATAAATTAATATATTTCTAGTTACGTAGCTTAATTAGCTAGGTAGGGCGAGTAGTGATCGGTACGTAGGTGTTGTGTTCTGTTCTGTTGGGTGTTCTAAATAATAAGTATTACATATAAATCCCTGTCTTCATTTTATAATTAATTGGTTTTATTGAATGAGATTATTACAATATAATACTACTTATTTGAATCGATCTTTACAATATACTATAACATACTGGTATTATGAGTTGAAGATGGACAAATATAATAAATAAATAATTAAACCTTATTATTGAGCAGTATATAATCAAAGGTTTCCGACTAGAAAATGTTTGCAAGGTGGGTCCCTCTCCCTCTCCCTCTCCGTTGTAGGTAGCTAGGCCAGGCCAGGCCATAGGGACTCTTGTTTCTTCTCCGATCCATTCCATTCACTCATATATACAACTGATCAGTTCACACTATTGCTAGGCCATGTTCACGTGATTCACGTACGGAGGGGAATACATCAAAGGGTGTGTTTGTTTGGGGATTTGGATTTTGAATTGGGATTTTAATAGTAAAAATTTTGAATTTGGATAGTTGTATGATACCGATATAAATAGGTGTTGATGTGATATTTTGAATGTAAAATTGATTTTTAGTATAATATAAAAAATGAAAAATAGGTGTTTGATTTGATATTTTTGGGAAAAAAAAAATGAGATGAACAGTGGAAATCTAATTCAATCCCCAAACAAACACACCCTTTAATTTTTGTCATTTACATATAATTTTTCTATGGTGGTTAATAAGAGACTGGAGTGACAAAGGAAAATTACAATATTCTCCCTCCCTCCCTCCCTCCACCGAAATTATTCTTATTTTCATACAAAGCAATGGTGGGCTAATCAAAGTTGTCCATTGTTTCAAGAGAAAGACAATGAGTTTAGTTACTTGGTATTGTTGGATGAATTTATTGTTGTATGTTATGTATGAAATTTTATGACATAATATAAAAAATAATATTTTTTATTTAATTATTGAATTTTTATAAGTAAAAAATGTTTAAATATTATATATAATATATTTTATAAACAAAGCCAATATGTAGTACCAAATGCACGTCTAAACCGGGTCCATTGAAATTGGATTCTGGATGGGACCCGCCTAACGAACAATCAATACATTATTATGCATCTTATTTCTAGTCTAATTGTAGATACGTAATATACTATACATAGATACATAGATGTATAGACGTATCAAAGCACACTTAATATTTAATAATTCTTTCCGATCGATCCACCCGACCCACATATTGTATGTACAATTGAATCGAATCGAGTGGACATCATTTGACAACGAGTCGATTCATATCAAATTGAATATTTTTATTGTCGTATCAGGTTCGTATTGACCCGTATATTTAATTGAGTCAAAACTTTTGATTCAAATGTAATTATTTTTGTCGAATTCTCGTGTTATATTAATTTTTTGTCGATTTTAACGTAATGTGTATAGAGAATTTGGTTGAATTATTTAAAAAATAAATTAAATTTAAATTAATTAAAATATGGATTAATTATCAAATTTGAATCATTTTACATATATATATATAATAAATATATTAATTAATATTGATATATTATAATCAAATTGTCACATCGGATTCAAGTTGAAGACCTCAACCAATTCGACATGTCTACTTATTATCATATAGAGTTTGTATCAACATATATTTATATATATATATATATCGGATCAAAATTCTTAATCCAAATGTAATTATTTGATATTAAATTCGTGTCAAATTATGGTGTCAGTTTTTCCGGTTCTGACAACGTTAAATTCGCTTGTGTTTGGAGTTAGGGAGGGACCAAGCTGATAAGACACCCTCCCTCGTATTCCTCGAACGCGGTTACTGTTGTCTATAAATTCAATTCCTTTTCTTCCCACATATATGCACCCCACACAATTACTCATTTTATTAACTTAATTTTATTTTTATTTATTTTTACTGTCTGTAACGATCGATCGAGCATGCAGCAGCAGCAGGATACAACCATCTCCACGCTTCTGCAATTCATCCTCCAAAGCCAGAAGGAGTGGTGGAGCTACGCCATCTTCTGGCGGGCCTCCGACGAGCTCGGCCGCCTTTATCTCTCCTGGGGCGCCGGCTATTGCCAAGACACCAAATCCAAATCAACTTCTAATAATAATAATAATAAATTTTACGATGATGCTGGGATTAAGGAGATCGGCCAGCTCTTCGGAGGCGACGACGATGACCAGCCGGAGTGGTTCTACATGGGCTCCATAACCAGGTCCTTTTCAGCTGCAAACGAGGCCGTTTTCCACACCTTCACTAGCGGCGCCGCCGTCTGGCTCCACGGCGATCGAATGCTTCAATTCTCCAACACCGAGAGGGCCAGAGAAGCCCGACTACATGGAATTCAGACACTCCTTTTCGTCCCCATTATTTCTTGCGGTGTCGTCGAGTTAGGCTCCTCCGATTCCATCAAGGAAGATTATGGCCTCTTCCAATTCATCACCACCACCTTCAATCCTCTGCAAACCCAGATTCATCCCACGGGGACACTTAATTACAACGCCGCCGCCGCCGGGAAGTCGTCTTCCAACTCCGGCAACAATTCCGACATTAATTCAGCTAAACCCTATTACTCATGTCCTAACACCAAAAGTACCAGAAAAAGGGGGAGAAACAATAACTACAATTACAATTACTATTACAAATCAGGCAATAATCGTGTCTGCAGGGATGAGCAGCAGACGACGACGCCGGCGGCGACAAGCCACATCGAGGCGGAGAGGCAGCGGCGGGAGAAGCTGAACCAGCGGTTCTACGCTCTCCGGAGCGTCGTCCCCAACGTGTCTAAAATGGACAAGGCCTCACTGCTAGCCGACGCCGTTTCTTACATCAATCAGCTCAAGTCCAAGGTTTCCAATCTCGAGTCCCAAATCCGAGCCCTCGAAGTCGACATCGATCCGCCGGCGCCGGCGCCGGCGCCGCCGCAATCGAGCTCCGCCACCAGTACCACGACAGGTAATAATAACAATTCGATTGATTCTTCCTGCAAATCGATGGGAGGAGGGTACAATGTGGTCATCGACATAGAGGTGAAGATATTTGGATCGGAGGCGATGATCCGTGTCCAGTCCCCCGACGTTGATCATCCCTGTCCGAGATTGATGAGCGTGCTGAGAGAGTTGGAGCTGGAAATCAGCCGTGCCAGCGTGTCCAGCGTGAGGGCGACTGTGTTTCAGGATGTCTTCATTAGGGTTCCCAAAGGAAGGCAAATTGGCAGTGAGGATGCAATCAAGGCTGCTATTTTAATGAAAATGAGGCTTTGACTTAATAATAATAATAAAAAAAAAATAATAATAGTAATATTAATGTTGTTCTACGTTTCTAGACAAATTAATAAATAAATAAATATTAATTAAGACATGTTTTGCTCATGATTTATGTTTCTTTAATTTTGCACGTCTGAATCTGGTTCCCTGGTAATTAGTCACAGGCTGCTATCTAAATTTTGACATGAGGACTTCCACTAGTACAGGAATATGGGTTTGTTTCATTAATTAAAAAATTTTGCATACATTTTTTTCAAAAAAATTACCATACTTCATGTATTATTTTTATATTATTTACGCAGTTTTCTATATTTTATTTTAAAAAATTATAAAAAACACAAAACAAACACACCCTATCCTTTCTCCGTCCCTGAAATTTATGCCTTCTTAATATAAAAATAGACTATGCATTATAAAAAATTTATTGAATAATTAAATTAAAAATAGTGACAATTTATTTATAATAGTAATAACATAAATTTAAGAAAAAAAAGAGTGGTATAAAAAATGAAGAACAGTATAATGTCAATGCATGATGGATCATTCTTGAAAGCAATTTTTTGACTGCTTTTGTGTCGATTAAGTATACGACACATCCATTTTTGTGGGATGTTGGATATGAAAATTAATTGGGATGGTTATGTTTAAAAAATAGTATTCATATAACATATACTATTTATTATTATTTGGTTTATTTTATTATTTTTAGATTAAACCATTTCATATATATACAGTATTTGGCTGAAGTAAATAAAAACCTATAATTATATGAGATTAATTGATCATAAAGAAATACATAAACACTCCACTGATCAATATAGAGAGAGACATATATCACAGGCTTTATTTACAATCTTTTTGTTTTTATTTTATAGTACTATTTAAAATTTACAGTATGTATTTATTAATTACTTAATTACATATTCAATGGAGTATTTTATATCAGAACACAAATAAATACAATCGAGTTCGGGAAGTATTCATTAAACTTTTATAACATTTTTTCCATTTCTTTTATTTTATTTTTCTGTTTCTTTCAACTTTTTACTATTAAATGTTTATTTTAAAATATTACATTTAACAATTATTTTATTAAAAAAAAATATGTACACACACATACATACAAAGTAAACAGAACAAGTTCCGTTTACAAAAAAAAAAATACTTCCTCCGTCCACACACAAAGTATACATTTATTTTTGGCACGTTGTTTAAGAAATAATAGCATTTTAATTATATTGGATAGTCATTTTTGCCTTTACTTTTTGGTGTAAAAGTAATGATGTGATATAAAATAAGGGTATTTGTGAAAAAAAAAAAAAAAAAGGTATTTAATGAAATGTTTACTTTGTAATTGGACGTCCCAAAATAGAAATATGTATACTTTCTAGTTGGACGGATGGAGTAATAATATACTTTTATGGAAAACATGTGATTAACAGTGAAAATTTTAAAAAATTCTCAAAAAAACAACTCTTAATATTCAACTCCAAATAATATTGCAATCTTTATTATAATTTATATAATAATATTATCAATTTCAAAAATGTAAATTATAAATATAATCATTTGTTTTTTTTGCATGGAGAATAATACTAGTATCTAATATATAAAAATAGTTGTTAGATGAAAAATAAAATTGTTCTTGTTTATTATATATTTTTTTAAAAAAATCTATTGAATGGTATTATTAGAAATCCGTTAAATGTTATGATTATTATTTAAATATAAAATACTCATTTCGTCCCATAAGTGTATTCATTTGCTTTTTGCACGTAATTTTAGAAATATTAGTATTATATTAGGATATAGTAGGAATAAAGTAGATTTGACTAAAATAACCTTATTAGTATGTGTGATATAAATGTAATGGCATTTGTGTAATATATTGTAAGTTGTAAGGGTATTTTTAATGTTAGGTAGATAGTACAATTATAAAAAAAAAAAAAAGTAAATGGATACTTTGTTATGAAACGGATTAAAATTAAAAAAATAGATACTTTTTTATGGGACGAATAAAGTAAATAAAAATAGATGTATTTTTTTACGGACAATCGATCAAATAAGACAAAACTGATAAACTTCTCTTGGACGAGGGAAAACTCTTTCTATGCCCTCCCCCCTCCTTTAATTTGGATTTTCTCAAAAAAATTCCCTTCTTTATTTAGACAAGTTTAAATTTTCATCATTTCAAATATAACTTTTTTATAAATTAATAAAAGCACCCAAAAAAAAAAAAAAAAAAAAAAAAACTAATGACAAAACAGATAAAATTGTCGAAATTAAATTATAGTTTTAAAAATCATACATAAATAAAAACCAGCAAAAGTTATAGGTAGGAAGAAATATTTATTAAATGTTGTTCGACATTTATGGAAAAGCAAAAGAACTGATTTATATAGGCCATATGATATTCTTGGCATGGAAATATTTTTTTTGTAACCTTGAAGCCTTTAAACTCTCATTTAAGCTTGTAATTGTAAGTTTTTAACACAAATTTTTACTATCAGAATTTTATTTTTTTAAAAAAAATATTATATCAAACAATTATTTTTTTATATTATACTATAAATTTATCTTACATTAAAAATATTACATCAACCTCTATTTATATCACATCAGACCACTATTCAACTTCAATCTTTTACTATTAAAAATCTAAACCCAAAAAATAAAACTCACAAACAAACACACCCTTAATTCTTTTTATATAAGCCTTTATTAAACCTTGTCTCTTCTATGAGTTTGGGCCTCTGCATCACTTTCTCCTTTAGACTTTTAGGACCAAAAAATCTGAATTTATTGACCCAAATAATTGGTTTCTTGGGGTTTATTTCGAAATTTCGAAAAAACATTTTGCGACCTAAGCTTTCACTAAATTATATTCTTTTCGTTACAATTTAAAGTTTTTTTTTTTTTTTTTATCATTTTCGTCTTCATTCTCATTTCAGAATATTATTTTTATCTTTCAATAAAACTAATTACATACTAATATTAAAATATTTTTAATTTTTATTTAAATTACAAATACATCCTTACACATCATCATCTAATAGTACTAAATTTCTAAGGACGATAAATTATTAGTATTATTATTATTATGTACGGTGCTCCTTATTTCGAAATATAATAAATAAAATGAAGCCAAAATATCTACAACCATTAAATGTAATAACCTACGTGGAAGCAGGTTTGTGGTCACCAAATTTAATTTATATCCAGAATTAATAACACATTTTTTAAGTCAAACAAATCCATGGACTAAAAAGGAATTAAATTTGAATGAAACGCGTATTGCTTAAATGAAGGTAACATTTTTATTTATTTTTTTGAAAATTTGAAGATTTTTCACTATTTATTTATATATTTTAAAAAATATTAAATTAAATATATATATTTATATTATATAAAAATTAATTTTATATTCAAAATAATCTAAATTATCTAAAAAAATAGACAATATTGTTAAAAGATGAGTTACAATAAAAGACTTGATTTGTCGTTTATTACTTTTATTTTAGTCTGTCTCATTTTTTGTCATTTTTTTAAAAATATATAATTTACACTTTAATTATATTATTTAGTTATCTTAATATATGATTAATTTTATAATATAATAATTACTTTTCTAATACACTTTTTAATTAAATTCTCGTCTCTACAGTAAATTAGACATAAAAATGGAACGGGGAGAGTATATAATTTTACAAAGAATAAAATTTTATATCATATAAACGATACTTTCTTTGTTCACATACAAATTTTTTATGTGATTTTTGCACGAGAATTAGGGTAAATTAGTATTCTCTTCGTACGTTTTTAAAAGTTATATTTATCTTTTTGCGTCATTGTACTTAATATTAAAAATATCTTTATATTTGTATAATTTTTTTTTTGTCCAAATCTCATTATATTAGTAATATAAGACACTAATAGAAGTATTTTTGCACATTTCTTTTGATTTGTACTTACGTTTTGATATAATAATTAATATTTAAATATCAATATTAAAAAAGTAAATGTAACATTTAAAGCCGAACATAGTATTTTATAGATATATAGTATAATAAAGTAATGTAAAATCTATTTTACCTTTGATATTAAAGTAAAAATAATGTAAAAAAATAAAAAATAAAATATTTTGAGATTTAGTTAAAAAAATTATTTTACTTAAAAAAATACTAAGGAAATCTGATTTGAACATACTAAAATAAAAAAATAAAAACTTTGCTAATGAATGAGGAGTAATATATAAAAAAAATAAAAAATAATAAAATAAAAACTTTGCTAATTAATGAATGGGGAGGAATATATATAAAAAAAATATATATATTTCCTATTAATATAAAATAAGTTAAAATAATAATAATAATAAATAGTATATAAAAACATATATTTATATAATATTAAATCTATTTAAAAATGAGCTCACTTACATTAAAAAGGCGGCAAATCCCAAAGGAAACCGTTACAAATATCCAAAGTGAGGCACTGAGGCTATCTAAACAAAAGCCTATATATCTTTGAACATTTAAGAGAGTCTATGTGATTTATCACTTTCTTTTTTAATTTTTTATTAAATATTATTCTTTATAGTAAAACTTTTTGTTAATTTACATAGGCTCCTATAACTGCGAAATAAGATAAGTCTTAACAAAATAATTAAATTTGCACGAATTGGTTTATAGTGACACTAATTTTACACCAATGAATAAATGTATATTGTAAGTAAAATTATGAGGGTCTGCTTTTAATTTTTATCATTCATATTAATACCCACAATTTCTGGTAAAAATACACAATTATAAATTTTCTGTGAGAAAATTTAAAAAGCAAAAAAAAAAAAAAAAAAATTGATATTTGAATAGTACTTTTGGAATTTTTCAATAATTAATAACAAAAAAATCAAAATATTACTAAACACTATAAACGCCACCTATAATTTTTCTCATAATCAAATCATATTCATATATATATATATATAAATATATGTATATAATTGATCTGCATGCAAATTAAAAGCTTTGGGACAGCCACAGCAGAACAACAGCCTCATTATATTTATTTGTAATTGAATGAGACTGGGCTACACTCTCATCACTCATCACGCATCACACCATTTAATTTAATTTAATTTAATTATTCTAATAAAAATATATATCACCACCACCTTTCATCTATTTTTTAATTTCTTTCTTTCTTTTTTTTTTTTTAAAGAAAAATTAAACTAGCTAGTCTTAAAATATTACAAATATAAACAGAGGGCCCTATTTAAACTGTAGGAAAATTCTCTAGCATAAGGAAATATATCACATAATGTAATAACAACACTTTCACCACAGCAATATTTGGCGAGTGATATTGCAACATATGTATATCAATAAACCCTAACAACTACACTGACGACAATAAAAGAAAATTAAAACAATAAACCAAAAATCCAAATATTAATTAAACCCAGAAAAAAAAAAATTATATATATATAGCCCCTTAAATTTTTAATTTTTTTTTCTTGGTTTCCCCTTAACCCTATTATTAATTAATTAATTAATTCCAATCTCTTCAGATTATGTCATAACATGCATATTATCATCAACTTTGGGATTATTTTTCATCTAAAAACTCAACTATATATATGTCTATGTTATATATATATATATTAACCGTTTGCACTTTCCCATATTGACTCGAGCTCCCTTGCAAAGGCCTTCTGCCTCCCGACAACAATGGTGAGATGATCTTTGCCTTGGACAACCTTAACATGGGCTCTAGGGATCCTCGATTGCACGTTGTAACTGCATTCGACTGGGATGAGTTCATCGTCTTCGCCGTGAAATATCGTTATATCGCATTTGAGTCGATCCCGGACATCATCCAAGTATCCTTCTATCTTCCCGGCCGTTCCGCAAATAACATTGTGTAGAGTGTGCCACGCCGCGTGGTGCGTGTGCAGAAAGAAACATTCGATCAAGTATGTCCTCATCCTAGACATCGAAAGAAAGATTGATCCAATTGATCATCAATCCTAATTTTATTGAGAATTTTAAGAATGTCGATGGAAATGGAAAGGGGAAGGGTTCTTGTTATAAGTAGTTAGGACTTAATTTGGAAATTAATCGTGGCATTGAATTACATTAATTTATGAGCTTTGAAATTAAACCTGTCACAACTACACGTCACGTGTTAGTAGCTCATAGTGTAAAAACTACATCCAAATATGGCTGCTCTCGTCACTTCATTCCTCGAGGAAAAATAAATGGAGAATGAAGATGGGATGTGTATTTACAAAAATTCATTTTTTTATTTTATATATATTTTTTTAATCTTACCAGCAGAAACTGTTCGGCGGAATTTATTACAACATAAAAATTATCATGAGATGTGTACCCCTACCCACCCTTCCATATTCATCCTTCAATTATATTTCCTCTTTCATAGAAAATCTTTTATTACCTATTCTTTCAAGAAAATCTAACCTAGCAGATAAAGATTAAGATCAAGATCAACCATAACATTATTAAATAATTAGGTTTACTTAATTAAGAATTGTTAGTAATAGTAGTACCTGTTTCTGGTGAAGAGTTTGACGAGTGATTCGACGAGACGGTGGTTCTTGCAGACGAGGAGGCAGGCGGTCCGGCAGAGATGCTCGTACCAGCACGCCACCGCCGCGCCGAAGGCTATCGGCGGCCAGACCCGCCGCGGCGCCACTCGCCTCATCATGTATTGCGCCGGCGCCGGCGGCTGCGGCTGCCCCTTTGGGATCGGAAAGTATGGCTGCCAAACATTATAAATTAAATTAATTAATTACTAAGTCAAATCTATGTCAATACCAAAAATTAATGAATAAAAAGAAAGAAAGAAAAAAAAATCGTAATTTATTACATTAATGGTGGCAATTAAATCCCATGTGTGAGTATTGATTAATGGGTGGTTGGGATTTATTAGAGAAAACAAAAGGAGAAAAAAGCTATTTTTGAGTATATAATATTTTTCTCTTTCTTCGTCCCGGCCGCATGTCGATGAAATGCATTCAATTTCAGTATTTTAACTAATAACGGAGACACACACAATCTGGATTTGGTAGACCTTAGGCCAGATGTATTGACATCTATATAATTAAAGACAATCTGTCACTGTTATTAGATTTTGGTTATTGGATAAGTTGTTTTAATCAATAGGGCTTTAATTTATCCTTTTAATTAATTTCTGCAAATTACTACCAAAAAAAATAAAAAAAAATTACTTACAGGTGCAAGTAAGGTTAATGACTTGACAGAGGCAGGATGCTTGACAGCAAGTGCGAGGGCTAAAATGCAGCCAAGAGAATGGGCAACAATGTGGAATGATTCGACTTTATATGCTTCAAGAACAGACCTTTCGATCCTCTCCAAATGCTCCCTCAAAGTGTAGAGTGAATCGGCAGGTTTAGGGCTTCTCCCAAACCCTAGAAGATCCACCGCCAGTAATCTGTATTTGGATTTTGTCGATTTGGAGAAATTGGGGTAAAGGGTTTCTGTCCAGAAGGAAGACGACGAAATGAAGCCGTGAATGAACACTACATCTTCTTGAACGTTATCTGCCCCAAAAGTAAGAAATTTGAATCAGCATTGAGTCGAAATTAAAAATTAAAGATTCGATTTTTGATGAATCGATTACCTTTGGCTCCGTCGGCTCTGACGAATAGGGTTTCCTTACAGGACGACGAGGAGCTCCAAGAATGGCAGGTTTCGCAATCGCAATCGGACCACCGGGGGGCGGTCTGAGGCTTCCTGTTGATCCGGCCCTGAAGCATTTCGACGACGGTGGAGTTCACGGTGGTGTACGACGGCCGCCGGCGCCGGGAGGAGTACTCGACGATGGTGGATTGGGAGACCTCTGACACCAACGACGGCCTCGCGTAGAGCGTGTCGGAGACTTCCTCGAGCTGCAGCTTACTGCAGCAAGTCAAGCGGACGACCCTCGACTCCCGCTGCTCCGACACGAAGATCTTGCCGCCGGCGCCGGCGATCGCCTCCTTCGGCGAGCAGCAGTAGCAGGGCTTCCATTCCGATTCGATCAAAATGTCGGCGGCTTTGTAGGCGTAGCAGAGAAGGAAATCAAGAATGTCGAGAAGAATGAAGACAATGAAGCTCGCGATTCTGTTCAACACCCCGCCGGCCGCCGCCAGTACCGATTTGACCCCACCGCCGATTCCCATTCCCTCCCAGAAGACCAAAATCGGCGGCGCCGGAAACCCCGCCGGAAGGCTTTTTCTCGGCACCGAAAAATTCAACACTCTCGTTAAAGCCCCCATATCTCTCTCTCTCTATATATATATCTATATATATATACACACACAATGTTAATAATCTCTCTCTCTCTCTCGAATTAATAATTTTAACATAAAAGGAATTGAGCAGAAATGGTGAACCAGGAAATGCAGACGACAGTATATAATCCTCGAGTGTTTGGTTTAATTTGGGGAATGTAGTTGTGGGGGAGTTTGTGACGAGAGCGAAAGAGGAAGAAGATATGAGATTAGAATTCAGATTAGATGAGAGAGAGAGAGGTGTCAAGAAAGCTATGGGGGGGACTTTTAAGTCTCGCACGCCTCAGGTTAAAAGAGAAAGAAGATCGAAATATAATGAATTCAATGGATTCATTAAAACCAGTTTGCTGGACGGACAAGAAGGTTAAAAATGGTTGGTGGTGGTTGAGCCTCTTCCCACCCCCACCCCACCTCACCCCATGGCCATTGCTGCAATATTGTAATAAGACGCGTAATATTATGTTCCAAGAATCATCCACCTCCATTGCTGCACATGCATTTGCAGGTTTTTTCATTTTTCTTTTTCCTTTTTTCCTATGTCAAACTAGAAGAGAAGGGAATTTCAATAAAGTTTCGATTAATTTCTACAAACAGTGCATTGCAATTCATTGCATTGCAAGTGAATTTAATTTGTGTCCATTTAATAGCAATAAAATAAAAGTGAGGTGATTTAATTTATTTCTTGGTAGAGTAGGGTTTTGTGTAATGATTTGGTTGTGTGTGGAAGTGTCCAAAACTTGGGTTCTTTACAGAAACTTGAGACGACCATGTGTTAATTACCTTTTCTTTTTCATTTTCATTTTTTCTTTTTTTCAAGAAAAAGATCTAGACTACTACAAAGTCTTCGGGTTTGATGTTGTTTTTAGGTAACATAAATTTAGGGCATTGAAATAAATTAAAGTAGCTAGCATGTTGAAATGAATCCCATTTCCATCATATATCATCATCATCATCATCATCATCATATGTGATAGATGAGTCATAAGTAAAGATCGATCTGTGATTACAAATCCACATTAAATGTTATGTAAAAAAATTCAAAGAGGGAAGTGACCCCCCAAACCACTTGCATTCATTGCAGGCTGTCTAAGCCACATGTCTTTTATATACTCCCAACCTCTCTTTCATCTGCCCTAATTATTATTAACCTTTCTGTTTTATTTATTTATTTATTAATTATTACATTAAATAATTAATTCCATCCAAAATATTGATCCTTGCCCATGATTTCTTAAATCATATGAATGTCAATTTATGCCCCCATAAAAACTAATGGATTCGTTTTCAGTACGTACTATGTCTAATGAATCTACACCACGTATTACTAATTTAAGCTTTTTATAAAAATCCGCACCGTATTTAATCGAATATTAAATTTTCCTACTCAAGTATAAATTTCAGAGAATTCCTTTATAAATATTTAATGGCATTCAGTTTCATATTTGGAATTGAGTATATATATATATATATTAAATAGAGATAAAAATGTAGAAAAAAATTTCTTATTGTAGTGTCAGAAATCTCGAACAGTTTCACTATTTATTGAGAAAATTTAAATATTGCTAGAGTCTTTTGCACAACGAGTAATACTAAAACATAATAGGTGACAAAAGTTGACCAAAATTTTTCAGGACATGCATGGCCATCTTTTTCTAACAGCCACGTACTAGCTTATATAAGACAATGATTTTAATTAAGGAATTAGTACTTAGATATATATATATATATATATTTTAATGAATGAATTTCATTTGTTTAATATATATATATATATATATGTAATTACAAAATACTAAAAATTTAACAATTTGGCAACGATTGGGCGGTGGGAACTGTGGTTAGAATTAAGGGTGAAGCCGTGGAGCTAAAGGACTGTGAATAGTTACTTAAAAAATTTATATATATATATATATATATAATCAATTAAGACCAACCATTGTAATGAATTTAAATTTAATTTGCTGATTTCATGGCAGGGTTTGTGGGCACTTATTTTTCATCCTCAAATGAATTCAATTCCCCTTTTAGGTTGCTTTGCACTGCAATAATTATTTGGGCATCTCAGTTTGTGGTTAAAATTAATTTCCATTGCAAGAAATCTATTGTGTTAATCGAATCGTGTTTGCAAGAACTTACATATATATATATATACACATACATATACATACACCACAGTAAATTTATTACGAGGCCTTGAGTAGGTGATGCCATAAATTAGGGTTTGGACTTGGTCAACTTTATCAGTTATTTTTTAAAATATTTGTGCTGAGCGTGTTTTTACAAATTATTTTTAAAACTATTTTTCTATTCAAAAAATCAAATACGTACAAAATTAAAATAAAAATTAATCTATTTATATATTTATATATATATATATATTTTCATAGCCAATATGTATATTATTATTATTCTTCACTTGTTTTAATCATATTATTCGTATGTCAGAGGGAATTAATTAAAGGTGTATTCGCAAAACTAAAATGGTAAAATATACAAATATAAATTAAATGATATGATATGATGTGTTAATGTGATTATAATATTAAAGGAATATAGTTTAATATTTAATAGAAGGTGTGCAAATTAATTATATCTAACAATATATCTACTACCAACATGCAAATATATATTCCATCAAATCCCAATTAAAAGTACTTTAATAAAATAATAATCTTTTCGTCATATTTTATGTCAATTTTTTTTTTTTTTTTATAATGAAAAATATTACACACTTTAGTTGAATTGAAGAAAGTATATTTTATTTTCTTTTTTTTTTCAATTATTTTATATGGCACAAGCTTATTGTACATGATTTATTGTGTCCAAACAAATTACAACACTTTGAATTCGATCGATTAGTCTCTGTGTGATTAAATAAGGTTGAAAACTGACGGAGAATTACTTTTCTTTGAGTTGTTGAATTTAATTAAGGGATAATCTAAATCAATTGTAATAACAATTAAATTTGATTATCTTCACTCTATTAAAACTTAAAATTTATGTCACAGCCCACTGCGTACACATTACCTCCAAGAATTCAAACCTAGTACTAATTCATATCATATATAAATATATAAACATATTGCAGATGTACAGCTAAATATTATATTATCAAAAATTTAAAAAGAAAATACATAAAAGCAAAAGAGAGGTGGCATGGCAGATCCATTTATTTTTTTTCCTTTTTCTTTTTTGAAAATACGTAATGTAATGTAATGTGTAGAATGTAGAAAGTAGTTGGGAGTTGGGTGTTGAATGGGCGAAGAAGTCAAACCGGGTGGGACAGTCACAAGTCAACCGATGTCTGACTTTGGGTAAATGCATTATGATGTCTTAATGGATTACACTCATATCCATGCAGTGCAATGCAACAAGTCTCCCCTTCTTGGTTTGTTCGAACCCCATGGCCAGTTTTCCTTCTGCATAATTATAAAAACCTACACTGCAAACCTCATTTGAGCTGGCAAAATTAATACCATCCAACTATGCATGTCTATATATAATATTTATATATATATATATATGTGTGTGTGTGTGTAAATCTCCATCCCACGTATATGAACATCTTATTAAGAAAGAATAACAATTATAAATAGAACCATAAATATGGAACGAAAAATTAAAATTAGTCCTTTCCACCATTTAAGATCCAATCATAAAAATATATGATCATAAGGACAACATTTTGCAATATAAGAATTCGGTTATCGAATATAAACCCAATATAAGAAATTTAGGAGGGATAAATGTGCCTTGCTAATGGTTCGGCGACTTCCTGTTCGATTAATAGACAGTGACGTGACGGATTTGTTAGATATCGATAACTTACCAAAATGCAATTTATTGCAGGCTATATGTGGCCAAAATAATCTAATAAACTGCAATTTCTTTGAGCTGGAGATTCTCAACTTATATCGAACATCATGCCTCAGGATGAGATGTCGTAACTCAAATCCTGAAATCTGTTCATCAAGTCCTTCTTGTACGTTTCGATTTCTTTATGCTCAATAGAATCTGGGATGGACTGGATGATAGGGATAGCACCGGCTTCATGTAATGCAGCAGCAGCTCCATCTACAATTATAGGAAATAACATCTGTTAACATCTTTATGATCAGACCATCGAATAAAAAACCAGTGTTACAATAGATTTCTACTAAATAATAGGCTGGAGTTGTAAGAAAAACTCAAGTTTTAAGCAATCAGCACTGAAAAAACTTAAATGCCATTTTATTTACTAGGTTGTAACTGGACAGGGTATAAAATACAGAATTACAAAACAAAAATTATTCACTATCCTCATATGCCAAAATGAATTAAACAGAGGATTGTGAAGCCTTAGAACAACAAAATATGTTGATGTGATGTGAGTGAATTTCTGAAATAAGCTTAAAGAATTCTTTCAGAAGAATCAGCACAAAATAGTATGTAAACATTCAACAATAACATCTTCCTCTGAAGGAGAAACAGATAAGAGCAAAAAATACTCAAGGTCACGTCTGAAATTCCAGTAATAACATCTTCTGTTACTGTGTAAAGTTTAAACCTTGCTAATTTATCAGAGAAATGTTATTGCGAATATTATTTAGTTAATCCAGTTATGAGCCAAACTTGTAAAAGGTTCTCCTGCCCCTTCGACAATGCACAGTATCTTGAGGACTCCAATGTGATCCAATTAAATATGCCATTGATAAGGAACCTTTCAATAATAACAGCCTCTGACCAAAATAGTTCTAGCTTCTAGAGTGGTCCTTGAGTGTTGGCTACAGTTTGTTTTCTAAAGAAAACCATGGACTAGCCATGCTATTGCATTTGTAAACAGTGGTCGTGAAAAAAAGAAAAATGGAAAACAGTGTAAATCTGACCTGACTTTGAGATGGCAACAAGAGCTTTCAAAGCTGCTTTTCGAGTCCGATCATCTTTAGCTTCTGTGAGCACATTTAAAAGCTCCTTAGCCCCTCCAAGTTCAACTATTTTCATTCTCCTTTTATCTGGAACCCGCAATGATATAAAAAAGAATTAAAACCCTGAACTCCATATTAAAATTCCAACCATATGAAAAGAAACAAAATATTGAGAAAGCAATCACCACTGCAAGACATTTTAAGGAATTAAGTAAGGAGCTCAAATTTTCAATGCGTCTAGTATTTGTCAGGCAGGACAATGAGCATAAACACACAAGTTGCGGCAGCAACCCTTTTGTTGCATAACATACCTTAGAGGCCAATCTGAAATTTCGAGACGAGTATTCGTCATTGCTAATTTTACTTTTTCTTTTTATTCAACTATTTTTAAAGGCCCCATCTTTATACGGTACACAAGGTAAGATGAGATGTGCAAGAGAATCAAATTTGAACTGGACTTGGAGAAAGATCTGTTGAGCATCAATGTGTAATTGACTGGAAGCAAACAATACCACTTTGGGCTAGAGATACAAGCCCAGATAAACATCAACAAGTTACTAACCACTTTGGGATCTTTTGATCAGACATTACCATCGATAGCAAAGCGTGCTAATCTGGATGCTCCCATTCTTTTGAACAAAGGGTCTTTCACATGTAAGAGGGCGACTGATTGTTGCATCAAATTTTCTCCTACAAAAAAGCTTAACAATAAATTTTCACAGCTTTGATATAGACCACCAGGTAACTATATATAATTTTCTAATTCAATGAACATACCCATGTAAGGAAATAAGTTGTATCCAATTACAGTTGCAGTACCAGCAAATATTAGCTTCAGTAGCCAACCTATTTTTCTTTCAGCCTCTTGCTCTATTGTTCGTTCATCTGCAACAACATCAACAAATATTAGAACATAATAATACACTAACCGAAACACGAAACCAAAGCATAACACACCAAATATAAACATAGTGCACCCAATCCATAAAAACTACCACTAGTCATCAAATGCGAGACCTTGCTCCTAATGGCTTACTGTGATGAGAATCAAGTTATAAATGCCTGCAACCTACTACTATAGACGCATGTTTCTCCAAATTCAATTAGTAAAGTAATCTCTAGCAGATTGTCCTACTATAGTTCATATTCATACTCTCCGGCAAATGCTGCTATGCTCTCGAAGTAAAATTCACTAAAAGAATGTTGTTTGCAGACTCATCGTAATTTTTCTACTTGCTTATGTCAAATCTCCAAAAATTATCTTTAGACTTATAGTCTACACTGCAACATCAATTGCCTCTTAGAGTCAAAGAAAGATCAAACCACCACATTGACCGAACAAGAAATTGGAACTACTGCGGGTGTAATTGGAACTTTTGTTTCAGAACTGATGCATGCTAAGATGCTGAACTATATGATTGTAAGAGATCAGACCATCGAAACCATCGACGCAAATCAAATCAATCAATAACCTTTATGAAATTGAGATTGACATAGACTAACATCACAAAGCAATTCCTACCTTTGTTGTATATTGATGACGAAAACTTCCGAGATTGCACATTCACTAGATTCCTTCTGCACAAATACTGTACTCTTAACTGAGCCAAAGAGAAATAACTAATACATACACACACAGAGAGAAAACTCTTGATCGAAAGCTTCCATCCGGGAAAGCCCTCAATCACTCAAGAAACATAGATAATATGATCGATAGTTTATGAAATTGGGAAGTAGAGCCAGTACTTGATATCTCACGCTCGTATCTACATTGCCGTTCGGTACCACTGAAAAACCTCGCGAGGTTTTGGATAAATTGACGATTACAGTGTCGTACACCAGCTTAGAAATACGATTCATGAAGGCGATCGTGGTGAGCTGCAGCAACGGCGACGGCGGCGAGACTGAAACGGCGGTGATGTTAGCAGAAGACCTCGCTATATTTGGATAGGCCTAAATATTATATTGGTCCATTGGGCCTGAATATGGTATTGGTCCATTGGATATTAACTATATTGTGGGTTTAAGACAGTATATTAGATTTTACTGGATTAACTTTAATATTGGGCAAAAGTATATTGTGTCGAATCCTCTCTAAGTCTTAAAATTTGGTCGGACCCCATAAAATTTAGTTAAACAAAAAAACAAAAGAACGTAGGGTATTAGGTTCGATTGAGGTTTAGTCAATGCGCATTTTCGAGTAGCGATTGCGGATTCCCATATCATTAAAAAAATAATAACAAAAGAAAAAAATTACGTTTGCCCTTATGTGTAATGTATTACTCTCCATGTAAATATGAGAATTTAAGAAAAATATAATTAATAAATAAATAAAAATATATTAATAAAATATAGTAAAATATTTTTAAAATAATGAAACCGATTAATGAATTGATGTATCATGATCCTCCACACACAACACATGAAATCCAAAATCTAAAAATAGAACCCCGCCCAATTCTGTGCTTATCTAATCCATTTTGTGAGAAGAAAATTTGTAGAAGACTTGAGTTGTATTCATAATAAAAATGATACTTTTTACTTTATAGGCTCAGGTCATAAAAATTTAATCTAACAAATAAAATTAAATAATTAAAATTTTTCAACATTTTCAAGTGTATTGCAGAAGACTTTGCAAATATAGTGACCAAAATAGTCCATTGTCACAATAGAATCGAAAATAAAATTTTCAATAGAGTAAAAACCGAGAAACTCTCAATGAAAAATAAAATTTTCAATACAATCGGAAATATAGATTTTTACTTAATAATCGCGAAAAACAATTAAGGGCTAAATTCGCAAAATTATGGAAACTGATATGTAAACTAAAATTGGAAGACTGATTTAAGATTATGTTCACTTCAGTAAATATTCTGATACCATATTAAAAGATGAAAATGATCATGTAACTTGAATGATTAGTTTAAACTTGTACTATAAGCATAATTTATTTATTTATATTTTTACTGTGCTGTGATGTCATTCTATAAACAATTCAAAAATTAAATTATATTAATAATAAATAAATGACCTGCAAATAAACATGACATTTAACTCAATATACTTAAATTATAATAATTCAATTTAATGGATAAAATCAAATTTTAAATAATTAAATTTTATTTAAATTTAAATAATTAAAATCTCTTAATATATAACCAAAAAATAAATACGAGACTAAAAATTGTGGGAAAAAAGAATAAAGAAGACACACAAAAATTAATAAATACTCCATCCGTTCCAGATATGTTATCGTGGATATTTAGAATTAGGTAAAATATAATTAATAAATAATTTAAAAATATATTAATAAAAATAATTATTATATAAAAAATAAAAAAGAATTAAGAGAGGAGAAGAAAAAAATAAAAAAGAACAAAAAACTGCAAAAAAATAAAATAAAAATGGTTCCTGTTTGTTCTTCCTTTTTTGTCAACACTTTTTTTAAAAAAAATTAATAAACTGCACACACTCATTAATATTATAGTAGGTGTGATTGTTTGTAGATTTGGATTTTTAATATGTAAAAATTGAATTTAAATAGTTGTTTGATGTGATATAAATAGATTATTCATAACTAAAATATATTTATAGTGCAATATAAAAAGAAAAAATAATTTTTTGATGTGAATGAAATTGTGACCGCAAGATCATGAGTTCAAATCCCGATGCTTCAAGGTTTACCTGCAGCACATGGTTAGCATAATATGACTTACCTTATCGAGCCTAGTTTGCTGGATATTAAATTTGACCGAAAATTTATGCACACTTTCGAGTAGCGAAAAAGACCAAAATAAAGAGTCCATTAACTACTGACCGACAGTTTGGAAATATTGCGGATGGTTTTCAAAACTACAAAAATATATAACAGCAATTTTATAAAAACGAAAAAGTTGACAAAATTATCTAAAGTGGGGTTTTATACAATTTTGCTTTAATATTATTAGTTTAAATATAATATTTTAAATTAAATTTAAAATTATTTTTGTTAGAAAAAAAAAATCTTATTAAAAACTCAATATATTAATATAAAATATAAAATATATATTTTATTCGTTAAATATATTAATAATTTAATACAAAATTATTGATATACTTTTAGGGTGCGTTTGTTTGTAGAATTTTAACAAAATTCTATTATTCATCCAATTTTTTTTCCCCAAAAATATCAAATCAAACACCTATTTTTCATTTTTTATATTATACTAAAAATTAATTTTACATTTAAAACATCACATCAACACCTATTTATATCACATCGTACAACTATTCAAATTCAAAATTTTTATTATTCAAATCTCAACTCAAAATTCAAACCCCCCAAACAAATACACCCTTAATATAAATATATTTGAAACTATACAACAAAATAGATGTATATCCAAAGCATTATACTAATAACTAAAGAATTACATAAAAAAAAAATCAATATATTTCTATCTTCTTTTAGTATTTTACTCGTATTTAACTCCATATTAATTTTTATTTTTTAACATAAAATTTAGGTGCGTTTTTTTTATATCTCAAATTTTACTTTTCTACTATTTTACTTCAAATTTTTTGAAAAAATATAGTAATATTATTATTTTTTTTTTTATCAAATATTTCATTGTACATCAATTTTAATATTAAAACTCAAATAAAATATTTTCCAACCCCATTAAATCCGAACTTCAAACTCAATCAATACTAACATTATTTTATTTTAAAGTAAGATTATTCTGCTGGATTTAGCCGGCGGGATTCGCGACGGCAGTTTGAATTCAGATTGAGTTTGGCTGAAAATTGATGTCTTATCGGTCGCCTATTTAAGTGCTTGCGCCTACTTCATCAACCTCAAATTTCTCGAAGAGGTTTTGCGGCAATCGTTGAAACTATATGGTTAAGCTGTAAACCCAGAGTCAACGTTCTCACGGCTTTCTTCTTGGGCTCCGATCGGAATTCTGACACTACCTGCTGCTTTTCTGAGCATCGAAATTGTGTCCTTTTGGAGACAAGGATGAAGACGCTTTTCCTTTTGAGAGTTGCGGTACTTCTTTTGAGCTTGCGGTTGAGTTTCAATGTGGATGTTGTTTTAGCGCATTCTGCTATTGCAGACCAGCCTCTGGCGAAGATTGGGATTCATAAAGCAATTCTTGCTGTTAGGGATTCAGCTTCAATTAAAGCACATCCTCGTGTTCTTGGGCTCAATGTGTGTGCATCTATCAGTTTTGTTTTTTTAACACTATGTTCTTAAATTTGTTTTTCTCTTCGATAGTACTCGTCGATCATTGGATTAGCATGTAGTTTTATGCTAACGATGCGTTATTAAGCTTAGGAATTGGCTGAAAATTGATGTTTGTTGATCATAGGGCGAGGATACTGCAAGGATTGTGGTGGGATTCGAAAACGATAAACCCTCGGATGATGACTGGATTGGGGTATTTTCTCCTGCAAAATTCAAGTAATGTTTCTGATTCTATTATTGCTATATTTCTCCATTCTGGTGTTTAATGATTAATGTGGCAATTTTGTTTACTATGATTTCTTTACATAACTGATGAATGTTGGTATTTAGTGGATCAATATGCTATTACGAGAATGATCAAAAGGAGCAACCACCATACATCTGTACTTCCCCAATAAAGGTGTGTAACCATCCAATGATTCTTACCTGGAATGCAAAATGTTGTTTAATTTTAGTATATTTGTTGCTATTTCAGTACAAATTTGCAAATTTCTCGAGTTCCAACTATTCGAAGACAGGCAAAGCATCAGTGGATTTCCAGTTAATCAATCAGCGTTCGGATTTTGCCTTCGCACTGTTTTCCGGGGGATTATCTAATGTATGCTACTTTCGTGTTCCTGAATTATGTTATAAAGAATGTGATTTTTTAGCTGAATTGTTGTGCACCGTGCATCTTTTTATGCCCTAAAACTATATCCATTCTGCAGCCGCAACTGGTGGCAGTATCAAATTCCATTTCTTTTGCAAATCCGAAGGCACCAGTTTATCCTCGCCTTGCTAATGGAAAAGCTTGGAACGAAGTAAGTAATCTTGAGTTGTTTAATTGCTAGTTCGTATCTTTAATCATGGATGAATTGCACCTTTTGAATGGTAATTCATATTATCTTGAGTTGAATCTTACTCTCTTACTTAGCTAACTGTTGTTTTTATCGGATATTAGGCTCCTTATAGTGTTTTGCTACATTTGACTGCACCTTGCAGATGACAGTTACATGGACAAGTGGCTATAACATAGATGAGGCCACCCCATTTGTTGAGTGGGGATTGAAGGGCCACCACCCTAGACGGTCTCCTGCAGGCACATTATCCATTGAGAGAAACAGCATGTGCGGTATGGTAAACTTGAAAAGATTGTGTTTTAAATAATGAAAAGTCAAATAACTTTGATGTTGTACTTGTGGCCCTTTTCATCTTGAATTTTGATCTTGTCTTTCAATTTCTAATGCATTGATAATCTTAGCAGCTTGTTTGTGCAAAGAAATTATAGCTTCTGTGCTTGGTTATTGGGATGAAGTTTATACTTTCCGAAGATGGGAAAGATAACATATCAGCTCCCTTGTTGTCAAATAATATATCGATACACTGGAACAAACATGTTGACAACGTTGATTTGATCTAATCACCAGTCATTTAATTAAGTCTTATCAGGCTGTGGAGTGCTTCACATTATCATCTTTAGAGTAGGCTGCTCATATAAGGGTAATATTGTGACAAAATCTGTGTTTTATAGGATCACCTGCACGTACAGTCGGTTGGCGTGATCCTGGATTCATGCACACTAGTTTCCTTAATGGTCTATGGCCAAATCGAGTGTAAGTTTCTAAAGATTGTGCTTTGAGTGATAACATTTCCCAATTGTCGGCTATATATATACTGCCCCATACTGTCTTTGACTTTAATTAAATATGTATGTTTTCAGATATTCATACAAGATAGGTCACATCTTGTCAAATGGATCCTATGTTTGGAGCAAGACATATTCGTTCAAAGCATCACCATACCCAGGGCAAGATTCATTGCAGCGGGTTGTGATATTTGGTGACATGGGGAAGGTCAGTTTGATATTAGTTTAGTTTCTAATCAAGTAATCGTGGCGTTTATTGAATAGGTTCATACTGGATTCTGTGTGGCTTGAATTGCTATTGCTTTAGTAAGACGATGCAGATGATTTTGCATTTCCAGTTTGCGTGATGCATATCATACAGAAACGTTGAATTTCAGGGCGAACGCGATGGCTCGAATGAGTATAGCAATTATCAGTATGGCTCATTGAACACCACAGACCAGCTTATTCAGGACCTCGACAACATTGACATAGTTTTCCACATTGGAGACATCGTATATTCAAATGGCTATATCTCACAGTGGGACCAATTCACCCAACAGATAGAACCTATCGCCTCAACCGTGCCATATATGATTGGCAGGTTTGTTCATATTTTATTAGCTCTGTTTCATCAAGCATAATATAATCTATTGTTGATACATAATTTCTGTATCTATTACAGTGGCAACCATGAGCGCGATTGGCCCGGGACTGGATCCTTTTATAACACAACAGACTCCGGTGGGGAATGTGGAGTGATGGCCGAGACCATTTTCTATGTTCCTGCGGAAAACAGAGCCAAGTTTTGGTAATTTTATAGCACAGAAATACAAAAGATTATCCATTGCATTCTTTAAGTACCAAGAACATCTTGAAAGCATCGAGTTAACAGTTACATGTATCATTGGAATTTGACGCGGGTATTGAATTTCAGGTATTCGACAGACTACGGCATGTTTCGCTTTTGCATTGCGGACAGTGAGCATGACTGGAGGGAAGGAACCGAGCAGTATAAATTCATCGAACGCTGCCTTGCATCAGTAGACAGACGAAAGCAGCCATGGCTGATATTTGCTGCTCATCGAGTTCTTGGTTATTCTTCAGACAAGTATTACGCCTTAGAAGGTTCCTTTGCAGAGCCAATGGGCAGAGAAAGCCTGCAGAAGCTCTGGCAGAAGTATAAGGTCGACATCGCACTCTACGGCCACGTCCACAATTACGAAAGAACTTGCCCAGTTTATCAGGTAATTGTCGACACCTGAAACAAACATCCATTCTGAATTACCTCGACCTGTCTTTGCTCATTTTCTTCTCTGTTAACAGAACAAGTGTGTCAATCCCGAAAAACACCATTACTCTGGGACTGTGAATGGCACAATACACGTCGTAGTTGGGGGCGCGGGAGCTCACCTATCCGAGTTCAGCAAAGTTAACACGAGCTGGAGCCTGTACAAGGACTTCGACTGGGGATTCGTCAAGATGACAGCGTTCAACCACTCGTCCCTTCTCTTCGAGTACAAGAAGAGCCGAGATGGAAAGACTTACGACTACTTCACCATCAGTCGGGACTACCGAGACGTGCTGGCATGCGTGCCCGATGGCTGCGAAGCAACCACATTGGCAACTTGAAGCAGCAAACTAAAACAATATTTGATGTTCATGACAATGTTTATGTTTACAGTTTACGTTACTATTTATTTCAATCTACAGAGTATATAATAAAAACTACAGTTGTTAACGTTAGTATCACGAGAAAAAACATTACGGGGTAGAAAACAAATATGTGGAAAAAGAAGGGAGTTTTTGAAATTAGACAAGAGTAGAAGGGTAGCTCGTCAAATTTCCGCGGATCACGAGAACCCTTTCAGTCAGTCCTTGCTGGTTCCTTCACATTCAAAATAAAGCAAACTTCTTTTGAGCGCTAAAACCAGCCATGGCTGCCGCATCATATCATGTGCATTTATTTCTCTTCTTCCTCATTTCAAAATTCAATGATCAGATTCAGAACACACCTCTTAATTATTAATTATTCCATTCCTTTCCCCTAAATTTCAAACACTCTACACTTCATCATCTTCTTCTTCTTCTTCTTCCATAGTGAATCGCCGATGGGCTGCGTTTCCTCCGCTCTGCTTAACCAGGATGACGACTTCTCCCAAATCGGCGCCTCCGCCGCTTTCAGCCACCACATTGTCTCCCTCACCTCCACCACTTACGGCCTGTTGACCCTCGACGCAGCGGAAACTGAACCGCCGGCGAAGACAGTCCTCCCGCCGCCGCGGACCACTCTCGGTTCCCTCTTCCCCAGCCCACTTTCCGAGCCCCGGTCGCTCCGGCACCAGCCATGCTTCGAGACCATCAATTCTTGGGACCTCATGTCCGGACTCGATTCCGACCATATTCCCAGCTTCCGATTCGCCCCTTTCAAGATTTCAAATAATCCTCCCGTCGCCGGCGGAAACGACGAGAATCTGAGCCCTAACGTCGGAAACCGGCAGCCGCCGCCGTCGTCTTTCGCCAAGGATCTGAACCGGTTCCTGGAGGAATTCGAGCCGATCTGCCCGCCGAACGGGGAGAACAAAGTGGTGCTGTACACCACCAGTCTTCGAGGCGTCCGGAAGACCTTCGAGGACTGCAACGCTGTCCGATCTGCGATTCAGGGATTGGGGATTCCGGTGTGCGAGAGGGATATCTCCATGGACAGAGGGTTCAGGGAGGAGCTGAGGGAACTGATGAAGGGAAAGAACGGCGGCGAATCGGTGGTGCCTCCGAGGCTGTTCGTTAAAGGGAGGTACGTCGGCGGCGCGGAGGAGGTGATGAAGACCGTCGAGGAAGGGCGAATAGTGGAGTTGCTTCAGGGGATTCCGAGATTGAGAGGCGGCGGGTGTGTCTGTGATGGGTGTGGTGGGGTCGGCTTCTTGCCCTGCTTTGTCTGCCATGGAAGCTGTAAGATGGTTATGACGACGACGGCGCCGCCGGCGGAGAGCAAGAAGACGGTGGTGGTGAGATGCAGCGAGTGTAATGAGAACGGATTGGTGCTTTGTCCCATTTGTTCTTAATAAAGAGGATCGATTATTACTATCGCTCTGAACAGGGCACAGGTGCTGTAATTTCCCGTTTGTTTCCGTCGATTGAAGACGACGACGACGAAATTAAGTGTTATTACTAAAAAAAATGAGGATTTGGGCTCAGGTTTAATTTGGGCCTGCATAGCAATCCATTTACTATTTCTATATACATTACTTGCATACACAATATAATTATTACTCCCTCCTATGATGGTTGTTGGTACTATGTTCGATAGTATCGATTCAGTACGATGCAATACATGAAATGTTAATTAAAATCGTGTATTTTGTATATATATTTTTCATGTGATGTATAACTAGAGTAATTGCTGAAGCCTATTATGATATAGATATGGAGGATTAATATTTCTTACAAACATGTACTTTTTGACTTTGGGATAAATTTATTACTTACAACTTGGCTGTAATTATGTCCAAGTAGAACGAGCAATCATGTTTAGTTCTACTTATTGAAGAGCATCAATTGATTCTTTGACCATGATAGCAAAGATACATATTAATGAATATTATTGACAATATATTATATATTATTCAGTTGAAATCGTTAGAATAGACTTAAGTCTACTGCTTTGCATACATGGCTAATAAATACAACAAATTTATGCAACCATCAATAAATATATAGAGTGTTATCATCATATTACTACTATGCAATACTCTTCTATCTACGACAAGTGTATAGATTTTGAATTTCTACCATTGTCATTGTAAGATGGACAAGTTAAAAAGTTCAAATTTTCTTTTAATTTATTATTATATTGCTACGAAGGAATCCGGGCATCCAACCTAAAATCAATACGTGATAGGTGGAATGACCCTTCATCCTTATATAGTAGAGGAGTTATCACATATTTAACAATGCAGAACAATATTCAACGCTCCTCCTAGATGATAATCTTGGAAATTCATACAGGATTCAAACTCAAGACGGGCATCATGGCTCTGATACCATGTTAAGAAGTGGCCTGCACTAGGAATTCCCACATATTTAACATATATATATATATATCATCGATGAATTCACACATTTCTTATATTCAACACCCACTCTCTATAATATGCAATAAGACCGTTTATTATATATTATAATCATTGAAAACCTATCACCAAAGTTGTAGATGACGCCACCGTAGCATACATAAACCAGTAAATTAGTCAACTATAAATCCAGATAACAATTTGTATTATACTTCTAAATATATATCTATAAAGAGTCAACCCTTACAGAAGAAAGTACTTTTATAAATCAAAATATACTTATCACTGTGCCTTTATATCCATATCTCATATGTATATATTTATTTATTCAAGCTTTTAGCAGCAAGTATGTATGTATGTATGTATGTATTACCATATATATATATAATTGCTGTACTACGCAGACAAGTGACAAAGTGGATCTGAAGAAGACGACGACGACGACCGTGTGAAGCTCCAAAAATCCTCATCACACGTGGACACAATCTGACCGTTGATCTGTCCATCACCCCTCACCAACTGCCCTTCCTCATCACAGTCAAACGCATACGAAAAATCTCCATTAATGAAGCCTGAAAATTGCTTCGAAGCATGTCCTGCATCGAGCTGAGTAGCCACCAGGCGGTCCATTTCAGCCCAGTCGGGCCCGATTCCCCTCATCGGATCTAATTCCGAACATTTAAAGCAGGAGCCGTCGACGATGTTGTCGGGAGATTGAGAACCTTCCAAACCTGGAAGATCAATATCAGCCGTCGGATTGGGAAACTCCGCGCCGTTGGATTCTCCCTCTTGCTTATAGCAGGAAGACGATGATGTTCCCATGTAAGAGAGTATCTGATCCAGAATTGTTCCATTGTTTCCCGACAGGATTAATGAATTATTATTATTATCATATATATTATTCATGACCTGCCCCGACGACGATTTGTGGAAGTTTTTCTTCTTGAAGACACGGCAAACCACCCACCCCTCTTCCTGCCCTGACGACAAATCTCCATACATATTCGAAACCTAAATTAATTAACCCAAATTACATGTCAAAATCAGAGACATTGCGTAAATAGTAATTCAACGAAAAGGGAATTAATTAGTGATTAATTGATTTACACGATGAGCAGCGGTGGTGGAGTCATGAAGATCATCATCAAGGAGCCTGTATTCGTGCATGATCCAATCGGATTTCTGGCCGTGTGGAGCTCGGCCCTTGTAGAAGACGAGGGTTTTCCGCATTCCGATTCTCCGGCCATTGCAGTATATGACCTTGTCCCGGCCCGTCGCCTTCCAGAATCCGGCGGCCGTCGCGCGGTTGGTCCGCGTCCCCGTCGGATACTTCTTGTCCTTGTGGCTGAAGAAGTACCAGTCGTTCTGGGGAGTCGACCCGATTCTGCATATCTCTGTAGTGCAGTGTATGTACCAAAATCATCAATCAATCAATCAATTAATTAATTATATATTAATTGTCAAATTATATACCTTGAATATCCCAGGGCTCGAGCTTGTTGAGATCGACGTCCTGGATGACGTCAAGATCGATTTTCTCGCAGGCGACTTTCTTCCTGAGGTAATAGTTGAGAAGCTCTTCTTCCGTGGGATGAAATCGAAACCCTGGAGGCACCTGCGACTGACCGTTTACTGACAATCTCATCCTTATAATCAATCTGCCTCTCTCTCTCTCTGCTATATATATATATGTATGTATAATGTATATATTCAATTACAGATTGGTCATGGCTGATGATAATTTGTTTGGAATGAATTGAAGGGGAAAATGTTCCAATATTCCATGCAGAAGAAGAAATCCTTGCTTTTTTGGCAAATTCCTTTTTCACAGAAAAGAAAAGAAGACAGAATTGAAATGAAAGGCGTGGAGGGACAAGTGAAGTGAGGGTAATAATGGTTAGAGGACATATATGATGATGAAATATATAAAGTGCTATATAGTGGTCGGGTGGATTATACATATATGCATATGCATGGAAAGAAAAGTTTTTGGTGCTGTGGAATTTTACTAGGGTCTAATTCATTTCAGAGTACCAACCTAGCTACCTCTAAATAAATTAAATTGCCTTAATTATATATAATTAGTTAAGTTTACATATAGAACTAATTCTTTGTGGCTTAATTGTGTGCAAATTTGGACAGATTCTACGTACATTAATTATGTATCTGTCTATATACATATACATGGACCATATATAGTACATGAATGGAATGTAATCGATCTAAGACTAAGATACAGAAGAAAAAAACAAAGAAAGAAAGGGGATTTACCGTCACTACCTAATTAATTAATAAGTTGAAATAAATTAGTACGTAAAATATAGTATAGAGAAACCCTAATGTAATAATATAAAGTGAGGAGACAGTGTTGGGTTGAAATTGAATATCTCCAAAGTGATCGTTGAATGAGAGAGACGGCAGGTGTGGGCCCCATTAGGTACAACATAATCGTGGGCCCCGCAGTTTTGGACTTTGATAATTGATAGCTTCGCCTAAGGCGACCTAAGGGGCAGAGATGTCAATTCCGCAACCACGACACTCCACCTTATCATAATAATAATAATAATAATATCATAAAATAATAATAATATTAATATCATTTTTATTTTTTTTTAAGTTTTGAAGTATAAAATAAAAATAAAAATAATAAAAATTTGACTTTAATGTGAATTTTTAATAAAAGAAATATATATATATTTGATATGATATACTTTTTTTATAAATAATGTAAAATTTTTTTGAAAATATCTATACAAATAAAGTCTTATTTTTATGGTTAATTCTAGTTGTATTACCATTTAGGGTGTGTTTCTTTCCAGATTAGATGGAATTTAGAAATTTAAATTTTTTATTTAAATAATATCTGTAAAATAAAATATTTTTTTATATAAATATAAAGTTTAAATAGTTAAAGAAATATCTTAATTATTTTTTTATTTTTAAATATTACTCCCTCCTTTCTCTTCTATTTACCTACCGTGTTCACTTTTTTATTTTCGTATGTCTTATTCTGTCATTTTTGTTTTTGAAATTTTTTTTATAAACTTTAATCATATATCAAATTCTTTTATTTTAATTATACTAATTGATTATCTTAATCTTAATTTAAAATTTTTTATTATAAGATAATTATTTTTACTTATCTATTCTTAATTATTTACTAATTATGCGCATCTTCTAAATTTTCGTGTATAGAGTAAATTAATGGGACAAGATAACTAGGGCGGAGGGAGTATATACTAAAATGCTTAGATTTTATTATTTGTATCACTACAAAATATCACATTTTAAGATCTTTTTTAGTTAAAAGTATTTAACTATAATTTTATTTTTTACTCAAAATATATTGATTGAATATATTTATATATATCAAACTCATCATTTTTATAGTTATTTCTTAAATAGCATATAGTAATATACAATACTCTCAAAATATATTCAAATAATTCGTATTTTTCATTTAAATTAATACTATATTCAATAGTAACTCGTTTTACTCATGCAAACACTCCCAACGGACACCAGCCATGATTGAGATGGAAGACATTCGGACAAAGTTTACATCATCCCTAATTAATTTTCAATATATGTATATATTTGCTGCCAAATAATGTTACATTGAATTCATATATTTGTTTTTGTACATAATATATACATCCCAAATATCCTAGCTTGTGACTTTTTAAATAGTAAAAATTGAATTATAATAATTGTTTAATATAATGTAAATAAGTATTGCATATGATATTTTGAATATATACTTCGATTTTTTTTTATGTATATATGTTTTTAACAAAATGACTTGGTAATGTGATTTTTTTTAGGGTTTGCAATTGTGTTTCAGAAATGTAGGGGAAGGGGACATATATATATATATATATATTATTATATATATTTACCAAATGGAGTAATGTTCAAGAAATGTCTGCATCCATTTCAATGCCCTTATAATATTTTAGAATGCTACAGTTTTAGAATTAAGAAATGTATGCTTTGAAATATATTAATTTAAATATCCACATGCATGCATGTATGCTTCTAGAACAATTTAAAGAGTTGTAGGGTTTCCTAGAAAGTTATTTGAGTCACATTAAATTTTTGTATAGTTTCTAATATTGTAGCTTATTTTAGAACACTAATTCGACTGTCTATTTATTTGAGTCAGGACTTATTCGCTCATAACAGAGTTAGAGTCGAAAACATGACTCTCTTGCTTTCAATAGAGTTAGAATCGAAAACAAAATTCTCAACAACGTTAAAATCAAAAATAGACTATGCCAGTTGAATAGTAGAGATGGAGACGACATGAAAATAGCAGCATGCCCGAGCATGACTATGAATAGAAGAAGATACATCAATAAAATATAAAATTATATATGAGATATAACGGGTCATAGATGTACCCGGAGAGAATTCGACTATGATACCATGTTAGAATATGAAATTGAAATTCTCTATTTCAATTATAAGAATACATACGTATTTATAGTAATATACCAATCGTATAAATAATGCAAGAATCCTACGAATCTCTTAAATAAGATAACTACCGTAAATATAATATATTTCTTCTAAATATATTTTAACATTGTCAATATTTTACTAATCTTTGGCTTTAGGAATACTTATTCATGCATAATTGCATATCAAATCTCAATAAGTAGTTAAAAGGTTGAAAAAGGTGCTGAGGAATTTATATAGAAAAATGTGAAAAGATTATATATCAATATGGTCGACTAATAATTTCTCGTTATGAATACTTCCAAAAAGTTCTCTTTAAATATAACACATAATTAACAATATAAGATAATACTAATTCATTTAGCACATACCATGAGTGATCTCGACACAATATGTATATGGTATGAACTAATAATACATAGTAATAATCTATAAAGCGCATATTAATTTAATTCAAACTATATGTTGAAAATTTGTTATTCATGTATTGAAACTAATATGCACCACAATGATTAGCCCTAATCAATATCCTAACTCTTTTATTTGAATAATACAACATATATATATATATATATACTATCCACACAATCACTCGATTATATTAGTCGACGACAAATTCGTTGTGAGATTTTTGTAAACATTTTATAATTATTGGGGCTAGTATATATATACATATATGCATATAAACCTTTAGGTTGTTCAACTTTTTCAAAATGATGATTACATTGCAATGGCAACAATAGGGCACCACATTATGACATGTTGACAAGTTACTCAAAGTGGGATGTTTAAACCAAGTCGATGCATGCATGTGGACTTGTTTTTGTATATATACATACAAATTTGTGTCTTAATCATATATACCTTTACTACATATGTATTAGCTTATTTGATTTTTACAAGTCTCCTTAATCAATTGTATAAGAATTAATTAGTCTAACTGAATCAAGAATGTACAATGTATTAAAACATGCATATTTAATTGCCTAATAATTTAATTAATTACAAATGTATGTTGCAAAATTAAAAAGGGGGTTTTAGAAATGGAGCAAAAAGAGTCGTCTAATCAAGTAGGTGTGAATTTGATGGTAATAATTAATGTTGGCCCCATTAATTTCGAGTCATTTTTCTGAAAATCAAGAAAGTAGTATAGTTTCGATTCATCATATCATTTTGTAGACACACGAATTAATAATATTGCAAATTAATATTATTTTAACTATATATCTTAGTTAGCTTTTTTTACTAGCAATTAATTACAGCTGATTTGGGTTGGGCACTCTATTTGGCCAATCAGAGTCCAAAATGTGTGTTTCTGCACGATCAAATTAAATCTTGTCTGGTTTTTTAGTCAAATGAATTATTAAGGATATCATATTTTGAAACTCAAGTATCATTCGGACAACGTTTCTTATAATAATTCATAGGCCCCAACAAATTTTTATTATATTTCCAAGAAGCTTCAGAAAAATCATTTATATAGTAGGTGAACGAACGAACTGCTGCAGTAACATTTACAATATAAATAAAATACTATATAACTTTATGTATATGTGAATACATACATAATTAATCTTCCATGTAATAATAATTTTAAAATATCGTAAGTACCATTATTCAATATTATTAATAAAATGCATGCATGGCACTGTAGAATATAAGTTGAATCATTTCAGATTAATTTCTTGTGCTTTTATGTAAAATTTATTCAGAAATTGAAAATTAGATCACTACTAGGTAGTAATGACATGGTACCAAAATATCCCATCTGATGAATACCATAATTAATCTAGTCATATAGTGGAATTCATATATATATATAGAAAGGGAGATTAATATATTTAAATTTACAGCTAGCTAGCAAAACTAGAAATTCAATTAACCAATTGATGATTCATGTCCACCTACACATCAAAAGTCCACTAATTTCAAAGATTATTGCACACTTTCGAACCTAAACCTTATCGAGCAACCAAGAACCACTTCTAACTAACAACATTTACTCAATCTTTGTGGACAACATTAATTTTATCACCCACATATATGTATATATAATTTGTCTTATAATGTTTATATATATATATATATATATATACAATTAGTGGTGATCATAATCAATTGAGATACGAAAATAAAATTTCACTAATGCAAAATACCGTTATGAGGTCAGTCCCATTCTCTCAATACAATGATGATATTTTTTTCCTTAAATTCTAACCCTAATCATGAATTTATCCAACAATTGACAAACCAACCACTTTCTACTTTTCATGTTTTTTTTTTTTTTTTAAATTTTATTTTTTTTAACCTGTTATGCCCCATCTTCAATTTCCACTTGTTAATTAATTGCAGTTAAGGCTGCTGTCGACAGTTACTGCACTTATTTACTTACCTTATTGCTTACATTTCTATCTTTCAAATTATTTTATGAATAAATCAATTTTAAATTTGATATTTGTGACAAGTTTTTTATTTATTAAAATTTGTATATGTTATACACATTAATCATATAGTATTTATGCATTTAATTAACAAATGGATGTATACTCGTAATTTCATATACATATTTAGATAGATTATATAAAGCACTAGGTTATTATTAGTCGAATTAATAAATATATATATATATATATATGATGCCTATAGTTATAAGTATTTGGAAGACTATCTAGCTAGACAAAGTATTATGAAATAATATATCGATTCGATTCGATATGATCAACGTGTTCATCACAACAAGTATGAAAAATTAAACTTTGGAGAAATTAAACTTAGCATTAGAATTGAAGAAGCAAATGATTATCGATCACATTTATGATTGATACGTTGTTTGTACGAAAAAAAAGAAAAAAAAAGAAAAATAAAAATCATATATATATATATATATATGCATGCATGTGTGTTACCAAAACTCCATCAACTTATATAACTATTAGTTAGGAGGCGGCCATCAATTAATTAAAACAGTTTGATTGGACCTCATCTATGGGCTTCATTAATTAATTAATTAATTATCTACGTTATATATGTTGTTACTACTCATGCATGTACGTATTTACAACAAACAATACTGCTTAAAAAATTAAATAATTTTTTGATGTGAGGTAACACATACTGAATATCAATACTCCTAATTGATAATTATTAATTATACATATATATATATTTTATTTTTAGTAAATTTATTTATCTTAGAAATATTTAATAGATATAAATTAAATTATTAAATTGTTACACGTATATTCACTTTAAAAAAAAAAAAAATTATTTCTATATCTCTTTTTAATAAATAAATATTTTTATCTATGTTAAAACTCTCTATTTTTTTTTTTATAAAACTAGTTTAAGTTAATTATAAATACATAAATATATATGTTTATTTATTTGTATTATATAAATTTTTATTATCTAAAAAATAATATTTTATATTATATATGTTATTGAAATATAGTTTTTAAAATATCTAAAAACATATTTTAATTTTTTTAATAATATATATTAATTCTTTATATATATATATAAATAATATAATAGTATATTTTATTATTAATAAATTATTAATTACATTATTTATATTAATTTCAAAATGTAATACCTACAAGGCACAGAAACACTACCCAAAGCCCATTTTCAAAAGGGATTCATGTGGCCCCAATCCTTTTACCTATCTATATAATTCTAAAATTATTTACAATATATATTTATGAGTTTAAGGGTGCGTTTGTTTTTTTTTTTTTTTTTTTTTTTTTACAAATTAAACATATCATTATTCATTTTATTGGATTTTTAATAAATATATATTTTTATAAAATATCACATCAAAATATTATTTACATCAATATCCAAATTAATACTCTATTTCAAATTATAATTAAACAAATCCTAAATAAAACAAATAAATATTATATTTATTTTCTAAGTAAGTTGTTTTATACTGATTTAATTTTTAATGTTTATTTATATTTTAAATGTTTTTATTATTTAATTTATAGATATTATTTCTTAAAAAATTATTGTTATTCTAAATACCATATTTAATTAAAAAAAATATTTCTAACTATGTAAAAAAATACAAGTGAACATGCTCCAAATAATTTATAATATTTAAATTTATTATATTTAAAGTTTCTATATAAATATTTATTTTTTTATTTATAATATTATATTAATAGGGTCTTAGATGGTAAGATTGTATCAAAACAAACATGTGTATGGTTTTAATTAAAATCGATGATTAGTGTAATTCAACTATATATTTTTAATAAAAATGTAAAAGAAAATAAAAATTAATGAAATATCATACTATTTAAGTATTATTTAGATTAAAATTCAAATAAAAAGATCAAACAAAAAATTTTCAAATACTATTTTTCACTTGATATTAAAAGTACACTATATACATAATCTTATACAAAATATATATTATACACACTCTAAGTTACTGTATACAACAAAAAATGTGCCCAAATAAATACAATAATAGTAATATAATCGATTCCTACCAACAACGATGTGATTTGTTGAATACAATATTCAATGCATGGCTCAATGAAAGAATGTGACTTATGTTTAAAGTTTATATGTAACAAATATATATATATATATATATATATGAGGTTTGGAGATTTTGTCTTTGCAAATTGCAATGATAAACTAATAATGATCCCAAGTTCCCAATGGCAGCCCACATTTTTATTTTATTTCTCTAAATCTCAAACTATATTTTAGTAATTTAGCATCCAATAATTGCAATTGCTAGCTATTTCTTTTTCTTTTTCTTTTTCCTTTTTCCCAATTGTGGTGACCTTTATAGGTATCTGCAGAATTATTTTTTAGAGATTCTTAATCTTGTAGCCTACTTAAAGTAAGACATTGACATGAATTCTATAATCCCATTTTCTGAATAATAAGCATACACATATATATACAAGTTAAAAAAAAAATAAACAGTAGATACAAGCTAGTTCAATAATTAGAAGATTTTGTCCAGACAATAGACAATCATATCTATACATATCTAATTAGAAGATACAGTTAATCTTAAAAGCTTTGTATCCAAAAGAAAATGAGACGAGATTTGATTATAGTTCCTCCACCGTATGATTTTTAATAAAAATATAATGCAATGGAAGTCAGGTAACAAGAATGAGTTCACATACCGTCTGGCTCTCATCCATCGAATGCTTGTGCTCTAGTGAAAACAAATACGCCGCCCCCTCCAACTGCACGACCCAAAAGCATGTTTCTATCCAGGTATGACAGGTAATAAAGTCCCCCGGCAGATCGCCTGAAAAAACACAAATCCAAGTCCAAAGTAAGAGAGTGTTTAAGTAACAGTTGTTAAGGACTATCTGAGTGTTTATACCTCTGTGGGCTTCTCACAGGAACCTGAGCTTTGAATGATTTAATGAACTGGAGGATCTACATAAGGCAGCCGTGATTTTCAAACTAATCGATGCACTTCAAGAAGGTCCGAGTATAAAAAGGCAATTTCTTGCTGAAACTAATTTACATTTCTAGTGGACAATAGATGAAAAAAAGTCAGGATGAAATCTCTAGCATTATTCATTACCTGCAGATTCAGAAAGGATCGCGGTAGTATTGCTGGAGCGAGCAGAGCCTGTAACTCATCACTGATGTTAATGTTCTGGATAGCTATCTGCCGTATTGAGTAGAAAATTGCAGAATATACTTTAGGGATGACAGTGATTGCGTTGATTGTCATGGGAAGAGGAATCAAATAAATGATGTAAGAATGTACTCAAGAGGCAGAAAAGAACGAACTACAACAGCTTCTATCCTCAAGCAGGATATTGAAATATCAATTCATTATATGAATGTAGTGTCTAAGAATACAAGTTCCTCAAAACATTTTTGTGTATCTTTGATGACTTATTATTCTCAGGTATTTTCTTCACATTTTCTCCACAAAAAATCGAGAAATTCAGAAAATAGATATTCGGGCCTCAGAACTGGCATTATTTACACACATTTTGTAGTTTCAATAGCTACCTACACAGAGCATGCAGTTTACACATTATAATGTTTCGGACACAAACCTCTTCAAACTCGAGATAAATGTTGCGTTTAGAAACAACAGAAAATTTGGCAGACACAAGCAAGACTGCACCCTCTTCCTCCTGTATCATGAAACAATTGCATGTTCATAAAGTATACAGCTCAAAGTGACGAACATAGAAAATAGCGCTTTGATTAGTATAGTGTAGATAACTTTCACCAAAAGTATTTACCCTACTTCACTCGAAAAGATGATGACAGAGTCAATCAAATTTACAGTGAACTTTATCCTCTTCTCAAAATGGTGGACACAGAATTTTATTCCTTACTTTTATGAATTAGCTTTGAGAATGTTTTCATTGCTTCTACTTTATGAAGGCCATCATCATTTACAGTCATCTCTTTTAACAAAATCCAAACTTGGACTGCGTCTGTGTGAAATACACATCATTTTCATAAACTACTGTTTGCATCACCAAAATTGGATTATAGATCTAAAATTTTTCCTCCATAACTTTCATAGCTCCAACATTTTGCCATAGAAAGCACAATACAGTAAATCTAATATGGACTTCCTGAGACTAAGAAAAAGACAGCATTTTTCCATCGCCAATAGAATAGAGGTAGTAGCCAAAGACAAAATTATCATCTGCCTCCTTTCGAAAGAGTAGACATAAAGAACTTTCTAAGTGACATATGTTATGCAGCTTTCAAAAGTGTGCTAGATCTTAATATCATCCTACAAATTACACTAAACATCAGAGATGGGTTGAATCTGCTATCCATTCCTAATGCTACACCCAGGCTTCAAAAGAATTTGCAACTTGCACTCTGCTTACAAAGAATTTCTTTTTGTGATAGTCAATGTCTATTTCAGCTTTTCATTTTTCTTTTTTTCGCCAATCAAGTGCTGACAAAGAACACACAACCACATCTAAACTAAATCAAATTAAACATGGAAGTCCTTACACAAACGCTTCTGCTATCAGTTTCTCAAGGCTCATCCACCGATGGCTTCACAGATTAAAAATCAGCATTTTGTACTTCTCAACACAGAATTTCAGAATGCAAAGGAAATTGCATAGCAACGTACTTGCAGCAATCTAGGTATGCTCCATCTGACAACATTTCGAACAATACCCTGGCTAGATTGTCCGCCACACTCAAATTTTTGGAAAATTTGATCAACCTATCGGAAGGCAGATATAAACCCTAACTCCCAAAAACCAATCAAATAGAAATTGGTGCACATCAAGAATACATCAACCACATATACCTCTAAGAAAGGAAGAGTTGAGCCAGATTGTAGGAGAACGAGCACGTCAGGAGCCGAAGTGTACTGCAGGCGCCAAGTGCCATCCAACAAATCCAAGTCAATCGGCTTCCCAGCGTCGAAACTTTCAACAGTCACCTGCCAGAGAACACCACCAATACACCAAACTCTTTGTCAATTAAACCCTAATAATTAAAATCGCACAATTAGGTATTTCACAAACCAACCAACCAGGGCTTCCTCTATGCCAGAGCGTTGATCGGTCGTAGCATTTAGGCCGCGTTTGGTGTCGGTAACGGCTCTGAGCAGCTCGAATTTCTGATTCTCCAGTTCAATTTCGGACTCCTGAACCAAACTGCTTAAACTAAGACAAAGTGAATGGAAGCAAGGAATTTACCCGAACAGAGAGTATAAAACGATAACAAGAAGGAAAATAAACTTACCCTGAGCGTGTTGGCAGCCATCGAAACTGCGGAGGCCAAACATAACGAAAATCTGGGGCATGGTTGAGCTGCAACTGGAAATTTCTTCCTGGTGTAAGAAACACGCGGCGGGAGAAATGGAGCCGTTGAGGCTAGGAACGATGAGGCAGCATCCATTTCGAATATCTTCTTACTCCGTCGCCATTTACACTGTCGATTGATCCTCTTCGCGAAACGGTTGTCCGATGGCCGTCGTCGTGTGTGGTCGAGAAGAGAGTTGACTAGCCGCATTCATGATGATTAATTAATAATTAGTTTTTTAATTATTTAATCAATAAAAATAATTATAGGATTATAATCTCCCGTCAAGAATTACTCATGTTGAAACTTGAAAGTAGACATTGAATTGATGGAGTATAAGTATAACTAAATTAAATTATATCGTGATTTTTCTACTAAAAGAAAATTATATTTTCTACTTAAAAAAAAATGATTTGATTTCTTACATTCAGTATAAAAAAAAGTATTTAAATCAAAACACTAAAAAGACGTCAATAATACCATTTCCTAACAATATATTGTTAACTAAATAATTGTTAAGTAAACAAATTATACTCATGACAAATAAATATTTCTTATGTCAAACTCTTGTGGATCAATCGGTAGCTTGAGGGTTAGATTCAAGTTGGATTCTCCAATCCTGAGTGTGTGTTAGAGAGATCGTGGTTTAAACCTCACCTCCGACACGTTATTAATATTTTTTTATTGTAAAAAATGTTTGATTGTATATTTTTTATTTTTAAGTAATAAAAAATTACATATCATGATTGATTAATTATATTTATTTATAATTTACAAAATTAATTAACATGTTAGTTATTTTACACATAATACAAAATTATGAAATACATATTAAAAAAGTAATAACAATATATTTATTTAAACATAAAAATAAACCACAATGAAATTATAAGGCTGGTGGAGTAATTGAACTATACATATAAGCATAGGTCTGCGAAGTAAACCATTTCCACGATTAGGGGCATAGCACCATTATTATTATTATTATTATTATTATAATTATTAGAAGATGAGTAGTATCAAGAATTTTATTGCTACTCAATCAAGCAATATACTCATTCTTATTTTTATATTTCACTTAAAATAAAATTTTAGCATCACGATTGCATCTTCCAACACGTATTTTATTTAATAAAGCTTTACACTACGCCAGCTAACTAACTGTTGGGTGGAGAAAGCAAAAGAGGGTCAACCCATTTATAGTTTTGCTGTTGCCAGAACACGTGCACGTGCTCGTGGCGTGCATAAATTGAAGGGAAATTCGCGTGAAGAACCACAGCGACCAAACCACGCACAAAAATGGGCAGTTCGGAAAATGATCTCCTTCCAAAAGACACCATCGGAAAAGTCATCACTTGCAAAGGTACATAGCCACAAATTATGTTTGTCATAACACAATATTATTAACATTCTCTAATATATATATATATATATATATGTTTGAATATAAAATAGTTTCTGATATTTGAATATTTATAAAAAATAAAAATTATATATTGACAAAAAATAATTTTAACGTGCATACATATATATATATATGTAGAGTCTAAACGACAATATATAAAAAAATATGCTAACAATATATAATTATCATGATGTTCAATTCATAATTACGCAGCCGCGGTGGCTTACGGTTGCGGCGAGCCGCTGGTGCTGGAGGAGATACTGGTGGCGCCGCCGCAGAAAATGGAGGTCCGAATTAAAATCCTCTATACATCAATCTGTCACACGGATCTCAGTGTTTGGCTAGGAGAGGTACTATTTTTAATTAAATATTAATTGCACAATTATATATTTCTTACTAATATAATTAATTTCAATTTAATTTGCATCTTCTCTAATTCATAATTTGTTCGATCGAAGCATGAAGCATACAGAATATACCCCAGAATTCTCGGGCACGAGGCATCCGGGTAAAATTACATTTAAATTTATATATATATATATATTGTCAGTATTCTTACACAAGTTTTATTACAAAATGAAAAGCTTGGTTGAATCTGTGGGAGAGGGAGTGGATGACTTGGAAGTGGGGGACCACGTGGTGCCGGTGTTCAACGCGGAATGTCGAAAATGCCCCTACTGCACATCCGAGAAGACAAACATGTGTAAGAGAATTGAAGTCAACCCTGCCGTGGCAACCATGGTCAACGACGGAAAGTGCCGGTTTTCGACCAAAGACGGTCAACCCATCTATCACTTCCTCAACACTTCCACCTTCACCCAATACACCGTCGTTGACTATTCCTGTGTTGTCAAAATTGACGCAAATGCCCCTCTCCAGAAAATGTCACTATTAGGCTGCGGCGTTTCTACAGGTAAACCAAATTTTAAAAATAAATTAATTAATTAATTAAGAATATTGAATGAGAGAAGTTATTGTGTGTGTGCAGGTCTAGGTGCCGTGTGGAACACCGCCAATGTGCAGCCAGGTGAAACTATAGCTGTTTTTGGCCTTGGAGCTGTGGGATTGGCTGTAAGCATATTTTTATTTTTATTTTTAAACTTAGAATTAATTAATTGACAATAAATAAAATTACATTCGTATTTTTTTGTTATTATTATTTTTTTTCTCTATTGATTGATTGACTTTTTATTATTATTTTTTAAAAATGTATATTCGAAGGCGGTAGAAGGGGCTAGGACTAGGGGAGCTTCAAGAATCATTGGAGTCGACATTAATCCTGATAAACGAATTAAAGGTACGCTCTGATTCATGAATTGAGTGTTAATATATCATAAAAATAAAAGTATAGTTCAATAAAATTTATATTTTATTTAAATACATATGATGTTAATTGAACAATGAAACTATTGATCTGTTTGTGGCGTTGTTTGGTTAGGAGAAGCAGTTGGAATAACTGACTTCGTTAACCCCAAGGATCTCGATATACCAGTGCACCAGGTGGCCACCAAACTTTTAATGTTATTCATTATTTTGAACTTTTAATTTTTCTTTAATAAAATAAATTGAATTCGATATCGAAATTTTGCATGTAGAAAATAGCGGAAATGACAGCCGGTGGCGTGGATTACAGCTTCGAGTGCGCCGGAAACTTAGACGTCCTCCATGAGGCCTTTCTGTCGACCCATGAGGTATAATAGCGTAACTACTATTTAAATCGCAATAAAAAGTAGGTACATTGGCTAACACGTTTATAAAAGTCTATATTTAATATGATGTTTTTGAAAAATTTGAACAATGTCGAAATTCTAAAAATATTTGTAAGTAAACAAATCCTAAATATTTTGAGTGTAGGGTTGGGGTTTGACGGTATTGATAGGGATGCAAACATCGCCAAGATTGCTCCCCATACATCCGAAGGATTTCTTCAGAGGACGGAAAATGGTGGGATCGATTTTTGGGGGTTTCAAGCCCAAATCACAATTGCCTGATTTTGCTCGACAATGCATCAACGGGGTATATATCTATGGACAGGCTGAATTTTATGACTATTTAGTTGAAATATTAATTGAATTATGCTAATGTAACGATGGATTGGCGATGTAAAATTGAATTGCAGGTTGTGAAGCTGGACGAATTCATCACACACGAGATGCCATTTTCGAAGATCAATGATGCAATGCAACTCCTCGTGGAAGGCAAAACCTTGAGATGCCTTCTTCACCTTTAATTTAATTTAAGGGGGTTGTTGATTTATGAATGAATTAGACATACTGTATGGTTTGCTATTTATATCTTATCCGATGTTGCTAATTATTTCGTAATCTTTTTCGAATCCTATTCAATCAAATTTATCTCTATCTTTCTTTATAATTCTAACCAACAAAATCCATCTATTTCTCAACAAATCACATTAAATTCTCAATCAAACTCACAAGAAAGAAAAAAGAATGATGGTAGAGAAAATTGAATATCCAAATATATATCTATATATATATATATGTATGTGTGTGTGTCTCAAAGGCAGTAAGAATCTTATCTAAGTAAGTTTTCTCCAATTCGTTGCTTCGGTTGGAGTTTCATTTAGAAAATTGGCTTCACTTCAATCTTTGGATTTGCATATAATCACGTGTCACAAATTTTGTCATCTTATTTTATATATATATATATATTTCAAATTTAGAAATATATGGAAGATGGTGTCAACTTGGGCTGTTTTGAGTTGGGCCCAAGTTCATTTCCATATTCACACAATCATAGCCTAATATTTCAAATATTAGTAATGGGCCCAACTGTTGTACCCCAAATATGACTAATTATTATATATTTAAGACAAAATCATTGTATTACAAGTCACTTTGGATGCATGTTACCATTTTAAATAAGTCTTCTCTATCATAATTATCTAATTATATGAATTATATTATCGAATTTAATTTGCATATTATTAAGGAACAGAAACATTCTTACTTTTTACTTGCCTAAAAACTTCTTTGAAATTATCTTCTATAATAAATATTTGGTACAATATAAATATTCCCTCCGTCCACAAACTAATGTCCTACTTTCCTATTTTGAATATCTAATAATTATCGTCCTCTTTTTATTTTTACACACAAAAATTACTTTTTTTACCCTTACTTTATTTACTCTTTCATTTTCTATATGACAAATTTGCAATTTTATAACAAAAATCCTAATTACCTAAAAATACGTATAAATATCAAATATGACATTAAAAAATGGACAGAGAGAGTCTTTGTTATAATATAGATATACTTTCAATGTAATATTGCGTATAAACAATATAATTTCGACGTACTATATTAAATAACAAATATATCATTAATAAATATTAAAAAAAAAGGTAATTTAGAAGGCTTAAAAATTTCAATTTCAAAGTTAAAATGAAAATAATATTAAAACATTCTAAAATACAGTGAAACAGAGCAGCAAACCTCAAGGATTTATTTTTCTAAAAAGAATTATGATTAATTTCTGTCTTGGGTCCCGCAAATGAATATTTTATTATTAATATTTACATTATATATAAATTGCAAAATCGAGACAAGTTTTAAGCAGACGGAACCCTGTCGACCTCTTTCTCTCTCTAAAACCTCTTCTCTAAAATCACTCCCTCAAAATTTCGATCGAAAACTCTGAATTGGATCCTGAATCCGTTCTTCCCTGTAATCTAGGGTTCCCATTTCAATTTCGGCGGGTAAAGAAGCAAGAATCTTTCCCCAACTTTCTTCTGGTTGGTGTACAGATTCCCTTTTCTTGTGTTCTCCGATCCGCGGGTAAGTTTCCGTTTCCTGATTCTTGCGAAATTCTAGATTTTTGAGGCGGTGCTCCTGAAATCGATCTAGTTTTAAATACAGGGGCTTGCGTGCGTTATCGGGATTGTGGTGCGGTGTAAGTCATGACGATTCCAGATTCATCGGGGTATAACTACATGATGGAGAATGGGTCGATAGAGTTGCCATGCAAGCCAGAGGAGGAGAAGAGGATTGTTCGCGAACTGAATGACAAAGCCGAATCTAATTTGCGGGAGGGGGATTTGTACTACGTCATCTCTAGCAAGTAAAATTTTTCTTCTTTTTAATGATTGTTTCTCGTAGTTAATTTAGTAATCTTAGTTTTATGTTTATATTGTGATAGAATTTGTTCTCTTATGATTTCGTTTATTTGTCTATATGGACGGTGGAATGAATAGTTTTTAAGTGGGTATCAAGGCGAAGCTATTTCTAAGTTTGAGTATGATTTTTGGCCTGCATCATGTTACTGTGATTATTGTGAAATCATCTGTGTTTTTCTTTTGTAATTTTAAGAAGTTCCAATTGTGGGGATTATGTAGATGGGTTTTGAATCTTATCTAGAGAAATAGCAACATAAGTACATTTTGGTGGTTGATTGGTTTCCTGGAAGTTCTCATTCCCCCTAGCTGTCAATTAGAAGTAAAGCTGTTTCATGAGCGTGACTGAGATTTCTTTCTTGCTTCTTTAGTTTCTTCAGGTGCTAAAATGTTCTTTTATCTGCCTCTTGCTTGTACAAGAGTCCTCTTGGGCAAGGGAAAAGGAGATCTGGAGGATATATTGATGCTTTTTTTCCTCTTTCACATCCTATTTAAATAATCAACAGATTAATTTTGATCTTCCAAGGCATTCTTCTTTTATATAAGATTACAGGAGATATGTTATTACTTCTTTTGTCTCAGTTATATGCACATGGAAGCATTGCCCAATTTAATCAATTTGTCACACACACACATATATCTTGAAGGTTATTTGTACTTAGTTGTGAAGTCTAAATAATCTCGGCACGTTAGTTTTAAATTACTGTGTAGTTTTTATTCTCTTTGGGTTGAAATTTTGAGCTGCTTATTAGGTTATTTATTTATAATTCTCTATTATTAGGCAATTTACTCTAGTAATTGTCAGATGCAAGGTTCGGTATACTAGTTCATATTCAATCCTTTCTTTTGACTTTTTAATAACCAGACATATGTGTATATATGTAAATGTGCTGTTATGCAACTCTCTCAGGTGGTTCATGGCCTGGCAGAGGTACACAGGGCAAGTAGAAGGTTCATATCCATTTGAAGATCGTTCGGATGAAACCCAATCACTACTGCCATCAAATTCAGATTATAGGCCTGGAATGATTGATAACACTGACATTATTGTGACTGGAGGGGATAAGGATGATGACCCTCAGATTGTAATGGTCTTGAATGAAGGGCCAGATTATGTATTAATTCCTCAGGAGGTTTGGGAGAAGCTCCATAAATGGTAAATGGTGTAATTGATAGTTTAAACTTTTGATTTTGTCCACTTCAATGTATAGCTACTTCATAGATCCCCGGAATGAAGTTCAGTGTGCAAAGAATCAAATTTTGATTAATACTTTTGTAATCGAATTCATTAAATATTCTATTCAAGATCATTCCTCAACTGCAGTCTTCAACATGTTTATTGACTCTGATAATTCTCTTTGTTGGAAATGTGCATCTATATTCTGCCTGCTGTGTTCACATAGGGAAAAGGCCTTCTGTTACTTTTTGGTCTGGGTTATTGCATACTATCCGTAAAGCTTATTTCTTGATTTTCAGGTACAAAGGAGGGCCGGCATTGCCACGGAAGGTGATCTCAGTTGGGGATAAACAGAAGCAGTTAGTGGTGGAAGTCTTTCCCCTGTGTTTCAGGCTAATTGATTCCAGAGACCAGAGCGAGCGGACTTTAAGATTGAGCAAAAAGGTAACAGAGAACCCTTCTTTAAGATATGATCAATTATGGATGATATATTGCATTAAAGAAGAGATATTTTCTTACAATTGTACATTTATAACATGGTAGACGTTATTTTCCAAGTGTGTCAACAATGTTATTTTACTCTACTGCATCAGTGCTTGATGCATGATATTGTAAACTCTTTTATATTTTATTTGTGCACATCACCTATTATTTAACATATGTAAGTGCTTTTTACTTAATTACTATTTTGTGTGGTTGGTATAGATTGTTGAAGAAGTGATGTTTGTTTACCTTGGCTACTTGTTGATTTATAAATTGTTGAAAGTTATCTTGAGAGTATGTTAGCATTTTAAATTGTCATCCTTTATCAGTTCTGGACATGCTTTTGTTTTGCCTCAAGTAATTTTTATTCTTAAGAACGTGTAAGGTCACTTATGTTTGTATAATTGCATTGTTCACTTACTGTTTGGATAGAATTGAGCTTTTTGACATTTTCTTAACCTGTCAATATTGGAGCTTAGTTTTATTATTTAGAAAATAGAAATATCTTTAATATTGTTCAGAGAAGCTGCCCTTGATGGCTTGATCTGACTTTTCATTTTCTTATTCTTGTTATAACCATTAAAAAAGAAAATTGTTCTTATTGATTTATTTTATTTTATAATATGAATTCACATGCTCTCTGATTCTGATTTCAGGTTACTTTGCATGATCTTTATGTAAAAGTGTGCCATCTTAAAGGTTTAAGTCTCGATGAGGTTTGTTTATGCGCAACACTTTCATTGTTTATTTTAATCTTCGTGGTGAGAACATTGTAGATGCATTCTATCTTTTATTGACAGGTTCACATATGGGACTACTTCGGTGAAAGGAAGCAAAGTATATTAACTCCTTCAAGCCAATTTCTTGGGGAGACTAATTTGCAGATGAATCAATCGGTAAGCTCATGCTGCCTTGTTTGTATCAGAAATTTTGAAACTAATTGTATCTTCAATACCTTAATTTGTGTGGTGACTTTGGTATGTTGTTATTGATTTTTCCAGCAGATTAATTCATATTATGATTGAAAAGTAAATATATACTTTGGTGCTTGGGATTACGTGGTTATTTTGATAAGGCTTTCTTTACGGCTCTGTTTTTGCCACTTATTTGGTTGAACTTGGATACTTTTCTTATAAACTATTTGCATAGCTCATTTCACTTGTACTTATTATCTTTTTGTAGATTCTTCTTGAGGTGCGAACTAATGGATATGGGATGGATTCGACTGGGAATGGTCTAGCCCTCGTACCAGTGGAACCAGCGAGATCACCATTTTCAATTGCTGGTGGACCAACCATGTCAAATGGAAATTCAACTGGCTTTAGCTCCAACACTTACCATCAAAGCATTGCTTCTTCTACATTTGGGAACTTGGAGGATGGACATGATGGTTTGAACCCTGGAACAAGAGGGGAGAGGGCAGGTCTTGCAGGATTGCAGAATTTGGGAAATACTTGTTTCATGAATAGCGCTGTTCAGTGTTTAGTCCATACAGCGCCACTGGTTGAGTACTTCTTGCAAGATTACAGTGAGGAGATCAACAGAGAAAACCCTTTGGGACTACGTGTAATTACTCTTTTCTACCTGCTTTGCAAGGTTCCTTTCCATGAGGATTTTGCATTTGGTATCCTAATCATGATTTTGATCTGACAGGGAGAGCTTGCAGTTTCATTTGGGGAGTTGTTGAGGAAACTGTGGTCATCTGGCCGATCTCCAGTTGCCCCACGTGCATTTAAGGGAAAACTTGCTCGTTTTGCTCCCCAGTTTAGTGGGTACAATCAGCATGATGCACAGGTTAGTTCTATGCCTAACTGAATCTGGTGTAAGTGATACATGCAGTTTTGTTTAACATCACTCAAACCGTGGCTAGAAAAACCTTGTTGGGACTTCCGTACTCTTGTTTGCCTCCTTGCTTTCAGTCTGTTGATACTGTATGCATGAATTCACCTTTTCATACAAAAAAAATTTAACTTTGATCTTTACGATGCTCAACATTTATTGTTTATATATTTGTCCCATTAGGAGCTCCTTTCGTTCTTGCTTGATGGGTTGCATGAAGATTTAAATCGTGTGGCAGACAAGCCATATATTGAAACAAAGGATTCTGATGGTCGGCCTGATGAGGAAGTTGCTGATGAATTTTGGAGATACTTCAAGGCCAGAAATGATTCAATAATCATAGATATCTGCGAGGTGAATCATTTGCATGATTTACTCAGTCATACGGCTCTATACATTCATCTCTATACTTCATATTCCATTTTTCCTTGTAACACTTATAGACGGTATTGTATTTAAAAAGAGTGGCTATTTGCTTTTAGATAGAAAATGTGAGATGAACAGATTTTGAGAGCTACTGCTGTGGCCTTATAAGCACAAGTTTTAATAAGAAACGGAAAAAAGAAATAAACAATTTTGTTCTACTATTGGTCAACTGATAATGATGGATTGTATTTTCTAAGCCCTCTTTGATTTGCTCTCTACCTAGAGATGTATATGTATTTTCTATGTACCATTAAGAGATTATGTTGTCGTTCTTGTTGATTAATTACTTCTACATAAAGAAATTTGGTTTTGGATATAATTCCTATAGTATTTCGTTGAATGTACTAATGGTAGGGAAATTTGACAGGGCCAATACAAATCAACACTGGTTTGCCCTGTTTGCAGCAAGATTTCAATTACATTTGATCCCTTTAATTGTCTGTCCTTGCCTCTTCCGTCGACAGCTACTAGGTCGATGACAGTAACAGTATTTTATGGTGACGGAAGTGGGCTTCCTATGCCATTCACTGTTACTGTTCTGAAGCAAGGATGCTGCAAGGATCTCAACCAGGCATTGGCTATCGCTTGCTGTTTACGCAGCGATGAATACTTGCTCCTCGCTGAGGTAGATTTTAATTTACCTTTGTTTATCTATTCACGTTGGTATCAGTATTGTTTCAGTTTTGTACAATTACCCCTGTTTATCTGAAATCTTTGTACTTTTTATCTGTTAGGTCTATGAACACCGTGTGTATAGGTACCTAGAGAAACCATCTGAACCTTTAGCTACGACCAAGGATGATGAGCATATTGTTGCATACAGGCTCCCTAAAAAGGAGGGAAATTCAATAAGACTTGAGATTTCTCATCGATATGAGGATATGTGAGTTACTTTTTTCATTGTGAGATAAATTGGATTAGTGTCATTTTCAATTTATTGCATGAATAATACTAGTTTATTATTATTATTATTATTATTATTATTATTATTATTATTATTAGTATTAGTATTAATATTAGTATTATGGACTCCCTGACAATGTTAAGCCATATTTCAGTGAAAGGAAGCTTTTCCTAACTCCGCTAGTTACTATCTTGGAAGACATACAATCTGGAGATGATATTGACCTTGCCGTTAGCAGAGTGCTCTCCCCTCTAAGAAAAAAGACTTTTGTTGCTACATTAAGGAGTCATCAAAGTGGACAAAATGGATCTGATATGAATGCCATGGAAGAGGAAACAATCAGCTCGCACGCCCAACAGGGACAGGCCATCTGCTCAATCGAAGAAATTGGGCCACAGGCAATGAGCAGTGGGGGGTGGTCCTTCCGTCTCTGTATTACTGATGACAAGGGTTATGGTTGCAGGCCTATAGCAAAAGATACACCCATTAAAGCTGGCCCTGTAATTAAAGTCATGCTCGACTGGACTGACAAGGAGCATGAATTATATGATTCAAGCTATTTGAAGGACCTTCCTGAGGTTCACAAGTCAGGAATTCTTGCCAAGAAAACCAAGCAGGAGGCCATATCTCTATTTTCTTGTTTGGATGCATTTCTAAAAGAGGAGCCTCTTGGTCCTGACGATATGTGGTATAGTAGATTCCCTGAAATGTTGTTCGACTGCAATTGTCTTAATTGTATGTTTTAATTTTCTGACCTTATTTTGGCATTCTTACATATGATTGATTGCAGGTATTGTCCTAGGTGCAAGGAATTTAGACAAGCAAGTAAAAAGTTGGATTTATGGAGGTTGCCGGATGTACTTGTTTTTCACTTGAAAAGATTCTCGTATAGCAGATGGCTGAAAAATAAACTTGACACATTTGTTAATTTCCCTATTCATAATCTTGATTTGAATAAATATGTGAGGAGCAAGGGCGCATCTGAAGGCTCACATGTTTATGAGCTCTATGCCGTCAGCAACCACTATGGTGGCCTTGCGGGCGGACACTATTCTGCTTATTGTAAGGTAATTAATTGTTTATATGCCAAATATGTATTTAGTATTTTACCCACAGGAATGAGTTTCCTGCATTCCCTCCCACCAATTCTTTTGCCTGAAAGTTCCTATGAAACTCTAATTTTATTTTCTTTTCTTGCAGTTAATTGATGAAAACAAGTGGTACCATTTTGACGATTCTCATGTTTCTCCTGTAAATGAGTCTGAGATAAAGACATCTGCTGCTTATGTTCTCTTCTACCAAAGAGTTAAATCTAACTCAGGTGGAGCAGTGGGCGAGGCATCAGGTCATATGGCATCTTAAAAGTCTCAAGCTGCTTCTGCTAATTTTACATTATATGGTCCATTCATATGCTATGCTCTTGGTTAATAAATGGAGTTTTTGTCGATATGGCATGGCACTTTTGCCCGGCAGCAGCATCAAAGTCGCTGTAGCAGTGGTTATGATATTACAGTTTGTTGAAGAGGGATCGTAGAACTGTGGGTTTCAAGGAAGAAACGACGGTTTACTATTTGAATGCTGCAATTTTTTGTAGGAAAGCTGTAAGTGTTGGATGGCCATTTTAAGTGTTCTAGAGCTATCATCAATCATGTCAATTGTTTTCTTGATGCACCTGGTGTTGTACTAATTTGGTTGCTGTTCCTTGGTTTCATACTTGTCTGTGAATTCATTGGTGGAACTTAATTCTGCCCTACCTAATCGAACATAATGTTGTGTAATGTTGATGCTTTATTACATCAATTATTTTGGACAATATCAGGCACTATGTAGTCTCCCATTTTCAATAATTTGTAGGATCCATTTCTCCACTAACATGATGATAGTAACAGACAAGAAGCACACAACAGCAAATCCAGCAAGATATGATTCCTTTTACCTGTTACAATAATATTCATACATCAGTAATGTCTAAAGACAACAAGACGCCATATTCAACAGGCAAAAAAATTACAGAGGGGAAAAGCAATACACCATTGCCAGCCTAAAAGTGATATCAATCCACAATCCTTCATCTTTGTCATATCCTACTAGACAGAAAGTCCTTGCATACTAACTACTTTCAGACATTTCTACAGGTGCAGGATTAGGATTTCATCACAACTTTAATCTCATTGAAAGTGCAGTGCTGTAGGCTAGAACAATGAAAGATCAGAGGATATGATGAAAAGTGGAACACTTTATTGTGAAGATGCAAAAGGAATAATAGAGAATGCGCCTTTTCCAGCCCCCGGGGGGCTCGGCAACTCCTCTCCCGTCCCCAGTCAATCCCTTTTCGGATTCCTGGATTCAATCAGAGTCGCAGCGCAAGAATAATTGATGCCATTATGCACACCATGGACAAGAGTCTTTGGAAAGGAAGCTTCTCCTGAAGTTCAGACAGGACATAAGGCACAAAATTAATGTTGTTTACTGAGAGACTAATACAATGTAGCATGATCAATTGAATATGGCATCTAGAAAACCCGAATAACTTTTTCGTATCTAGAACACAAGACAATTGCATCCTAACAAATTTTGAAACAAAATATGTTTACAAACAATCATAAACCCTTTGAACACTGGCTAAAGTATGCATTCTCTTTTCCAGAAAAGAACCGACTGAGTGACTTATGCACCAAAAGTTTCTCTAAAGGATGAGCCAATGTCTCATTAATCTTATTTCAACCCTAACTTTCTTCACTCATACTCCAGCAACATTTGACATTAATTGAAGCCAGCTAGTGATCCCACAACTGGTTAACAATGCCAAATTTTGCTGGGCTGGAAATTCTTGCCTGTATCAGAACAAGAAATGGCAGAAATGGATGGTGGGTGTGGGGATGCTGAACCAGTTTCTTCACATGGGGGGTTAGTTGAGCAATAACATATATCTTAAATGTGCAGCTAAAACAAGACAAGTATTTCAAAACATAAATAAATGCACATATGTATTAATGACTGTGCTCATTTAAGTAATTCCCTCACCCCAAGAAGTTAACAAATTCAGGGAAATGGTTAACTGTGCCTGTCCCTGCTACATTGTTTATTCAATTCTTTCCTATCGATTGGAGACCAGCATTTAATTTTTTCACCTAAGCACGCAATTTTTGTTCCAAATCCCAACGGTTATCTGCTATTCAAGTTCAATCACCGGCGCCGGCGCACATATCATGCATAAAAGTAACGCCATTAAGAAGTGCAAGAATCAGTAGGAGTTGCTCAAGAAAGGACTTACTGCGTCGTCGGCGGTGATGGACAAGTACCCGTCGGGGGAATCTACCGCCGGCATCAAGACCGGCGGCGTCTTCCCGTAGGAGCTCCCGTCGGAGCTCGACGGCGAGTTCGTACTCGCCAAGCCACTCACGTTGAACCCTAGATTGTATACCGGCGTTCCGTCGGGCTTGAAGAGCCCGAAGTTCCTCTCCGAAGTCGGGCCGGGCTTCTGATTCTCGTTGAAGAGAGCGAACAAGTAAATGTTGAGATTCAAATTGGGGCGCATCGGCGTTCCCTTCTTCTCCGATATGAGCTTTAGCAAGTTGCTGTTGTACGTCTTGGCGTTTTCCGGCGTCGCTCCGGGCTCGTCGGCGTCCCCCCGCGACGGCCAGCCCGTCTCGGAGATCTGCAGGCAGACATTTTTGTAGCCGAGCTTGTCCAGAGCGGATTGGACGGCGTCGATTTGGGCGTGGAACATGTTGTCGTAATGCAGGCCGGAGCCGGAGTCGACGATCCCGGAGCCCTCGAAGAGCACGAAATTCAAGGAAATCTGCTTGGGATCGGCCTTGTAGGCGAAGAAGGGGTAGGCATTGATGAGGAAGGGGGAGCCTACTCTGTTGTTGAAATCGAGAATGCAGGAGAGCTTCTGGGCGAGATCCTTGCGGAAGACGCCGGCGGAGGGGGGATAGGAGACGTCGAGAATCCCCAAATTGTGGGCGGTGGTGACGGCGACCTGGTTGTGGAGGTTGCAGGAGACGAGGGCGGCGTGGATGTTCTCCATGGCGGGGAGGAGGTGGGAGGAGAGGGAGGAGTCGTTGAAGGTGAGGACCTCGTTGCCGATGGAGATGGAGGTGATTTTGGTGGCGGGGAGGTAGCACTGGACGTTGGACTTGACCCAGGCCTGGGCTTGCTTGGGGTCGTTCATGGAGGACAAGTACTCGTTGCCCAAGCCGACGATGAACTCGACGCCGGTGTTGGCGAAGGCCTTGAGGACGCGGGGGTCGGCGTCGTAGAGCTTGATTCGGGTGGCGCCGATGGATTTGACGAGGGGGACGACGGATTCCGGGTGGGGGAGGTTGTTGGCGATCTGGCCGTAGTTGATGCCCAGGCCGGAGGAGTCCGCCGTCAGGAAGAAGAGAGCTGAGACTGCAATGGAATGGAATGGAATGGAGAGGAAGACATTCATCATACATACACATGAGTCATTGTTAGTTAGATCACAATTAGTGAAGCAGAAGAAAGTACCTGAGACGAGGAGCAGTGTGGAGCGAGGGAGTGAGAGTGGAGCGAGCTCCATTGCTGTGCTGTGCTGTGAGTGTGAATTGGACAGGAGGAGGATGACGATAGAAGAAAGAGAGACAGAGAGACAGAGAGAGCCAACAAGGAAGAAGAGAAGGGATGATAGAATTGGAATCCACGGCTGTAACCAAGTGTTGATAATGCGAACTCACACTCACACTCACACTCACACTCACACTCACTAATTAATTAATTATTTAATCATTTATATTTGAACGTTGACCATGTGCTCAATCATTATTATTACCGCTTGTAAATGTACACACACACACACACACACAACTTGGTGTATTCATATCATTCATGGGAATGGCCGAACGGGCATTCCATCTGATCTAATTATCCACTCATCTCAACTCAACTCAACTCGTATAAATTCAATCCTATTATTATTAATAATAAGGGAAGAATTTAAGCAAGATTATCTTCAATCCATTCATGATCGATCAAATATTACTTTATACACAGAAAGATGAATGAATAATAGAGCAATTCTGGATGATTGCCGTCAGTAAGTAGGACCTGATCTGATCTGAGATGAAATAGAGTTAGGTGTATGTGTTTACTATTTACTACGTAAGTGTAAGTGGATGGATGGATGGATTCCTAATTTTTCATATACTTTGTGTTCCAACAAGGATTCCGACAAACTTCACGTGGCCTTCTTCCCTTCCCTTCCCCTTTTCATCCAGCTGTGCGGTCCCTGTGCTACCCTACCCCATCCGCCTTCTTTCTCATCTTTTTACCACCTTCTCTCTCACCTATGCTAATAATACTAATAATTTTAACATTCACATTCACAGTGACACAATAATCCAAATGGATGCAAGTCCTAATGTATATACTATTTTCTAACATATTACTCACTCCATTAACTAATAAATTAAGTTGGTGAGTTTCATCACTTACTAAATTTTGTCACGCTATTAAAATACTAGCATTCGATTCTGATCCTGATCCTGATTTTAAATTAGTTTTACTCGAAACTTGCTTTCACTGACCTCTGATAGGTGTTTCTGGCATGCAATTTTTATTATTATTATAAGAGATTCAGTCAATCTTTATTTACAAATAAAGAAGTAAATATACTCTTACAGTTGTACCAAAAGAAGCAGCACAAGTAACTTTATATGCTAGTAACTCTAGATCTATCTGCATAGGAAAGATTCAGGTTATTACAGTAATCTAAATTCCATGTAATTTGAAAACCACAATACAATACACAGGTAGAAAATGATGTATGTCACCAACCACATTTATAGATATTTTCTTTCCATTCAATTTTCCTCTCATTGACTGCTAAGCATTTAAATAATATGATGCTCTTCCAACGGCTCTTTGGCCAGCTGCAATTATTTATATTTTTTATGACTTGTGCTAGTGCAGCTGTTTTTCGTGTATGTGACAAATTGATCATTTCTATGAACGAGTAAGGCTCCCATGAAAAAAAGTTATGCTGCTCAAAATGTCATGCATATTGTATCAGTTTTCAATTTCTCATAAATAGTACGACTAAAAGATTCAAGACAAAACCTCATCATAAGCTGGACAACTAATTGGTCCCCCAAAGCAATTGATTCATTGATTGAAATATTATTCCTGTAAAGATGTTACTGATTCTCTTCACCAACGAAATTATAACTGACTTTTGTATAGAGGATTATCTGCATTCAAGGAGTCGCGACATTCTCCTTTGCGAGTGGCGCGATTTCTTCACCATCAATACCGGGTTCGTTTCCTGCCACGGCCAGGCTTAGCAGCACGGATTCCCACTTCTTTGCAGGGCCCTACGTGATTGAAAATTTTATTAAGAAATGAATTTAGAGTCTTGTGCACACTGTATGTTTTGGGATCAAAATTAAGCATAGATGTACCTTCCATGAGAAATCTTGTGACATGCAATTTTTTATCATCTCTGCGAAGGCAGGAGTTCCATGGACAGCAAGAGCTTTGGAAACACCGTTTGCTACCTTCAGCACGTCTTCGGGGTCAACAGTGTCACACTGTTTGCAAGAAAACAACATTACTACTCTTGAAAAAATTCTGAAATTAGTTATAAAGACCACAGCAGCAGCATATTAGGTTGTGTTTACTTCATCTAATAAAATAATCTTCATGTGTTGATTAACACATGATCGTTATTTTATCATATGAACTAAACACCTCCTTAGATGATAAATACTAACATTGACATTAAATTCTCCCATATGGAATCCAGTGTATCCTTCTTTGACTGTGTCGACTAGGCCACCGGTTGAAGCACATATGGGAATCTGGTTCAAGAGGTTGCACATTAGGTTAGGATGCTTGAAATGATATTAACAGCAGTAGTTTGTATGGAGGTGCCTTACGGTTCCATATCTCATGGCATGTAACTGGATAAGGCCGCATGGTTCGAATCTACTTGGAATCAACATATAATCAGCACCAGCAATTATGGAGTGTGCCAAGGGGACGCTGAATTTTGCCACTCCTCTTGCTTTATCAGGATAAGAATCCTCAAGCATATCAATCTGGTCCTCAAATTGCTTCTTGCCGGTTCCCTGAAATAAACATCGGATCATTTCAATGTAACAGCACTGGATTTTCTGATGCAACCATATTACTGGGACAGATCCATTTCTTACTACTTACAAGGATTATTATCTGCACATTCTTTTCAATAAACCTAGGTATGGCAGCAGCAAGAATGTCTGATCCTTTCTGCTCTTCAAGTCTGCCGATAAATCCAATGACAGGGATGTTCTTGTCCACAGGCAATCCCAGTGCTGCTTGAAGTGCTTCCTTCAAAATGGGCTTAGCATCCATTACCTGAAACAAAAATCTAGATATGTAAACATATCCCTTACTCATATAAAGCAAGATTCAAATATTCTCATATCTCAATTTTGTAAGCAAGGAATGTAGTCTTACAGTGTTGATGTCGTAGTGACAATCAATGTGTTTATCAGTAGTTGGACTCCACTCTTGGACGTCCATTCCATTTTCAATGCCAGTTATAGAAACATCGCGGATGAAGTTATTCAATTCAACTCCCTTTGCATCACCAGAGACCAATTCCTGAGCGTAGTATGGGCTCACAGTTAGAAGCCTATGTGATTCTAAAATTCCAGCCTTCATCCAGTTAATTTTCCTCCCGGAAACCGGCTTATCGTACCTGCATTAGTAATTGAGGGCCAAAATCCCCAAAAAAATTAGCCACCAAGTAGAAGTTGTGATTGTTTCTTTATTACATAGTGGTTGTCATACCCATCCATGAAATCAAAAGAACTTTTGTACTCATCAGGCAAATTGAGATGCTGGAAGTCAGAGAATGCAAATCTTCCTTGATAGGCAATGTTGTGGATGCAGAAGGCAACCTATCAAGAATAAAGACAAAATTAGGATTCAAAATGCCTTATATCAATTACTAGTTGACCCAAAAAACAGAAGTACACATCACTGAATTTTGCTTACCTTGGCACTTGAGTATATTCCTCTGGATTGATACATAGACTTAAGGTAGCAAGGAAGTATCGCGGTGTGCCAGTCATTAGCGACAAAGATCACATCCTCACCTGAGAATGAAATGGAACATAAGGCGGTGTTCTTAAAAACAAAATAATTAGGAAGAGATTCAAAACTCCACAGATACCATATGGTCCTGAGAAGTGTTTGCTGCAGTTCAGATTCAAGAGCCTGGGAGCCTCCAGAGCAGCCTGAAATAAACATGCAAATCTCGTGTACAATCCAAATAAACTAAAATGATGAAGAAGAATAAACAGTTGCACTGTTATGAATACTAGCAGCAAGTTCCTTCAGGGTTTAAAATGTTAGTTGAAGCTCACCTGGCACAATAAGCTGAACCGAAGCTGGTTATCGTCGTAATCTACTCCAGGTTGAGGACCATATATCTTTGATTTAGTTGGCCCCCATACCTTAAGACATACAAAGTTATACGCTCATAAAGTTCTTGAAAAGTAACCGAATGATTAAACTCAGATCTAAATCTATCTAATGAACCATTTTGTACCTTCTCCAGGAACATGGGGTGATCAACAAAAACACGATCAACTCCACGCTTGTAGCAGTGGAAAAATCTAACTGTCTCGTACCTATCTCCAACTTTTACCTGTAATGTAAACATTAGAACAGAACTTCACAGGGGAACAATTGAGATTAAGCACTAGTTGCAAAAAAGAGTTAACCTCAACAACCACACCAGTATCCCAAGCATCCTTATACTGGTCATAGCGTGGTGACACAGTCATCACCCTGTGTCCATTTGCCTGGAAAATGAGCAAATGATTCAGATCAGTGACGCGTAATAGCAACAACTTAGCAAGTAATTCTAAAATGAGCAAATGATTGATAATGCTTACAGCCATAGCTGGAGGTAATCCTCCAAGAACATCACCAAGCCCGCCAGTTTTGCTCCATGGACCACACTCTGCTGCCACAAAACATATTCTCATCCCAGCTCCACAAATAATCTTCCCTGGTGCCTTATGACTCTCAGATTTGGTTGGCATGCTCCTAGACTGTTTTACAGTCATTTTCACATTGCTTTTCATTTGAAGCATATCAACATTGTTTATTTTTCTCAAGCCATTGTGACTTAGGGATAGGTTCCTCTTCCCAGTGTGGACCAAATTAATTTTGGAATCCTGTAGAATCATCCCTCCGCGTGCATGCGTCACAAGGTTTGAACATGTTAAAGTTTCCATGGTCGACACCTGATTTTTTCAAAAACAAGTTAACGAATGACAGCGGGTGAAAATAATTTTCAGTTCGTAAAAAGGAGATCTGCACCTAAAATCCATCTCCTATAAAAATTACAATCCATGACTATTAGGATCATCGACTGCTTCTAATCACAATCTATCGTTTCAAAGAGAGAATTAAAATAGATACGCTCGAAATCAAAATTTTGGGATAATACACCAAAATGTCTAAATGCAGTGATCATCACAGATCCAGCTGAGATATGTGATCAACAGACATAACCAAACCCAATTTCATCGATTGCTGCAACTAATTTTCCAAACCAACTGTCAGTACTACACGCACTATTTCACTCCAAATCCACTGAGAAACACGAATTCCAGGGAAAGAAATAAAACAAAAATAATTTCTATCAACTATCAAATCACAAAGAAAATCCCCGACTTCTGTTCAGCAGTCACCACTCATTGCACCAACAAACTACGTACACAGCAGTCTCAACCAATAACCATTTCCTCCGAAACCAAAACCATAGGCCACAGCCAACGCCAAATGAAACCGTCCCATGCTACAACACCCAAAAGCCGATTTCTCCATGCACCAACCACGATCAAGAAACAAAACAGCAAAAAATAAAAATAAAAATGCGAGGCGATCGTAACACTGGTAACGGCGGGTTTACCGGTCAATAGAGGAGAAGGCGTACGTCCGATCGAGAACAGAGAGAGAGAGAGGCGAGCTCTGTCTCCGTGCGTGATCCGAAGGGCAGCAAATGATTAGCTTGGTAGTGAGCTTAGCAGCCTCTCCGGTATTTGTAGTGTAGAGCAGCACAAAGGAATGGGCTCGAACATGCGACACGTGTCGCGACAAGAGTGGGGGAGACGGGCCCACCTAGGTACTGAGTTTACCGTTTCAGGCAAATGAATCGGCCCATCAACGATCCACCATGTGGAGTGGGCCCCACTCCCTCACTGGAGGGTGAGGCTCGGTCACGTGAATCTGCGAGATATTTGATAACATAGATAAATATGGAAACTATTGTCCTAAAAAAAATAATGTAATATTTTATTGCAGAAATAATTCACGGCTGGATTTGAAGCAGTGTTTGGAGTGGACCTGGTTTGTGTCACTGTCACTGTAATAATAAGTTAAAAAATTGTATGGCACCATTAACTTGATTTTCTTTCTGTGGTTACGGTGCGAAATTAACAGTGTGTTTAATTTTTCAAATACCAATCAAATATGGAAAATGTCTAAACAGTATATATTATTTACATTAATATAATAAAAATACATTCACTGAATAAATAGTTCTGTAATAATTTCCTTAAATAATAGTATGTATAGACTTTTGATAGGTATTTTTTTTAGATAGCTATTTGAAAAATCATCAAAAGTAACTGCCGGTTTATTTATATCCAAATAAGAAATCATCATAAATATATATGAAGGGTGTGTTTGTTTGGTAGATTTCCCCTTATTTCTACTGTTCACCAAATTTAATATAGTTATATATCTATGCATATCCCATTATATTACTATTTTAATTCAAAATTTTATTATTTAAATTATAATTCAAAATCCAAATCTCCACAGCCATTTAAAATTTTTTATCTGTGTATATATAGCATACTTGGCCACTACTAATTCACCAGTTGATCTACAAAAATTTCCGGGACTTTGGGATTTACATAATATTTATGGCAAGTGAATTGAGACAATCCCCAAGATATATTTCTGGTTTATGGATGATTTAATGATGGTTTGTTGCTAGTTTGGAGGCAAATGAAATCGGTACATGTGTTTAGTGCTTTGTGCAACTACAACAACAGTTCTCACTTCTCATTAAAAATTATTAACCTGACGCTTTTGTTAATTTGAATGTACTGATAAGATAAGGCATGGAACAAAGGTATCACATCACCAAAACACAATTCCCAAAAATCTTGGTAAGATGGATTCACAGATTCTAAAGCGACGGATAGGAACAAGGTCCATAATCAAATGGGGGTGTACCAAGAAACAAAAAATAAATAAATAAAAGTGAGAGAGAGAGAGATGTATGTATCAAAGAAATGAATGATGAACAATCATATGTCACAATAAGGCTAGCAATTGATCTGTTCAGAAATACTAGACAGACAATCTACACACTTAGCAGGGTTAATGGTCAAGAAGAAAACATAACAAAACAGCACATGAGGCATTGCAAAAAGATCTGTAATTGAATCCTCATTCATGTCTTCAATATAAGAAATCATGAATGAAAAAGATTTTCATCCTAGTACACACACATACACACATCACAAGCAAGTTGTAGAACAATTGGAGCCCATATTATCTACCTCAACAAAAAGGATCAGAAATCAAGAAAGAATAATGCACAAGCACACAAACCACATCCATATTCGCCGTAAAGTTAAAAATCCAACACCATGCTTTCCATTTACATAGTTCTTTATCAAGGAATACACGAATTAAGTCCAAGACACCAAATTTCAACTTTGCATATTTCCATGAGTTGGTTGATTGATTCTAAATTATACATTAAATCAACCTTCAACACTAACCAGACAATACCAAGAAACCAAATATTGTCAATATCCCAACAAATATTGCGTCAGTACCATTCCAATCCAACTTCTCATACACTCCATAATGAAAATATAAATCCTTTTTAGTTCTACAGTTCTAGCTTAACAGGGCAAAAAATCTTGCGCCAAATTATATGCCCTAAGGCCCAAAACAAATTCTTTTTGCCATATAGGAAAGAATGTGAATCACATAATACTTGTAAAAGTTGAAATGGAAGAATTACAGTAAAATTGCACACAAGTGTGATCCAATGTCAAGACTCAAGATACAATTAGATAAAACCCATGGGGATATATAACCTGGAAAAATACCATCCACGAGCACAACAGCGTAGAAAACCTAGATGAATGAATGATCAGATCAAAACACGCCGCAAATGACAAGCACAGACGGTAAAATCCTTGTCCTCGCTTGCGCATAAATTACTCTAAAAAACAAAACTAGATGCACGCAAAATCAATCCAATCGCACGCTCCTCCTCGACCAGAATGAAGTGACAACAAATCGGCCTTCACCTGTGCGCCGTGACGAGTGTCTCGATGAATCTTAACCCATCGAACCTCGGAGCGTACTTCTCCTTCCCCGCACCCTCCGAAATCACTTGTTTACCCTTGAAAAAAAAAACGAAAAATCAATATCACCACAATATATATATAATTTTTTGAGGTTTATATTATATCAATCGAGGATCCGAGCAGCACCTTATCTGCGCGAGAGTCGCAAGCGACCTGGCGATCACCGGAGGTGACGACGACGGTGGATGCGGCAACCACAGACGCGACAAGAGCACAGGTTCCTTTCATCTCTCCGGTGTCGTGAGATCAGAAGAATTAGAGCGGCGACAGCGACTGTACGTGAAGAACAAGCAGCAGGCGACGGTGGCGAGATCAAGTCGCTGGATCTCGGCTCCTAAATTTTGCCTCTACCTCTGCGTCTCCGGCAGCGTCGCTTTTTCGCGTCTTTAAAAGCGCGTGTTTGGGCAAGCCACAACCACAAGATTTGAAAGTCAAAATGTATACGTATTGGGTTAATTTATTTGTAGCCAGCCAATAGCCCAATAGGCAATAAGCGCTGAACAATAATTAAATACACAGCTGCAACCCGTCGCATAAAACACGCTTTCTGGCTGTCTAAGTTGTCATTAATAAAGGGGCAAATAAAAATCGCATTTCCATTAAACAATGAATCGAGTAAATTACAATTTAGGAAATTAATTAATTTGAAATTTATCTGCGAGGAAATATGATTGTGTTCAACGAACCAGTGTGTTTCTTTGGCAAGTTTGAAAAAAAATTGTTTTAGAATTCCTATTAAAATAATATTTGATGTCATATAAAATTAATGCATATTTTTATATACTCTTTTCTTATAAATTGAAAAAATATTTTTTATCATTTTGATATATCTTAGCTAAAACAATATAATTTTTTTTCTATTATAAAATGGTTACTCTAATACTAAAATATTTTTAATTTTTATTTAAATTACACTACTCTCGTCCCAAACCGTAAGATTATTGGTTTTGTCCTTTTATTTAAATGTGATATTTGACCAGAGAAAATTTCGCTTAGGACTTTAAAAACTCGACAATCTATTGACTTGGATAAATTATTATGGATAATAGATATTAAATTTTTATTAATTTACTTCATGATTTATTTACAAAATACTAATTTACAATCTGCGTGTTTATGAGTTGTGACAAACACAATTAGAATTTTACAAGTCCATAAAATATTGTATTATTGCTCTTTTGAAGAGAAAAGTATTAAGTAAAAAAAAAAAAATAGTTACGACAGAGAGAATATTGCAATAGCAATAGTCTGTCTGGATCATACAACACAATATAAAGTGTACATGTTATCTTTAAAGAGTGATAGAAAGTGGACAACTAAAATAATGCATTTGAGTCTCAAGTATTCATCCAAGAACAGAAACAATGTCTGTATCCCAAGCATATACTATCAATTTTCAACCATATTTGCAACTTAAATCTCAAATTCACCTTTACTCAGTGGTTTGGTACTTCAAACGAAATCATTATCATGTCTCTGGTTTTACTTTCATATCTCCATTTGGAAGCATGTTCTGTGGCTGTGCAGATTGTCTTGTCTCCTGCATACATCACAATTAGTTCAAAACTCACAAAACCTTCACTCGGTTTTCAGATCAATAAACATAAAGATAAACTAGTATTTATTGGCATAATAGCAACAGGGGTTTATAAATTTGGTCCTACCCTCCAATAAGACGTCCAACTTTTATTTCATCTGTTGCAATAAAACTTGTGCATATAGATTCCAACGAGTACAAGAGTTTTCAAATCAATCATACATTGCATTCTCACATTTCTTAAAGCAGCAGCAAATGAAATGTGTGATAGAAATTATGCCCTAAGCTTTTGATAGCAAATTGGACCTATGTTGTGATTTTCTTTCATTGAACAAGTTTTCTTGCAGCATAAATATTTCAAGAATCATTAATCCACTGTACTCAAAACACTCAACCATCAGCTATATGAAAATGCTTATGATCATCACATATATGGTTAGCATATCCATACAACAATAGAAAAGTTGGGGCATTGGCAAAGCAAATTTAGAGACACTCACAGTTGCAGATGCTGCCCGAATGTCCCTGTAAGATTCAACTTCATCAGGAAATGTCTGCTCCAGTTCCTCAAGAAGATGCTTTCGCAAGGCCTGCATTCAAATGAGAATCATACAATTACTCATTTTATGTACAAGACAATATGGTTCTTATGGTTAATATTCTTAGGCTCGGAGACAGAAAAAGAATCTGATGTTCAAGAGAGAATTAATAAAACAATGACACAAAAAAAATAAAATCACAAGCCAATGTAGTCTGAGAGATAATGCTAATATGTGAACTAATGAGACGAAAACACCTCATAAATAAATTAAAAAAAAGAAGGATTTCATAGAAGTGAAGACTAACTATTATCCCTTACCTTGAAAGCATCTGTTTTCCCTTTGGTAATTTGGTTCTTGGCAATGCAACCATTCAACATATCTCGTGTGAATTCATCAGGATTCTTCCCATCATCTATCAAACTTCATTCCAACTCATAAATGCAAAATCCGTTGTATGGATAAATGAATACCTTCTCGTAATCGTAATAATCAGCTAAAATGTGCTTCAGAAAATAGCTTTCTATATCACGAACAAACTTACTTGAGAACCTCCATGGGAATCTGAATGTTACACTTCCCCGCTAATCTTGTCATGTTATCCAGTTCCATAACCAAATTATTCCTTTTATTCCAACACAAGAGCGAAGAATTATATAAATAAATCATAGTAAAAAAAAAAAAATACTAATCATGTTAGAACATCAAGCCCCTGGGAAACTGATTCAAATAATCAATTTCCCAAAAAAAACTAGTGTTAATAAAGATAAAAAAAAAATCAAATTAAATACGCATAAATCAATTACATGCGCTGGAGGAGAGGAAGTTGAGAGGCGACGTTGTAGGAGGAGACGGTAAGGTAGAGCTGATGAAGGAGGCCCAGCGTCTTCTGGATCGAATTTATTACTTGAGCCAAGTTTTGCTTAGAATCGTCAATAGGTGTTGCGGCAGCCGAAAAATCCGTCGGCGATGCGTATTGTGAGGCTATGATTCCATTCCCACCGCCTCCTCCGATTACCGCCGCCGTTTTGTTGGCCTGAGACGGATCCATACCTTTCTCGAGAAATCAGCTGGAACTCGACCGCAGTCTTTCGAACTTCTTAAATCCAAACATTGGAAAGAAATCCTTTTTAGTAACTAAGGGTCTGTTTGTTTTGGAATTTTGATTTTGAGTTGAATATAAAATTAATTTTTATTATAATATAAAAAAATAAAAAATAAAAAATTGATTTAATATTTTTTTTTAAAAAAAAGGAATGAACAATCTATTTAAAATTCAATTTCAAGATAAATATGTCCTAAATGAAAACACAATTGTGACTCAACTCAATTTATATAGGTCAAATTTAAAATTACATATTTTAAAATATTCCTTCTAGAATTTTAAATCAAAGTAATTTACAACATATACCGGTAAAGTTTATACATATATTTTATCAACTTTTGGGTCAATCTTTCTTTATATTTAGTGTCAAATATCCGACTTTGTAAAAACAAATAGAAGCACATTATTATGCGTGTCAAATTAAGGTTGCGTAATATGGTTCGGAAGTGTTGCTTAGTATACTATCAAATACTATTAAATATAAATATATAATTTAATATAATATTATATGATTAACAAGGCAACATAGTTCAAATTCAGAGAGCAGACCAGATCGACAGGCAAGTTCCAACACACCCAGATTAGATTAAGAAGACGATCCACTAATATGATACTTGATCTGAATTCATCCTTATTATAATTATTCATTAATAGTGTTCTTGATCAGTTGAGGCTGATCACGATCTGCCTTAGCATCTCAAAGATTGTCCATCCTCGCCAGGGCCTTCTCAAAGAGTGCCCATTTCTGCTCGAGAGTGCCGTTATATCCGACCGACATCCTAATCAGCCCCGGCGAGATCCCCGTCTGCGTCTTCTCCGCCTCGCTCAGCTCGCTGCTCGTGCTGCTACCCGAGCACGACATCAGCGTCTCATAGTACCCCAAGCTCACCGCCATGAACCCGAACTGTGTGCTGTTCTGCAGGACCGTCATCAGCCCGTACGCCGTCTCCTCCGACCCCATGTCCAGGCAGAGCACCCCGCCGTAGCCGTAGTCTGGGTTCGCCATTGACTTCAGAAGGCCGTGGTCCGGATGATCCTCCAGCCCCGGATAGATGACTTTGAGGCCGAGCTTCTTCATTCGCGCTGCGTACACCATCGCCCGCCGGCAGTGCTCCTTCATCCTTAGACCTAAGTGCGGCAGCCGCTCCGAGATCTCGAAGGCTACCTTCGGGTTCATCGTCGGGCCCAGGAGCATTAGCGCGCCCTGCTGCATATCCATCATCGAGTTCACTAGCCCCGCCCGCCCACACACTGCACCTGTTTTGTCGTAATGGATTAGAATTAATCAAATAACAAAGAAAATACAAATTTACATAGTTCACGCAGAACATATAACAAACAGAAACAGAAAACAAATTTATTAATTCAAATAAATGAAAAGAATACATCAAACAGACTCGGCCTAATATGAATTCAAAAGCCCAACAATGCATACCTTCGGGCCGAGAGCCATTCTGCCCCTAGACCCCCGACTCGCTAATCGATCAGTGAAACCCCATAAAAACTCAGCAAAGTGATAAATCAGATTTAAAGCATATCAAACATGCTTAATATTATTATTGATACTTCCTTTGTCCTGTAAGTAAATATCAATTTGTTTTTTTAGACGGAATTTAAGATATATTAATATTATATTGATATATAATAAAAATAAAATAAAAATTATTAAGAAAAAAAATATATTAATGATATTAAAAGACGTCTAGTCTAAAAGTTAAATTTACCGTAAAGTACTGTTAATAAATTAAAACATACACATTTAATGCTTATTATATATATCACGACAGGTGACTATCGCGTGTCACATTCAATTACGGTCACTTTTGTAGCTACATTATAGAAATTTTGTGCAATTGAAATATACTCCTTATTGAAAGCGATCTTTTTGCTTTCTGTATTGTTGTTTCGTAGAGGACAAATGGTGATTACTAGATGTGATGTGACAGATTTAGGACACGTGTAGGGTTGAGATCGGGTGGTACCTGCGATAACGTCGGCCCCACCGCTGATGTACTTAGAAATGCTGTGAATGACGACGTCGGCGCCGAGTCTCGCCGGCGACACCACCATCGGAGCAAACGTGTTGTCGACCACCGCCGTGACCCCCTTATCGTGCGCTATCCTGCACAGCTCCGGCACGTTAGCCACCGTCAGCGTGGGGTTCGACATCGTCTCGAAGTAGAGGACCTTGGTCCTGCCCTCGACGATGGCCGTACGGACCATCTCGTGGTCCCTTATGTCCACAAACGACGTCGTTATGTTGCAGGCTCGGGGGAGGAAGTGCGTGAGGAGCGCGTGGGTGCCGCCGTAGACGGTGGAGGCGGCCACCACGTGCCCGCCGGAGCTGCAGAGCTGGAGGAGGACAGCGGATATGGCGGACATGCCGGAGGAGGTGCAGTAGGCCGCCTCGGTGCCTTCCATGGCGGCCATGAGACGGCCGAGGTTCAGGACGGTGGGGTTGAAGTGGCGGCTGTAGAGGAAGAAATCGCGGTCGGGGCCGAGCTCTCCGGTGAACATCCGGCCTAGGGTTTCCGGCTCCATGACTGTGAAGGTAGCGGAGGCCTCGATCGACATGTTGACGCCGCCGTGCTCGCCGAACTCGTGGCGGGCGCTGGCTAGCGCCGCCGCCGGATCCAAGTACTCAAGGTCATGCGAATTGGTGATGAGTTGCTGCTTTTTAGCGGAGGAAATCTGGTCGTCGGGATTCGAGCGCTTCCGGCCGGCGACGTCAAGGGTTTCGTCCGCCATGAATGTGGCTAGAGATTTCGTAACTGATAACCTAATTGGGTGAAAAATGATAAATGTTATGAATTTATTTGAACATTACCTTATATACAAAAATATATTATTCAGAAAATATATATCTAATTAACAAGAAAAAAATTTGTTTGTTTGTGCATGATTAAGGAAGGAATTTAATATGCAGTTAGACACGGTACTCTTCTTTTACCATTTTTTGATAAAAAAAAAAAGAAAAAATTAATTAATTTTGATTTATTAATTATTATATTTATATTTAGTTTTATATTTTAAATATTATATGTAATTATTTTTAAAATATTCAGCTACAATATTGTTGCCTTTACTTAATGAAAAATTTCAATTATTCAAAGGCCCCTAACGTGTACTCCCATGGCAGGCGCCTCAGAGGTGCCAAGGAACAATTAGCTCGAACCTCAGTGTATAGAACATGAGGCTATCGCGAAGCTTGTTCGATAAATCTATGGTGATCCTCGATACTTACTTGTTCATCCGCACTATAAGAGGCACTTCTTAGGTTGCGCATTCATGGAAAAATCTTAATTTATGTTGATATGTCTTAAATTTAGTTTGCTAATTCGCTAAATTTTTACTGGGGTTTCGCTGAGATATGCAATATTGGACTTTTTGAATTCGTATTGGATTGAGCTATCTGATGCATTCTCTTAATTTATTTAAATAAATTTAGAGATATACAATTTAGATTAATCTATATCATAAATCAATATCTATAATCTGTAATCTAGCCGTCATAAATAAATCTGTTATCCATTTTTGCTCGTGGACGTAGATAACACATTGTTGGTAAACTCTTCTTTATATTTCTGTTTGTTATTCGATTATTAATCTTAATCCGTTATAATATTGTACATTTGATCCATCTTTTGCACATTTGAATCTTGTTTCCATCACCGATCTAATTTTCCAATGTCTCAATTCGACTCGATTCAATTTACCTTAGAGATTCGACACAAGTTTAGTTGATTTCTTAGAGAAGTCAAAAAATTCATCAAATTTTTTTTACCACCTTAATTTGCCAAACCGGTGGAAATAATATTTGCAACAAAATAATAATAATAAAATTATGACAACATATATCAAATTTGACAAGACACTAATCTTTTTTTCATTAATTAATAACCGGCGGCTTTACCATTACTCCATCATACGGTCTTTATAAATACAAATTATCCATCCTTGTCGTCTTCCACTATTTCTATGCGCATTAATTTTGTATTTTGTCGTTCCTTCAAAATTACTATTATTTTATGTAACGCCCAAAAAAACACAAAAACAAAATATCTCTTCAATAAAAATAAACGGACTGCATTTTTTTGCTATATATATATATATGTATATAAATGCATATTTCAACATTATTAAATTACATGCTGTCAATACGCTGTCGTTTATGCAGCAAAAACCATTGGCCGGCCGCCGCCGCAACTCTCCCTCGTCGGTCCACGTTTTGCTTCTCCAAAAACCGTGTGCTGTGCTCCCATGGATTTCTTCGAATCTGTTGTCCTCTCCATTCCTAAATAAATACATGAGGCTACCTAGTATCCAATCATTACATATAATCAAAATTAAAATTGATCGAAACTGGGTAGAGCAAAATGTGCTGCGGGTTCCAGGAAGACGAACGGGATCGATTGAAGATCAGAGCCTTCTCGGCTCAATTACCGGCGACGGCGACGTCGATGTCGCCGTCAATGGCGGATCTCCCCGATTCACTGACGCTCTATTACCTCCCTCGGATCAACGGGAGTCTAATTGAGATAAATGGGTCGAGTATCCGACCCGATTCCCCCGCATTCGTGACGCTGCACCGCCTCTGCTCGGAGGACGGCGGCGGAGCCGCCGTGTACGGTAGCCGGGAAAGAGTGGCGGTCTGTGAAGGGGTGAGTTTCGAGATCTACGCGTGGGACGCCAAAGTGCTGAGGGGGATTTTCCGGCGGGATGGGGTCGGGGAGAGGTGGAAGTTGGAGTGCAAGGTGGACGACGCCGTCGAGGTGTCGGTGGCGGCTGAGGGGGAGGCGGCGGTGGTGACGGAGAAGGTGGGGATGGTGCGGCGGCGGTGGCGGCCGACGAGGAGGAAGCCGTGCTGCGAATTGGAGGAGATTCCAGAGCAGAGAGGGGAGGGTTCGGATGCTTGCCGGTGCCACGAGTGCGGCGGCGATCAGGGCGGTTCCGACGCCGGAGATTGCGAGATTACGGCGGCGGCGGCGGCGGAGAGCGTGGGGTGGGCCGTGGATGTGGGGATTTGGGTCGTGTGCCTTGGTGTAGGCTATTGGGCCTCCAAGAAATTTAGGACAAGGAAATTATTTGCGTTGTAAACTTGTACATACAATAAAATGAAATTTAGTATTGTAAAAAAAGTTAATTTAATTTAATCGACGAATCAATAGAAAAAAAAGCTTAGAATAATTTCCATTTCCACAATAGCCAGTGTCACGTGCCGTAAGGCGTGGCATCATCTCAGGCACACAATCCGTGTGGTAGTAAGTAGTGCGAGTATTTATCGTAATTTTTATTAGTCTTGACTTGACCACAGTAGATATCATTACCAGCTTAATTAACTTATAATTACTTTTTTAGCCTTAGTCAATACTATAATGGAAAAAACTAAAGAATACACGCCCAAATCGAACAAGCTAGCCTTTTTATGAAACTTATTGTTAAAAGCCCTGGGCACCATAAATAGAGCGAAACGTACAACACAGTAATGCGATGGTTAGTTATTACAAGGCAGTGAGTCCAAGAGACGACCGACCACCGATTCAGTATCAGTCCCGCCCACTCCGCCTCGATTTCCACATCCACATCCATCCACAGGCCACATATCCCTACTCATGGCAGTCAACGCTCGAGAGACGTGATGCAAAAGATGGATTCCCCACAAGAAGAAACTGTGCGAATATAAAAATATCGGGGAAAAAGATAAATTAAGGAGATTTCTGAAAATCATCGCCAATAATTTGGAGCATTGTGATAGATAGAGGGCAAGAGCAAGAGCAAGAGCAAGAAGAACAGTTCGACAGACTTTCATATCGGTAGGCTCTCATTGTCTGCCAATTTCAATCATTGATTTGGGGGAGAAAGTGAAGGGCAGTAGGTAGGTGCCAGAGGAGAGTTGGTGCGAGTTGGTCTGTTGAGCAGGGGGGGTTCTTGAAGTTGATGGTTTTGTGAGAGGAAATTAAATGGGGAGGAATTACTCGGTGAACCCGAAGGATTACGAGCTTCACGAAGAGGTGGGCCATGGTGCGAGCGCGACTGTTTACAGGGCGATCCATTTGCCGTCTAAGGAAGAGGTGGCGGTCAAGTGCCTGGATCTCGATCGATGCAATAGCAATCTGGTGAGTTCGGAAAATTTTCCCATTTCTTCCATTTTGGTTGTGGTTTTACTTGGTTGTCAGTGATGCTCGTGCTCTGATTGTTTTTGACTTTTAATTCTTGAGGGTTTTAGTTTACCATTTCTGGAGAGGTTAAGGAATTGTCTGGGAAACTGATTGAGCAACGATGGATGTTTATTCTGATTCTCTGTTGATTTCATATCTAAATGTCGAAGATCGATGAGGTAACGGTAGTGTTGAATCTGTAGAAGCTTATAATCACTAAACTCCAGGAGTTCTGTGATGTACTTTCTAGGTAAATGTAAAAACAACCCCGCAGAGGTAATGTAGTCCACGGATAAATTTAAACCAGAAAGAAGGAATAAATCTTGTATTCTATCAATTCAAGGCTGGTGATGCAGACCAAGTAAATAGTGTGCTAAACTAGTCAATGATCTGCCAAGGGAGTTAGTAAGCCACCTAACGGCTAGCAAGACTCTTTGTTTGTTCCAATGACAATGAGCTAGGTTGAATTAGAATGCAGGACTACACTTGCCCAGATGAAGATCAAGTGGAATTTCTTGTACTAAATCTACAATCAATGGAAAGTTAACTTGGAAAAAGGGAGTGCCAAGGGCGTTGCTCATTGCCAAGAACTAGGGAGCATGTTTCTTGCTTCACTTGTTTTAAGTTGAGTTACTTGGGGCTACGGTTGTGGGTCAACTGTCTTTCTTTTTGTAATTAAAGTCCTTATAAAGCAATTTGCTCTGAAGATTGAATACTTGGCTTTTTTCAATTAACATTAGTTCAAATCTTGAGCATTCTGATTATCATTTGCCAACCTAATATTCTCTCATCAACGCTGTCAATATAACCTTCCTATTGTTTAGGTTTTCTTTTTTACTTTAAATGTTAGAAGCATCCTTGGCCAGGGGAGTTAAATTAGCCATAAATAAGCTAAGGAGACGCATTAGTCTGATCACCATTTAATGGCCTAAGCTGAGACCAATTTAATCCTTTCTGTGCTAGTTAACCTTAGTTTGTGTGGCTATGCTCTTCTGCATCCTAATATTTGAGATCCATAGGATGGTCCATGCCATCACAATTAGAATCAGCTTTAGCATTTGTTATATCTGCATTAAAAGTATTGTCTTGCTTCTGTCATTTTCCATAATTTTTTGGACATATTTCATAATTCAAAGTCCTTGGAATGACAAGCAAATGAGAAAATATAATGCGAACCATTGATTTTAATGATACATCTGCACAAATCTAAAGAATATAATTGGAGAGATAGTGATTGGCAAACAAGAAATATGAGTTTTTAATATCTTCTTGATCAACTCAAACAAATTCAAATTAGAACCAACTAATATGTTCAGTCATAGAGCAAAATAGATGAATGTATTTATTGTAAGAAATACTTGAAAAGTTGTTGAAAAAGGTGTATTAAATCCACTATTCATCCCATTTTTTCCCCCAAAAAACATCAAATCAAATACCTATTTTTCATTTTTTATATTATACTAAAAATTAATTTTACATTCAAAACATCACATCAACACCTATTTATATTACATCATACAACTATTCAAATTCAAAATTTTTACTATTCAAATCCCAACTCAAAATCCAAACCCCCAAACAAACACACCCTAAGCAGATTCCCTCAATATGAATTTAAAAAAATTTCATTTGTAGTATCCTATTGGAATACGTATAATTATAATTTGTTAGGTTTGTTCTCAAATACAGTCAAGTTTCGTGGAACTTAAATTATCTATCGATGCATTGAATTGTTTTTTTGGAAATTATTTGAAATTTGGTAATGATTATGTGTGACAATTCAAATCTTATTATAATTTTATGAAATAAATAACTCGCCTTGTGGAATGTGTAAATATGAAGAAGTGAGAAGAGTAAAAACAAAGGTGGCATAGGGATTTTGGGTTATGATGTTCTAAAATTAAAATGTTCAGTTTGGAAAAATTATTCCTATTCAGTTTCTCAGCCTGTGGAGTATAATGATATCTCAATAGAAATTAGCAAACAACAAAGATGACTTTGCTTGCTTTTAAAGCACTTAATTGCACTGTTTCTCTTTGCAGGATGATATACGCAGGGAGGCTCAAACAATGAACTTAATCGATCATCCTAATGTGATAAAAGCGTTTTGTTCATTTGTTGTTGATAGAGATCTTTGGGTGGTCATGCCTTACATGGATGAGGGTTCGTGTCTGCATCTCATGAAGGCAGCATATCCCGATGGACTTGAAGAGCCTGCCATCGGGTCTATCTTGAAAGAAACTCTGAAGGCTTTGGAGTATCTCCATCAACAGGGCCATATCCACCGTGATGTGAAGGTTGGCTACACTGCAGTGTCGAATCAGCTTGAACATGTTCAAAAATAAACTATGCTGTGTGGATCTGAATAAACAGTGGATTACTCATAATAACTGTGCCATTTTGCAGGCTGGAAATATATTAATGGATAGTAGTGGTGAGGTGAAGCTTGCTGATTTTGGTGTTTCAACTTGTATGTTTGACAGAGGTGATAGACGGCGCTCAAGGAATACCTTTGTAGGAACTCCATGCTGGTATTGAGTTTTACTATTTTTCATGCTCTTTTTATAATGTAAAATATATAAATATTCAAAAATTTATTCATACACTAAAAGCTGTTATTGGATTCCGTGGTTTTTTTATTGTATAGGATGGCACCAGAAGTATTGCAGCCAGGAACTGGATATGATTTCAAGTAGGTTTTGTTTGATCATCTTGTTCTATCTCATAAGCTATGTCACTATGTTCTTCTTGCTGCCTCCATTAATGTTGGGAACCTTTTACAGAGTAGCTGTACTTGCATCTGTGAATTTACGGATTACTGTCTTTTTTATTCTTTATTTTCAACATTTGCATTTAATGTTTTCAGGCTTTTAGAGACCATGCTAAGATACTGTTAACTTGTAAGTTAGATCTATAGTTCACAAAGTTTACTATCCCTGTTTATAAAACTAAAAGTCGACTATTTTCACTCTGTTTTAGTGATTTAAATATTCATATGGGTAAAAGGTAATCTCATAAGTCATAATTAAAATAATTGTGGAGTTCTTGGCATAAAAAGTTGAGTAACCTATCCCTGCCGTACTCTGCTCACCCCATGGCTGAAGCTCCCTTATGTGTGTTAATGTTCAATTTGTTTGTGGATAACCCATTGGCATTATACCTCAATTTGTAGGGCTGACATTTGGTCTTTTGGAATAACTGCGCTTGAATTGGCTCATGGACATGCACCATTCTCAAAGTATCCTCCAATGAAGGTATACATATATACGCTAAGCTTGGCATTGGTTTTGTGGAGATAACCATGACAGCACTTTATATCACCCACTTTCCTTTTATAGGTTCTATTAATGACATTACAAAGTGCTCCTCCAGGGCTTGATTATGAGCGTGATAAAAAGTTCTCCAAGGTATGAGTATTTCAATTCGCAGATAAAGTCTATATGGACTACACATTCTTCTTAACAATTCCATTTACTTCATTTGAACAGTCTTTTAAGGAAGTGGTTGCAATGTGCTTGGTGAAAGATCAAACAAAGAGACCAACTGCTGAGAAGTTGTTGAAACATTCCTTTTTTAGGAATGCCAAGCTGCCTCAGCTTTGTGTGAAGAAACTGTTTACTAACTTGCCACCACTGTGGAAGCGTGTGAAGGATCTTCAGGTTGGCTAAATTGATACTAAGTAGTTGGTTCCAAAATGTTATCCTTTCTTATATATGTATTTTATTATGCTATTTTTACTGCAGCTCAAAGATGCTGAACAACTCGCTTTAAAGAAAATGCCTTCAGCTGAACAAGAAGCTTTATCTCAAGTATGCAGCTTTACTGCAATTTATTATTTTCTTCCATCGAATACTGAATGTTTGTGATAAGCAATGTAGCTATGATGTTTTTGTCTCACCTATGTCTGTTGAATCTTTCTCTAAGTTTGGATTTTAGGATCTGCTGCATGCTAGAATTGTGCTAGCCACTTAAAGTTTGGTTTAGATCACCCTCCCCCTCTTGCTTGTGATGTGTTACATGGGTTTTTTCTGTCTGTCAGAGTGAATACCAGCGAGGAGTAAGTGCTTGGAACTTTGATGTTGAAGATTTGAAGTTCCAGGCATCTTTGGTATGTGCTTCACAAGAAAGACTTTTCATATGTTCAGCACATTCTTTTCATGGTACAAAACTGTGTAAATGGTGCATTTAAGCTGCTACTTTTCTTGGCAGCTACAAGAGGAGGATGAAATACAAGAAGTGAAGGATGATGACAGTGATAAAAGTTTCAAGAGCAATAAGGTCATTGTCAATTTCTTCATTCCCAACAGAGTTTGCATGCCTATAAACTGATTTATGTGATTCTGCTATTCTAGAATTTTGTCAGCCTGTTTGATGAAGTGTTTCCTTGTGCTTGTTTGTTTATAGGTTGCATCAAGTTTTGGGGTGAAACCAGGAGCTCCAATCAATAATCCCATCAGGTTATTTTTATTTATACATCTTTTTTACTCGCTGGTTTTTGCGTGAACATTTAGAAATTTAGTTTATATTTGTAAGCTTATATGATAACTTTTATATGTTTGAGATTATGGAAATTAGATTTGCCCAAATTACTCAGCTCTTTAGAAAAAGGTTAAGTGATAACTTCAATCAACTTAATTTTCGGCAATATGATTCGCATAATCACCATTGCTAACATCTTAAAACATAACAGGGTTTTATCTTGTACTTCAGTTGAAGAATTTATTATTATAATAAAGCTCTAGCATTTTGTTGGTACAGAAGTTCTTAAATAAATGTCATTAGCTAGACACCTTAGTTTTGATTTACTTTCTTCCATCTATGCTCCATGCAAGTTTGAGTTGATCATGACTGGACTGGTATAAATTATTCATTCAAAGCATTTCGTGTTACATGCTCCCAACCATGCGAATTTCCATTTTACCGAGAAAAATCAAGCACTAATGAGGTTCCTGCTATTGACAGCCCTGCCCAGAAGGAAAAGATATCTGAGAGTGATTTAATTGAACCTGACAATCAGGGAAATACTGGAATCAGCAGGAACACATCAAAGGCTCAGCTCTCACCGCCAGTAGCAGAGAAGGATGGAGCACAAACCAAGGGAAGGGTTCTGACTGGGAAACCTAGTCGAACTCAAAGCGGACCACTTACGCCCGGTACTGTGCTAAGTCATTCACAGTCAGAAAGAGCACGCAACTTCGAAAGGTTTATTGCAATTCATTGATCCCTTATCTGTAATCATGTCTCTGATATCATAGATGATGAAAATGGTAAAAAAAATTCTTAGTCCTGCTAGAAAATGGTAAGTGTCACACCTATGATACGACTTTCCAAAATTAATATTGCCATGACATTACAGATCCTTAGAGGGAAGATTTTGGTTAGCTTGTTGTGTTCTTGTGGTTTAAGTGGTAGACTAGAGTCATTGGGATTCTTTTTCTGTTCTTTTTTTTGCACTCTTTTACTAGTACAACTGTCTTTGTATATCTATGCCTGCAGTAAGTACTTTACCTTGAAGGTTCATTGAGGCTCTACAAATAATTTATCAGGTATGAGATTGAAAATCAGCAACTGGCAGAAAGGCCTCTGGGAGTACGAAGAGTGCCCAGTTTTAGTGGTCCTTTAAACCTTCCAACTCGGGCTTCAGCTAATAGTTTGTCTGCTCCAATAAAATCTTCTGGAGGTGAATTGAGACTTTGATATTTCTTTCAATCACTATGGCACTGAGTACAGAAAAATCCCTAAACTTTTAATTTTCTAGGGTTTAAAGATTCTTTGGAGGACAAATCTAAACCCAATTTAGTACAAATTAAAGGGAGGTTCTCGGTAACATCAGAAAATGTGGACCTTGTAAAGGTATTGCTGCATCTTTATAGTAATTTATTTTGTTTGATGTCTGTTGCTAACTTATATGTGTATACCAGGACTTCCCAGTATCCACATCTTCTCGAAGAATTTCTTCGGTAAGGAGGAACTAACCATGATCACTTGAAAAACAGATTCGGGAGTTGTTTCTATCTGTCCTTACTCCCCACTATATATTCTTGCAGGGGTTTCCACTGATGAAGTCTGCCAGCACTGGCAACTGGCTTCTTGATTCTAAACAAATGGTTTGTAGCCTTCTTCTGTGCAGCACTTTCTGTTTTTCATTGCATTTAAACCTGACAGCTCAGCTGTTTCGCCTGTCTTTGTGATGTTGGTTTTCAGCCTAATGGCCAGCCACCCAAAGAAAATATGCCTACCTCAGTTCTTATGCCACAGCTTCAGAATCTTTTCCATCAAACATCAATCCAACAAGTACGGTATTTTCATAATGGCGTGTAATCCCCTAGGATTTTTTATATTTTATTTTGCCTTGGAGAATACATCAACAAGGCAGTCTTTTTTCTTGTTCTTACTTCTCGCCATCTCAACTGCAGGATATTATCATGAATATATTGAATAGCTTGCAAGTGGGAGATGCTGAAAATGGTGTGTATTGGTATTTAAATGTGATATTTAATTGCTGTACAATCCCCCAGATTTGTTGGGTTTACGATTCTTGTCCTGTCTCAGCTTCGCAGAATGGGAAATTACCACCTCTTCCGCTTGGTTCAGAAAACAATGGCAGTGTTAGTACTTTGCTTCCTCAACACTAACCCAGTCAATCATTGTAGTGTTGTTTCATTTCATTGAAATCATTCCTCATGCACAGGCCGAGTTGATCTTTTCCGAAAGAGAACGTATGCTGCTCATGAAAATTTCTGAACTTCAAGAAAGGCAAGTCATCAAGAACCCGGGTGACTAAATCATCCATTTTTTATACACCGACTTAACAAGCCGTGTTTATACTTCTCTATATTCTTCTCACCGCTTGCAGGACAGTTGCCTTACAGGATGAAATAACATTAGAAAAAGTAAAATACATGGAAGTAAGTTATCCAGGATACTGATTGCACATTGTTACCATCTCTGGTTTCATGAAAAACCGATGCCATATTTACTTTCCTCTCGCCCTTGTGTTTATACATTTCATTTGCTCTCGGCAGTTGCAACAGCAACTGAATACAGCATCTGGTGGCCGATTTGATGGAGAGACGGGAGATTCATGATTTTCAACATCTTCTTCTTATGTGTAAAATGACAGTACCTGTTTGTAGGTTCAGGTAAGAGCATTACATACACTACATGCAAATCGATTTTCACCATTGGAGACACCCTTGATTATTTATTCACTACCTCTGTTTATATTCCCAGAAATGCAGGGAGAATCAAATTGCCTTGTTCACATTTGTTCATCCGAATCATACCTATCCATCCACTATTTCATAAAACTTGCAACGACAGAATTTGGATCTACCTTACTTTAAGAAGATCATCCGTTGGCTAGCTGACTCGGCGGAGCCGATCCCAATCAGCTCCTTGTACAGATGATGGTGGTCCTCTGTAAACTCTTTGATGAAATTGAAAGCCATAAAGCCAAACCACTGGGCTGGCTTCGTTTTGTTTGTACACTAGAGATCACATATATATATATACATACACATACACACACAATATGGTTGTGTTGATCTTAGTAACTTTGAAACTGTCACAATGTGAATAGAGATATTTAGTGACAAGCCTCAGAATGATAATCATTATCTAGTGGGGTTCTGTGGATTATATCTGTGTTTGTTTCTGTAATGTGGCTTTGGGATGTTCAAAACTTCGAATGGCAAGGAATGATTTTCGTATAGTATTTCTTTCGAATTTATTGAAATTGAAGGCAGTGCAAAAGTAGAGAACATTAAGCCCTACGGAGAAAATGTTGCGGCCGTTTTCGAGAGCAGTTTTCGGCAGCCGCCGTGCCCTCGCCGCCTCCAAGCAGGATTGCAATGGCCGATTCGGTATTAGTCGGTCGTCGATGTGCTCCGCCGCGGTGAAGCGAGTGGGCACTCATAGTGGCAGCTTCCACTGCGACGAAGCTCTCGGCTGCTTCATGATTCGCCTCACGGGGAAGTTCTCCGATGCTCGTGTCGTCCGCACCCGCGATCCCAAGGTCGTGTTGTAATGCTGCTTTCGTGCTCGGCTTCGTAAGTTTGCTATTTTGGTGTTCGTGAATGCAGGCGATGTGTTCGATGAAATGCGTGTTGCGCTGTGTGTTAGGTGCTGGAATCGGTTGATGCGGTGCTGGATGTGGGAGGGGTTTACGATCACGCCAGGGACCGGTACGACCACCATCAGAAGGGTTTTGAAGAGGTTTTCGGGCATGGATTTAATACCAAGCTCAGTAGCGCAGGTCTTGTCTACAAGGTAATATGTAAAATTCAAACAGTTCATCTTCAAAGCTGCAGTCTAGATTTTGCAGCTTATTGTTTATTCTTGTATGCTTGTTTTTTGAGCAGCATTTTGGAAAGGAGATCATAGCTAAGGAGCTTCAAGCCGATGAAGACCATCCAGATGTGCACAGATTGTTTCTTGCTGTTTATAAGAACTTCATGGAGGTTTTCTGCAGCAATTTTCAACATCAAAGCCTCTCTTTTCCCCACGTCCTGCATTCTTTCTAAGTTATTTAACAGACACTTGTGGATGATGACAGGCCATCGACGCCATTGACAACGGAATAAACCAGTACGACACTAAAAGGCCACCAAGATATGTAAATAATACCGATTTATCTTCTCGACTTGGTAAACTTAACTTAGATTGGATGGATCCTGATCAATCAGCTGAGAAGGAAGATGAAGCCTTCCAACGTGCAATGTCTCTGGCTGGCAAGGAGTTTTTGGATGTGAGTTTTCTCTAACACATTCTTTCAGTTTCTTCGATAATTCATGATTCTAGCTTTCTATCTAAGGTCTGGCTTCATCTAGAAAGGCAGCAGCTATAAACATGGTGGCTAGTTCTTACAGAAATTAAGTTCTTCCTTCAACAGAGCGTCTGGTACCACGCAAGATCATGGCTACCGGCTAGGTCAGTTGTGAAGAAATGTCTTGAGGAGAGGCTCAACATCGATCCGAGCGGGGAAATCATGGTCTTGGATACATTTTGCCCGGTGAGCAAATTTTCAAACATCGAAAATCCATTTCATTCTTAAGCAACTCTCAATACCCCATAAAGATGTTTCCCATATTACAAACCTTTAGTCCTTCACCAAGATCAACTCGTTTCATTGTCTGCAGTGGAAAGTTCTTCTGTTTGAGCTTGAGGAAGAAATGAAAATCAACCCGCCTATTAAATATGTAATTTATCAGGTAGTTAATTGGATTTTCATACTCATCTCCTAGTGATCCAAATCCATTATACTTTGTCATCATATTTCCTGCAATACACATCACATCAAGTGGAAATGGTTTATAGGATGAACGAAGCAAGCGGTGGCGAGTTCAGGCGATGACAGTAGCACCAGACAGATTTGAGAGCCGCAAAGCACTTCCTGCTCGGTGGCGTGGCTTGACAGATGACGAGCTATCTAAGGAGTCGGCTATCCCCGGAGGTGTTTTTGTGCATATGAGTGGCTTTATAGGTGGAAATCAGACATACAAGGGCACGCTCGCAATGGCGAAAGCTGCTCTTAAGCTCTAACCACAAGAAGCAGCAATCCCAACTATTAGAGAATGAGATTCTTCGATCAAGAAAGGGGACATGTAAACAGGCTATTCACTATTTTTTGTGACAAAAGATTCCAAACTGAGACAAGGAAAGAAAAAGCTCGACAATTCATTTCTTCTTTCTACCTCATTAGTGTATCAAAAATCAGGTTTTAAAGAAAAACTTGCTGAACTCAATGCGGAGTTAGTGCAAAGCAAATTTAACTCACCGTATCTCCAGCTGCAGTCAACCCTTTGGCTTCCGACGGATAGGAAGCTGTCGGTCCGGTCGAATCTGTAAATTGGTTCCCCAATGTCTTGGTTTCGCCTTCAACAAAGGGGTTCCTAGATGAAGTAGCAGGACGATCCACTTCCATAGCAGTTGTTCTGGGAGGTGATGGGGGCTGCACTTCGACAGCAGGGTAGGCTGCCTTAAATCTGGCTCGAAGACCTTCGTCTACCAAGCGAACTCCTTGCAACTGATTACCCAGGGATAACCACCTAACGACCAAGAAAGATCCTTAGATGTTATATAAGATCCTTAGATGGCACAATGCAGCTCAGTTCCGACACTTATGAATAATCGAAATTAAAGAATCAGAAAAATGAGCCTACAAGTGCAGCCACAACTATTCCATAATTGTCCACCAATAAAAACTTCAAGTTCAATGCTCTAGGCAATAAAAACTACTAACATATTATACCAATGAGTTTAATATCTTCAATACCGATATTTTCTATGATTGTAAACAAAAAGATGAACAATAGTTGAGCAAACATACCCAGCTTGTACATTGTGCATTCTCGCAAACAGCTCCAACTTTCTTGTTCTTGGACTTACCCTCTCCAGCATGGCATACATCTATTATATACACCATATATCTATTTTAGGCATATATCATGTGGAGGAAGAAGCCATTGCATTCAAAATCGTAATACTGGGATGAGCCAGAAGAATACAGTTTGCATCTCTCACATAAATAGGAACAATCCTCACAGTGATTGGTATTTAAATACCCATTTCAGGCGTTGGAATTGAGATAATGTCCATCGCCACTTCAAGAACAGTTTAAATAAAAAATTTCCTGTCAAGGAAAAATACCCTTTCTATAGATTAAGAGATTTTTATTTTAATTTTTTGACAACACCAATCCCACTCTTCATGTTTTGGATGTCATAAAAAATAATTCCGTTTATTTTTTAAAGTAAAATATTACTTTTTCTACTTTTTCTTTACTATAAAAAGGGATCGTTTCTATTTTTTACCCATTTCTTTTAAAATCCGTGCCCAGTCAAATGGGCATAAGTTTCGATGACGAAGGTAGTATTAGATTTCAAAACTAAAGAAACTTATTGAAACACTTTCAAGAGAAACGATTCAAGCAAATGAAACTCAATGTTCTACCACGTATAGTGAGTACTAACCTCATCTGGTTTTCGACTTGTTTCACGAACCTCAGCAACAATGACATCAGTGTCAATATTTCTATTTACTTCAGGGTTACCCTTTACTCCAACAAGGCAATGTTCCTTGCTGTGGTTAAGCCAATGGCCTGTGCGACCTGTTCTTATGATCCGCTGAAGTTGATTAGTCTTTACCCAGATTATCTCCTCTACACGCTTGTACCCCCAAAGTTCCAAACTGAACAAGCATAAAATTCAAACAAAACCAGATGAGAACTGACATCTTCAGTGGAAAAAAAAAAAAAATTATAAAGTGTACAACTGCAATCTGCAAGAGTACCAACATGGTGATCTCAGAAATTGAGTTTTGCATGACACACATCCTCCCGCGAATGGTTGTAGATACAATTATTGATTCAGAAACAGCATACGGATTTAGCAAATATTTTAACTGTATCTGTCTCATGTAGTCAATTTCCAGGATATAAGAGAACTCGTAGCCACTTTGATTTAAACAAACTATCGTGTACTTCATTTACAATTCATAGAAACAAAAATAATCAATCAGAGAATGAAATAAGAAGCCAACCAGAGAAATGTAAAACTTCCAACAAGATGAAACAAAAAAGGAGGCATACCATTCACGGCCAAGTTCCATTGCACGCCCAGTAACCCAGAGAAATATCAGACCATCAGTCTGTAATGCAGGGACATTTAGTGTCCGCATTTCGTCATCAGCCATGGTTCCATAAGGCAATTCCATATGTATATCCCAGGGAGGATCAGCCATTATGACCCCGAATTGTCCTAATATATCCATTCTGAAATTCCGTATGTCACAATTAATCCACTGCGGCTCTCCAAGCTCTACTTCTGAGCAGTAGTGAGCACTCTGAGGCTTTAATGGCCTGGGGATATTACCTTGTCCCATCATCATAGATGATACATCAGGAGTTGAGTCAAGCTCGTAGTGGACATACTTGCATGTCTATAATTGATTCATGAATCAATATCTTTTATTTCCAAATGCATCAAATATAACAATAGAAATAACAAAATGATGAATATACCTTCATGTGACGGCACGTGTCAAGAAATGAACAATCCCCCAAATTAACATCAGTATGTGCAGCAATTATTCGTCGAAAATGAACCTAAAAAAATTGCAATGATTGCTCAGACACATGACAACAGGTGGTGATTCCAAATCTTCATAGCCCGAGAGAATATAAATCAGAGAAAATAACAATCAAAGACAATTCTGCAAATAATAGATAGCAGAGTGTACATTATGAATTTGTCTTCATAAATACGAGAAGCTATCTTCCTGATAGCTCATCAAAATAGACACAGAATCTGGCATATACTAACCTTCTCACAAGCAATGAAGGAACTGTTTTGCCGTTGGCAATCTTCTTTGGTCAGTGCCGAGCAGTATTCTTTCACTTGAGAACCACCTTTACTTTTAAACTGATACGAAATTATATATTAGAACAAACAATAGACAGAAAGTAATAAGAGGTCTAGTTCAGTAAGAACATCAATATCAGCAATGTTTTGATCTAACATCAGCAGGGTATACAAAACGATTAAGAGCACCAACAGTGGATAAAATCAGGCTCAATTTCTATGAAAGAAACATACTTTAGCAGCCACTGCAGTTTCTCTAGCAGTAGGCCGGTGGATAAGATCCAAAAGCTCCTCTCCTGTCTTCGACTTCTGCTGTTCCATAAAGCTCTTCTTTTGTAATAAGACCATAAGATCCTTCATCTCATCCTCTTCCGATTTTGGCTTCAATGAAAGGGCATTCGCCCCTCCACCTTGAAGCCCAATTGGAGCTGCCGGAGACTGCCTATGCATTGGAGGCGGCACCCCCACACCTCTTGGAACCCCTATCATCCCCGCCCCTCTCGGCCCCATACCCCTAGGCCCTGACATCATTGGTCCTCCCATCCACATGTCCGGCATCCCCCTTCCAACTCCAAATACGCCGGCACCACCAATTATACCTTCCCCACTCTTCCCAACTTCACTAATCCTGTTTCCATCATTCGAACCCCCCTCATTCAACTGCTTAGTTTCGGGCAGCTCTTTCAAAAGCCTAGTTCTATCAATGTTCATCACCATTACTGTGGACTTCCCACTCACCAGAAACTCATCCAACTCCACTCCACCATGATCCTCCGCCATTGCCCTCAACGCCATCTCCACTGCAAGCATTGCTCCTGCCTCCCCACCCAACTCCCTCAAGGCGGCTTTTTCAGCTGCTGTAGCCGACGAATCATTCTCCAACTTTCTCAACACCGCGGGCGAATCTATTGGACGGAAAGGCACCCTCTCTAGCAAACACACGGCCACCATCGACCTAACGACCGAAAGCGGCCCACCGCTTTCCTCAATCAAAGCCCTCTCATTCTCTCTGGGCGAAGGCTTCGAGACGAGAGCAGCAGGTATTTTCGGATTCTCTGGCGGCAACTTATGGATATTGGATTTCCCCAAAACAGGCTTGGAAGGGAGGATTTCAGCAAGGGGAGAAAAGGGTTTACCGTTAATAGCCGAAATTGCTTTTAGAGAGAGGTCTAGAGAGGAAACGAGGTCCGGGACGAAGTTCTGGAGAGAGGCGATTAGGTCCAACTGCGTCGTGTGGAGGGTGTCGATCCGGGTTTCAAGCTGCTGCCGCATCTCCTTTATTGCAGAAGTTGAATTCTCATTCCCATCGGTAGATTGACCCTCCATCCCCTTTTCACGAATCTTTACCTTTAGACAGATTATCTTTAACAAGTTCTTGAATTCCTCGATCCTTGAGATATCCTCGCGATCCGCTGTATTAAGGGTTCAGGCGAGGTTTTGCGCCATCTCATGACAGAACCGGAGAGAATGAAATCTTGAATCAAGAACCCGCAGGATCCGTGGAGGGTGGGACAGCACATATATATACTACTACTAAAATCAATTACTGAAACCCAATAATTTATTTGCAATAATTAATAGTAAATTATTTATTTATTCACACTGAAGAAGATAAAAATTATAGTCGTACTCATACGAAGTAAAATGAATAGAACAAGAACAACTGGATTGAATTGCTTTTGTTCTTGACAAACACAAACATAATAATACTGAGGATAACAAGCAAAAGCAATCATCTAAAAATCATAATCTTTTCTATTCACTAGGACACGACTGGGCAGCCATCGACGAAAACATTGTTGGCCGTAGGGCAGGAAGCATAAGGGCATCCATCAAGATCATTCCCCCACCAATCAATCCCAATGTTCTCCACTCCCAAGCAGAGGTACAGCAGAACTCCCATGAACGCCAGCCCTGCGTCCAGCGCTCCCGACAGGACGTAGTTGTGCCGCTGCCACAAGTCCGGCCTGTACTTGAACACCACATATCCCGACAGGAATCCCACTATGATCCACGTCGTGTAGTTCACAGCCGTCGCCGGAGGCATGTTCCCGCACGCCCCTATCAGCACCGGCATGTTGATCAGCCTGATCCATTCTTGATTCGGGAAGGCCCTCGTCGCCGCCCACACCATCACCGGAGCCACCGCTCCCCCGAGGAAGAACCAGTTCACCATCGTGTACGTCCCCTGGTCTCCGAAGATCTTGCGGGGGCCGATCAGGCCCCATATCACCGACGCATCGTAGAAGACATGGTCGCCGGGGCACGTCCAGACATCGGAGTACGATTGGCACATGTCCGGGATGGACTCCATTAGCCACCACGCTGTCCCTAAGTAGACCAAGGCGGCTATCAGAGTTCCGACGACCTGCGCCATGAACATCATCCGTGGAGGGATTTTCATGTAGTGTCCGAGCTTGAAGTCTTGGAGGAATGTGATGGCCTGTTGCATGCTTATGTATCCGTAGACCTTGAAGCACATGTTCGCGACGGGGTACCCGGGGTAGATGTATCCGATTATGTATTCGGTGATGATGTTCAACCCCGGCGACTGCAGGTAGTAGTTTTGTCGAAAACTAATTTTATACCTCCCAATCTTGTAATGAACACAATGTTAGCGAGTAATTGCCTACCTGGTTTGTGATGGCGGTGATGATGCCGATGGGGAGGGTGAAGAAAATGGCGATGGTGCAGGCGAGTATGACGCCCCACCATGGCAGCTGAAGCTGTTCTTTGTAGTATTCGCAGGCGAAGATGGTGAGGGCAATGTTCGCGACGAGAATGCACCAGAACCACCACTCGGGAACTTGTCGATACTTGCTCATCAGCTTAGTGTGTATATCCATTTTCTTCTCTTTGAAGCTCGACCTGCTCAGCTCCCATATTTCTCTGCAATTCCATTCGAGACATCATATGTATATGTATAATGTTATATTAGTTCATATGTAACAACGCCACTACCTACCTTCCGTGGAACAGGAACACGTGCATAAGCGTGGCTGTGAGCGAGGCGAATCCGACGCCATAAGTCATGGCAAAGAACGTGCTGAGATGAAGGGGGCCTTCGCGCTCGTAAGCCTTTGTGTCGAGGTGGAAATGTGAGTCAATTATGGCGGAGATATTGTATTCCTGTCCGGAAGTGGTGAAGAGGCCGTCTGAAAATATCGGGAATGTCTTGGCGTCGTAGAAATCGAGCCAGTAGCTGAGGGGTGTGATGACATACATGACAATGAAGAACCCTGCAGCGACATTAGCCGTGGCGAACCACGGGCTCGCCAGGGGGCTCCCGAGATAGGATGAAATGGTGGACCAGTCGAGGCCAACTGCACCAATGCCAAGGCCACGGAGGCCAGAGCCGAGCTGTTGGGCGAGGACCGACTTGGGAAAGATCCAACAGATCCATGAGAGTGAGGTTAGCATCTGGAATAAGTAGCCGGGGAAAATATAGTAGGCGAAGCTGCAAACGAATGCGATGAGGAAGAACTGCGTTCGTGTGACGCCGCCCTTGGGCCGCTCTTCTTTCTCGTGAAGAACCCTGTTGCATTACATCGACAACATGTTCAAAGATTCAACAAACCAACGGTTGTCAAATTCATGTTCATCTATAGCTTAAATCCAAGTAAAGATGTCCTGTATGTGTTAATATGTGTTAATTTCATGACAAGAAATTGGGAACTGTAACAAACAAACAAAAGTGTTCTGTCTTGTCCTGTCCCTACCATAAGGCAAGTGGATGGGAGCAAATTATAGGTATCGAAATATGATGATGGGATTCTCTTGGTCCACGATCGATTGATTATGGTAATAGGGATTAACAGATTCTTGCAAACTTGCCTGAACAGTGAGACCTGGACTAAATTGGAAGGCCACCACATGGCTGCAGGTTCCACCAAGTACCTTCTGAAAATCCCAGCCCATCCGAATCCAAGAACCTAAAGTAGTCCAAAACTTGAATCAAATCGAATCGAATGAAATCAATTATTCTTACAAGAATTACTAATTAATTAGTTCATTGATAACAACCACGCAGACAGGCAGGTAGGAGCCTGTCTGCCTGTATCTTCTTCTACCTGTGTTGTAATGATGACAATGAGGGAGACGAAGAAGCTAATGTGCTTCTGGTAGAAGATCTTGACGGCGGTGACGACGTGGATGGCGTAGACGGTGCCTGCCCCGGAATTGGCGAAGATGGTGATGAGGACATGCTCCTTGACATTGAAGGGCCCTGGATTCAGATTGAATTCCCACCTCGAACCTTTGAGGAAGACGCGGCTGGGGAGCTTGGCGGCCATAAGCTGCCCCAGCGGGACCACCGCAATCTGCGCGGAGATGGCGGTGATGGAGAGCGGCTCCGTCCGGTACCAGAAGAACTGGTTCAGGAACGACAGGAGGACGCACGACAACACGCCCAGGAACCACATTCTGAAGGTCAGCACCGGCAGGGATGGATCGTCGGTTGTCGGCACCGTCAGGGCAACCTCCCTGATCGGAGAATTCTCGCCGGGATCGGCGTTGACCTCGCCGGATCCTGAACTGGACGGGCTCTCATCTTTACCTTCATCTTCTTCCCTGAAGTTCTTCCGCACTACTACTGCAAGTCAACAAAATTAAATTTAATTAAAGAGCTAGCTCAGTTCAAGAGTTCGAAACACATACAATATGTGTAAATTTATGGTAAAGATGGAATCTTTTGGACGAAGAGGATTACTTACGTAGAGGGTCTGTGATTTGATCTGAGGAATGATACTCCATAGATGGGCAGGTTGCTTGCTTTCTGGATGAGCTATTGGAATAAATAAGCTCGGCTGTAATTATTACATTGATTGGTAGATATACGTAGACTTCGACGTGCTTAAAAAAAAACAAAAAGAAAATAATACATGTTACTGCATTATCGGCTGCTGCAATAAATTAAGAAGATAAGTGAGTAGTGAGATTAATCTGATTCACAAATTGGTTGAATGGCAGGTGGGGTGTGGACAAAGGTTTGCACATCATAAGTTTTGTAGTGAATGAACACATGCAGTAATCTTGGAATTGGGATCTTTGTCCAGATTCATTATTGTTTTGTAAAGATTCCAATTTACATGAAATAATAGAGCCACTTCGAGCATTTTAACACCGGGAATATTTTTCCAATTGATGATGTCACAAAGGAAGATATTTCTGGCTGTCATTTTTGGTTTGGTGGTCACATGAGATCCATTCGAGCAAGCCACCACATTTTCAAAGGGAAAGATCTTGACAACATAAAAATGTTGAACTAAATAATATATTTAATCCATGGTCAATTATATTATTATATACTGTTTTTACTTTTCGTATTATTATAACTAATATGGTACTGAGATTGGCAATAATACATGTATTTTTTTATATAGTTGATTAGAATCAATGGATTCTTGTATGGAGCTAACATAGATGAACATTATACTCTTACAAGAACACCCGAATCTCTTTGATCCAATTGTGGAAACAAAAGGTCGCAACTGAATATGATAGTGAGAGGGGATTTCAGCTAAAAGTACATGTTGGTTTCCAAAGAATTTTTTCTTCTTTTGGTTTCTAAAGTTGCAACTGTCTATCTATAAACTCAACCAGAAATTCAGTTGATCAATCTGAGGAAACAACAACAAGATTCAAACAGAACAATTCAAACAACAAAATGAAGTCAAACTTCAACAAGAACTTTAAAGAAAAGATACTTTCTTCTTCATTAGCCACTTCTTCTTGGCATTTTGAAGTGAAGCCTCTTTCATATCCACAAGTTCATGTCGACAGCATCGATACTGCACCTCAACTGTCTCAATTATGTTCTCAGTTATGATGCCGGGACGAATAGTTTCTGTTTGAATTACTTTCCAAGAGATTTTCATTTTGAACCATAGCAGAGCCCTGAAGAAACCTCTCTGTTCTGTACTTCTCTTCAAGCTACATCATACTTTTCTACTTTCAGGACAAAGTTATTTATCTCATTACATCTATGACTTTCAAGAGCCGAAACTGAAGTTTCAACAGCTATCTGACAGCCTCTTGTAAGAAGGTTCAAGTTCCATGATAGGATGAACACGATAGTAATTCTTGGGGTGTTGAGGGAGAAAGAATGGATCATTCAAGAGCTCAGCAGCACTTAACCTCTCAGACGCAGGAACCAAACACTTTTCAATAAAGTCGTCTCACTTATTAATTCTAGTATACACATCCCGAAAGAATATATATCCACCAGCTCATTGTATTCCTCACCATAAGCCCAGGTACATTCTTTCAAGCAGAACAATTAACAAAGACGTTTATGGAATAGGTTGCTGCGTAATTGTTGCAAATCCAAAATCTCCAATTTTAACCTCACCGGAGCACTTTGTATCTCTATGAATGATGCGACAAGTAGTGTTTGGTTTTTGCATTGCGCAACACCATTATGGTGCAACAAATATAGAGTCTATCGTTTTGATAAATCATGCCATTGGTGGCACAAAGATTTTTCATATGAAACATGCTTTCGCCACTTTATTGTTTTGAATCTTTCTTTGATTCGAATGCCAAGTTAGTTGATGGCTTTATTTGTAAGTTCTTAATAATTTTGAGAATTTCGTCTCTACTTCCAACAAATAAAGACAGCAATATTGGACTCAATTTTACCAAAAAGTGGCGAAGCCTCTTTACTTGCTCTAGTTCGAATAAGTGTTAATTCGAACACTTTGGTGCGAATGAATCCTAGATGGGCAATGTTTCTTTCATCACTTAAAAATGATTGCTTTGCTGACTTTGTTTCAGCACGAACCTCACAAAATCGAAATTCATTTCCTTTTGTAAGTACAGGCTAACAAATCTCTTCATGATAATTATTTCTATTCAAGCACAATAAAGAATAAAAGACTTGCATTTATCACCAAGAAACCAACAATATATTTCAAGAATTATTAACTTGCATTTGTTTTCGGGTTAAAGGGTAGGCTTCATGAGATTTGGATAAATTAAAAAATAATCACAACAACAATCTTACCATAAGTAAAAATAATTCGGATAAGGTATTCAAAATTATTTATATGGTAAATCATATCAATATATGATTTCCCTAATTATAAAAGGCAAGAATTCCTACATGCACTACTACTACAAGTCTACAAAATCTAATTAAAGAGCTAGCTCAGTTCAAGAATGGAAGAACATACAATATATATATATATATACTTTTGTGTGTGCTTGATCAAATGAACATAAAATTTGAATGAGGAAAGTAGCACATTAGTAGTAGATATATGTAGACTTCCACGTGCTTAAAAAGAAAGAACATGTTATTGCATTATGGGCTGCTGCAATAAATTAAGAAGATAAGTAAATGTAGTGATATTAATCTTATTCACAAATGGTTTGAATGGCAGGTGGGGTTTGGACAAAGGTTTGCCTTCCTGGAATTAGGATCTTGTACAGATATATTTTTCTTGTTTGTAAAGATTCCAGTTTATATGAAATATTAGAATCTAACCGAAGGAATTAGAATCTTGTCCAAACACATTATTATCGTTTGCAAAGATAATTCTAGCTGTCATTTTTTATTAATTATTCTCTCCGTTCACAAACTAATGCTTCTTACTTTTCTATTGAAAATGTCCAACAATTATGGCCATTTTTTTATTTTTATGCATAAAATTTACTCTTTTACCTTAACTTTATTTATTTATTTTTATACACAAAATTAAGGACAAATTTATTATTTTATAACAAAAACCGTAATTGCCTAAGAATACGTGCATTAAAAAAAAAAAGACCGAAGAGAATATTTTTTTCACACATAAATAGAAAGTCTATTATATATTTATGTCATATATAAAAATTATTTAATATTTATAAAGTGATATAGGGGTGGACTATGTTTGTTAGGCTATAAGCCCTAATTGTTTCAAATTTTTGTCTGAATATTGGAATTCTTTTTTTAAGATTTTTTATGCATTAAATATGAAATATTAAATAGAACTAGTCACCACATTTTCAAAGGGAAAGGCAGAAGGGTTTAGGGTGTCTTTCCAAACAGAGTATTAAACTCCGCCGAAAATTTATTCGATAAAAAATTTTAAAAAATAAAAAAAATTGAAGTACTCGAACCTAAACATTTGAATAATTATTAGAATTAATATATATTTATATTAGCAGCGGCATTCTTCTTTAATTCTCTTCCCAACTGAACTAGCCGCCAACCGCCACAACTACAAATAGTAAATTATATTTTAATTTTTTAGCCAGTTAGGCTCCGAACCTGCAGGATGGATCCTGAATGTGGGTTGGACCTAATATTTTTCTAACAAGGCAAGTCCAAGGCCTGCAAAACCCATTCATTCCCAATCTGCTCCATATCCCTAATTTTTGCAACTGTCTATTTATAAATAGGCATGCAGGCCGAGTGAGAGAGAGTCAATAAAAGAGATGAAATCCACAATTGATGAGCTCACTGGAGCTAGCAAAATATTTATTTCAAACTCAATCAGAAATTCAGTTGATCAAAATGAAGAAACAACAACAAGATTCAAACAGAACAATTCAAACAAAGAAGTGAAGTAAAACTTCAAAGAAAAGATACTTTCTTCATTAGCCACTTCTTCTTGGCATTTTGAAGTGAAGCCTCTTTCATATCCGCAAGTTCATGATGACAGCTTCAATACTGCATATCGACTGTCTCAAGCTCTGTCTTTGCCTTAAACTCATTGATGATTTCATTCTCTTCATCTGTTAGAGAAGTTGAAGAGCTCGGGTTCATTACGCTTGATGATGCAGTAGTCCATGAGCCTGCAGAGGAGGAGGAATCTTCTAATTTCTTCATGCTTTTGGTCATCAAGGACGGCCCGTAGCTCATCCTAGCATAATCAGCCAATTGTAAATCTTTCTTGCACATGGCATCTGAACTTGATGCATCAATGTATTGGGGCAATGCTCCAATCGATTCAATAGCACAATTGTTCTTTGAGACAGGTAACTCTGGGCACATGCTTCTCTCATTAGATTCTCGGTTCCGATGCCAGTGCGAATAGTTTCTGATTGCATTACTTCCCAAGAGATTTTCATTTTGAACCATAGCAGAGCCCTGAAAACTCTTTGTTCCGTTCAAGCTACCAGATGATGTTCCACAGCAGAAAAGCAATTGTGAAACTAAACTATCAATCATCTCAGCTATTAAGGCTGCATCATTTCCCGGTAATCTGAGATATATAACCATCTCCTCAGCAATAGATAGTGTAGTATCCTCATTAATATAGAAGAGAAAGTGAACAGTTTCCTGGCAAGCTGCATCATTATTACCTATTTTGTTGCAAACAATACGTTAAAATGCAGTAAAAATATGCAGGAAATAGTGCTTTTAAGATGATGTTTCTGACATTGGAATTTACATACCTGCATAGCTCACAATCTGCAGAGTTAATGAGAGTGAACTATCATCATGCTTTTCTCCTTTCAGGACAAATTTATTTAACTCATTGCATCTGTGAATTTCAAGAGCCGGCACTGGATTTTCAACGGTGCTTTCAGTGTAAGAGCTACCTGAAAGCTTTTTGTAAGAAGGTTCAACTTCCATCATAGCATTTAGTGCGGAGTTCAAGTGGTTGGTTGTAAATTCCGATATTTGCGGATGAACACAAGAATAATTATTGGGGTGTCCAGGCAGAAGGAATGGATCATTCAAGAGCTCAGCAGCACTTAACCTCTCAGATGCAGGAACCAAACACTTTTCAATAAAGCATCTCACTTCAGGGTCCTGTATTTCCCCCAGTGCAGCTGGTTTTATGCCCTAAAGATTTATAAAATAAAATAAATGCTTATGTCAAAAAGTGCATATCAGCACACACTAGAAGTAGAATATGTCGGGTAGATGTACTCACAGATGTAACCCTCTTAAAGATCTGGGCAGGATTTTTACATTCACTGTATGGGTATTGGCAGGTTATTAATTCTAGCATACACATTCCAAAAGAATAAATATCCACCAGCTCGTTGTATTCCTCATCGTAAAGCTCTGGTGCCATAAACTCAGGTGTACCTTAAAAAATAAACATTACTCCAAATTAAACTAGATCAGATAAATGGTCACAGACATTTCTTTCAAGCAGAACAATTACCGATGACACTTCTGGCAGTAGGTTGCTGCATTACTGTTGCAAATCCAAGATCTCCAATTTTAACCTCACCATAATTTCCATTCACAAAGATATTGTCGCATTTTATATCTCTATGAATGATGCGAGGATTATGAGTGTGCAAATAGTGTAAACCTCGAAGGATCTGTCTGGCCCAGTTCTTTATAGCTTTTATATCTACACACTTATGTTTTTTCCGGTACCTATATGAGAAGGAGACACAATCATTGAACATGAGAAAAAAAAATAGATGATAAGGGCAATACCTTGGCAGCAAAGAGAATCATAAAAGATAAGGAAACTCACTGCCTCAGGCTGCCAGAAGTGAAAAGCTCTGTGATCATGTTCATAGTTTTATTCTTGGGGTCCACCCACCAGCCAAATGACCGAACGATGTTTTCATGCTTCAGTGACCCTAGGAGGTTAACCTCAGAGTGTAACCTCCCACAGTGTGCAGGTGACTCAAGAACATCCGCAATATCTATTTGGTTCCAAGCAACTTCTATCCCATCAATTTCATCAAACCCCTTGTAACTAAGAAGAAAATTTTAAAAGTCAGATTTCATGTGAAAAAAAGGTGCCTGACAACTGCATTATAAAGAGAAGCTGAAGATAAGGGCAGGAAGCATACACAGTCTTGAATGCTCCCCTCCCCAGGATTTCATTGTACTGAAGGAAGGAAAAGAAAATGGTAATAAAACAACCGTGTAAGTGTATAAAGAGAAATTACCGATCTAACATGGCTTTCAAATGGAAAGAGGATTATATTACAGCAAAAGCATCATAGTAAACATTCTTCTAATTTGGTTTTCGTATAATGTGTTTTAAGTATAGTTTGTATATTTGCAGATAGTGCTTCCGAGATATATCAACGCCAGTAGAAGTATCATAAGCAAACCCCACATCATATCCACATTGATCACATAACAATAAAAGGCCAACCCATGCAAACAAACATGTTGAACTTCGAAGCTCATAACTAAAATTGCGTTTTTATTCAAAAGCTGTTAACAAATTGACAAACATTTACAAATATATTAAATCGCATAAGGCTAATTTTTAGGACTCTTGAGAATTGAGATATATCAAGCTTAATAAGGTATAACTTCACGGTGCCAAGAGCTACAATTTAAAACAAATGTGACCCTTCAAATGACTACACGACTATTGTTATCCCACCTGAACTTTAAGATGCCAAATGAATCAAATATAAAACAAAAACTTAACATAATACAATACAGTGCAAAGATTAGTAAAACAAAACAACCAAGCTATCAGGAACCTAAGTTTTCATAAGGCTATATATATATATATCCATACTTGCACCCATGTAATCCACACCATCAATGCAAAAGTCTAGAGAACAGAAATATACAATTTAAATCTCAAAGATAAAAGCTTTACCTGAATATATCGCCCGTCCGAGGACGTATCTAAGATTTCAGGCTCGGTAACCTGCTTATTAGCTCCCATTCTCCCTTTCTCAGCCCAGAATTCATTGCTAGCAATATTCATCTCAACAGAAAAAAAGGAAAAACAATGAAAAGGAAAATAAGAAAACGAGAGAAAAATCAAGCAAGCTGTACAATTAGGATTCGGGTTATAGATCGAGGTCTTCGGAGAAAGCTTCACAGGCGACGGAAAACGAAGTAATGCCCGACCTAAATCGAAAAGGGCATCCGAAGAAATTCAACTGCAGCGAATGCAGCGAAGAATTAGATCTCACTTCTCCTCGGATCAACCTTCCCATCTCATTTATTAATTCTTCAATCAACAAACAAAAAATTCAAGGGAAAAATAACAAAAACAGAATAAAAGAAAGCAAAAAGAAGATGGAGATATGTACAAAATTAGCAGGGGGCAAAGATTAGGGAGAGTGTTACGAAACCCTAGAAATTCAGCCCCTGTCTAATCATGATATATCAGGATTGGGGATTGGATCAAGCAACCCTAGGGAATAATTTTGGCCGCCCTCACGAAAAGCTCTTCAGAATATACACGAAGGAAGAAGGATTTGATGGCCGACAATCACTTGAGAAAACAAAGAAGATCGCTCCAGAGAAACGGCTTATAGAAGATCGAAGCGGCAATTCACCATTATATTGGCGAAGCGGTGGCTTTATAGAAGGGATATGAAATAAACTGCGACTTTGCCTTTAAAGAGAATGCCAAAAATGCGACTTTGAGCCTTTGAGCGAAAAAATAGGTATATATTGTTTATATTCTAATATTTGTTAAACTGAAAATAAGTTGCGATAAAATAATATTTCTGTTATTTGCAACGGAACAGATTAGATTATAACCCGTTATTATAAGTAACATAGGTGCAAGCAAATTCTAAAAACTGTATCAAATAAATTATACTAATATAATTTATAATAATATTTTAAATAAAAAATAAGTATAATGTATTAATTTAATTTATTTATTGATTATATATTACATGTGGTTTAATCGAAGGGATTATCGAGGATGACTTGCTGAAATAACAAAGCTACCGGCCATTGATTTTTCAACAAGTACGCTGACTTTGGCCGGCGACGGCGTCGTTGGTTTCGAAGATTTCCTTTATATGATGAATCGTCGTTAATAAGGTGCAAGAAGAGTGTATTATCGACAATGGGTACTGTAATGATCATAATTGACAATCCTGTCTGTGTCCTTAACCATCTTCAAGACTTGCATAAGGTTCTTCAATGGCGGTTTCAACTCATCAAGGCACACATTGCAACAGAGCCAAGCAATCAATGACAATCCATCATTCAAGTATTTTATACACAAGAGACCACAACAGAATTAAATGAGAGAGATCGAAATAAAGATTGGGGGGCATTTCTCTCCTGTTAGACTGACTGACTACTCACTACTTTTGATTTGTCACTTTCAACAAACCAACCAAACCAACAAACAAACAAATCTACTCTAGACCAAAGAACCAAGAAAATCATCGTCGGCTCAAACTTTACTTTCGACAAGCTATAGGCATCAGCGCCGAATGTTTCAAAAACTATACTTTTGCTCGCGTGTCTTGCTAAGGCATCTACTGCAAAAAGGGGTCGTGGCAGCGTGCAGCACCATCCAAGTTTTCGAAATTTCTTTGAATCTATCACAAGTTTGCACACTGAATTGTATCAGCCAAGTTGACAGGGAATGCCGAGACAGATTGATAGTTGTTGAATAACGGCATGGTTGAGCTGATATTGTTGCCAAAGTGTTCGTTCGCTTTAGACAGATTTCCACCAGTCATTTGTAAGAGCTGAATCAGAGAAGAGAATACTTCATGCCTTGTCCCATGCCGGTTCCCCTGAGAAAGGCATCGACAAGTTCTATCAACATTCAGGACAGCGAATCGATATGTGAATTAATACATGCAAGTCTTCTGTGTGTTTACCTTAGCTTCCACTATGAAGCTAGCCCATATCTTCGTTTCGCGAACTTCCATCACTCCCTTTAGGACTGTCAGGCCAAAGCCGCGAATTATATCTATAATCTCTAGAAAGAAACCACATTCTTCGTAAAGGATCTGCAACAGATCAGAGGTTGGAGGATGTTAGAACTTAGAATAGATGAAGAAAGAATCGTCTGTATTTAGTGAGATAAATGTCAGCTTGATTACCTCAATAAGCATTTGTCCGGGGGTACTAAGGTCCTCGATGATCAGCGGACAAACCATTGATTTATCGCCAACTTCGCACGCCCATGTTACTCCACCATCGTTTTTTGAGTGGCCCTTTTGGAAATTCCTGCTCTGTTAACCAACAAGTTCACAGCCACACATGTTACTCGAGGGATAGGTCATTCTTTCTATGTAATGCTGCATAAGTAACAAGAGAAGACTTTTACCTTGGACTTGTCGACTTGTTTCAGACTTTCCGAATGTTTTGCTAAGCTGCTCATGAAGTTCAAGTGCTTTATGGTTCGTTCCAACAAACGATCAATGCTCATCTGTCACAAAAGGCAGCCATTGTTTCAATTGGTTGTGATTATTGTTTCTAACAAGTTGTTCCTATGGGAACCATGAAGGATGCTTACCTTCTCTCCGTTGGGAATGAGCCCCCTCAACTCTGCAAGGCGATCTTGAATCATCTGTCGATCTTTTGGCCGTGGTCTGCTCCCTGGTTTAGCCTTCTTCTTCCCATTTTTCGCAGAGTCTTGTTGCTTCTTCAATGAGCTAGAGCTCCCTGCACCCATATTTGAGCTATCAGCAACACATAAGCCCATCGACCCCTTTGCAGAGGTTTCGCTTTTGAGATCAATGGCGGTTCTGATCTCAGAGTCTTGTCGCCATGAACCGATGTCAACTTTTCTTCTTTTAGCCACAGGTGATGGTTGATCCTCCAACCTAGTTTTGGAGAACGAACCGTACGAGCTGCTAGCACTACCGTCTAAGAGATGATCAAGGCCTAATCTTGAGAACAAACTGTTAGATGTTGCAACTTTGGATCCAAAGGCCTTTTCTGCCATGCATCCATTGATATTTGTATTGAAATCTAAGCCGGCACCATTCGAAACATTAAGCAGAGGCTGATCATTCCAGCTCTGAAGCTTTTGATCACAGCCCGTCTCGGCTCCCAAACCATTCAGCAGCTTGTCCACGCCAGACATGGCGTAAAACTTGCTATCATAGTTACTAGACTTGAATGCATCAGTAACAGAACTCTGCATAGAATTTGCTGGATGATTCTCAGCACTCAATTTGGAGACCAGAGTGTGTCCTGTCAAGTGCGACAGGTCATTACTAAGTGCGCTGAATGAAGCATTGCTCGGGCACGCCAAAGGCGAAAGCAAGCGAGTAAAGTCATCCATAGGACCAGTTTTACAGAGATCCTCGGCAACAGAGTTGTCCTGAAACAGTTCATCCAGAGTCGAAAGGCCGGATGATGGCCTTGGAGCATTCGAGCAGGTTGGATCGATTAAAGCAGTATAATCCCGAGCATTCAATGCATCCTTTGAGAATTGTGAACCCTCTAATGAAGTAGTTGCCAAGGCATTCAAGCTCGAACTGGGGCTGCATTCATAACTGCTGATTCCACCAGATGGTAAATGAGACCAAGATGCCGTGAGAGCCGAGCAATCAAATGAACTCCCCGGCTCATAAAGCAATTGATCTAATGGGGAACTGGACTTGCAGCCATTTTGAACTTGGTTCTCAATCAGGGAGGAAGATCCAGTGAAGTTCAAACTAGAAGACAGCAATTGAGATGGAGGGGATATCGAATAATTGGATCCAAAAAAACCATCAGAGTTGGCACAATCAGGGAAGTTCTCAGCAGCAGCGCCGGATGCATAGCACGGTAGCAATGTGCTAAACTGAGTGCCTGAATACAGAAAATGGCTGTCTGAAGAACTCTCTTGCAACTCAAGTTTCTGTCCCTCACCAATCCCCCGGAAACCAAGCTTGACTTGCTCAATGAAGTCCTTAAATTCAAGAACCTGCAAAAGAGGTTCATATAAGTGATCAAGTTAACATCACTTGATTCAGGATATAGACAGGTGGCTGTATATTGGGAGACATGTTCCAAACCTTACGAGTCGAGCCTAGCTGGACGACGCCCCATGGTTCAACAGATATTAAAGCAATAGTCTGCAATACATATTATTGGTATGAATAAACAATTTGGTTGCAGGTGAAAGAAGGTGTTGAAAGCTTAACTAAAGCCAACAAAAATGATTACCTTTAGTCCCAAAGAGAGTTGGGCGTCGAGAAGAGAATCATCCTGTGCAATATAGTATAGTTAATGGGATTCAGTAAAAAAATGCTAAGGATAGCTTAAAAGATCCAAATTGTGATCAAGAAGTTAATTCACCTCTAAAATGTCAAGACTTTGAGATGATCCTACACAGTTTTGCCTTTCTTGTAGGTCATCTAAAAACATCCACCTGTGGTTTCTTGTGAAGGCAGCTTGGCCAACAACTCTGAATTCATCCCAAAGGGCAAAAACTTATTTAGGCATCATGCAAATAAGAACAAATTTGATTCTTTATGACTAAAAAAGATTTTAACATATAGCTTAATTACCCTCCTCCCAGCACATGAACTTGCATCAGCATGTTATCAATCAAGGCTCTCATTTGCTCTTCATAGTAAGCATCTTTACATGTCAATAATCTGTCCATTGTGGAAATAATTACAGTGTAAAATCAGTATCATTAAATTTCATGCAAGAAATGGTGGATTGTCAAGGATGCAAAAGGAAAACACTAATGGACCTTTCACTAATTAACAAATGTGAGGGAACACAAGTAACTATTGTACTGGAAAGGTAAGTAGTGGAACTGGCAGGAAATGAATTTGACTTGTGTAATTCTGGCAACAAGACATTGATGGTAATGGAAAAAGGTGTGAAGCAGTAGGAAAAGTTGATGCTTTCTGTGAGGAAAAATAATAAAGGAAAAGGAGCAAGAGTGGAAGATAAAACACCAAATTTTTTATTCACTCCATGGGACAAATCGTTAAAAGAGATTTTTTGTGTACCAAGAAATGCATTCAGAAGAATCATCAAAGGAAATACAAGTGTATGGAGGAATTATCTTGTTGATGTGTTTCCAAAACCATCTCCCCAAGCAAAAAATTCATAATATCAAAGAAGTTTAGAGTAAATAATGAAAACCCTTTTGTCAACAGCAACAGTAAAGGAAAGGGGCCATAAAAGAAAACCTGTCCCATGGAAAAGAAAAATGAGCATAGACTAGCTTTGATTGCCCATGCTAATATGACAATATTGAGAGAGAGAGAGAGAGAGAGAGAGAGAGAGAGAGAGAGAGAAAGAGGGAGCTTACAAGGAATTTCTCTGATCAAAACCCCAGAAAATCCCATAGCACCATCCATTGCTGCAACAAAGACTCCTGAGGGTTTCTTTCATCACGGAATCCCTCTTTGCACTGTACATTTCTGCCAATTGAATCCAGCAGCTATGAACCCTAGCTAGAATTTTGCTTCGAAACCCGGTGAAGTTTGAAACATCAAGTTGCTCAGATCCCCGTCAAGAAACTCTAGGGAAAGGAGAAAAAAAGATGCAATCTTTCTTTCCGGGGAGGGAAATTGAAGAAGAAAACCAAGGTGGCTCCAAATCCAATTTGCTACAAGGTGAAACAGCAACGAAAATGGGGAGAAAACCACACAGAAATTAAAAGCAGTTTTGTATTATGTGTTTGGGAAAACAATGAAGGGGTGGGAGAGAAAAGTGTTTTCCCCCCACAAACAAGAAAACAGAAACAGCAGTGGTGATGGTAGCAGTACCACTGACTAAAGGGAGATGATGGTTGGGATGTCTGTCTGGAGTACTACTGCTCTTCTCCTCTCCCCCAAATGCCCCAAAAGCTTAAAAAGAACCCATCAAAGGAACAAGAAAGAGAAGTGGGACAAAAGCATAAAGTAGTCAGGTGAGAGAAGACAAGAGAGATGGAGGAGGAGGAGGAGGAGGGGAGAGGAAGTTGAAGTGAATTTAATATAAACAAATATACATATACATATACATACACACACATTGTTGGGGGATATTTGCTGGGATGGATGGATAGGGGGTTAGTTGGTGGGTGGGGTGGGGGTGGGGGCTGCCTTTTGTGGATTCAAGAAAACAACAAAAATCAGATAAAAGTTTAAATACAACAAAGATTTCCCTCAATTTTCTTTTTAGCAATGCATTTATGGTCTTTCTTTTACCTCTGTATTGTATCATCTCCATTTAATATGGACAATATCTTTGTGGAAGATTTTTCAGTTGAGAGAGATCATCACTTTCTTACATCTGCAATTCTAAATTATTTTCTCTAAAATGAAATGCAATTCATAGAAAAGGACATGATACAAAGTACCCATCAATTCCTTGTAACCACAGCTAGTTCCATTTTTTTACAAGAATTAAAAACCACCAAATATGTCACCATCGACCTTAATTATTAAGCCTTCCAATTAGCAGCAGAATCAAGTTCAATTAGGGTTTACCAAAATGGTTGGGTTCTGCAGAAACTTTCAAGAACAGTATGGAGGATATGGTCATTAATTATTAGATGCGCTACAAAACAGCCAAAGATGGAATTGCTGCTGCAGCCATGGCTGATGTTAATATATTTCCAGAAGCTCAGCCTGCAAATATTTTAGTAAGTGGCCAAACCAATAATACCAAAATGTCCATTTCAATAATCATAACTTGCAGAATTTATACATACAAAATCAAATTTTTAGAGGCCCCATTTGCTCTCACCTCCTCGAGAAGATCTGGCCCACATGTCATTTCACTTTCACCACTATCAAATTTCTTTAATTTAATATTATATATATATATATATATCCATTTTATTTTTGGGGAATAAAAATGTTGGCATGAGACAATGGGTTGGTCATTTATGGTCAAATATGTACATTGAAAAGATCCGATGGTCATTAAAATATAATATTTGTAATTGTAAAAGATATCTTTTATTCTCTTGGGAATTCAATGATGAATATTCATCATTAAAGATGATTATAGCATTAATTAGAATAAATACTATACCAAATTGATGAGGTTGCTTGCTGTTCAATTTTTGTGTTTATTTTATTATTCAGAAATTATTTTTTCATACATATGAGCATCACTACTTATTTTTGGGCCAATATGTTTTCCATAAAATATTGTATATTTATTACTATTTTTTTTAATCGGAAAACTCACTTCCATATTTGATTTTTTTTTTTAAATTTTTTTTATCATTTCAATAGAAAGTAAAGAGTGTGTTTATTTATGTCTTGGGAAATTTTTTTATGATTTTGTTAATTTTAGATTTTATTTTTTAAATAAAAATTGCATAGTATGTGATCATGACCAAAATAGAAAGTTGTAAATTAAATATTCTTAATCAGATCGAATTTGATAAGCATCAATTATCAATTGTAAATTAGACCCAAATGTTTTAAATTCAAAATTGTTGATAATTACAATTCTCTTTATGTCGTATTTAAAAGATCCTACTTATAAAATGAACACAATTTCCCATGTATATGCGTAGCTCCATTGTACAAAAATCTATTAGGGTGCGTTTATTTGTGAGGTTTTGGATTTTGATTTTGATTTTAAATAGTAAAATTTTGAATCGAAATAAATATTTGATGTGATATAAATATGTAAACAGAACCTTAATCTTTTACTCCACGGAAATACATTATGCATTTCTTACTCTATTTTTCAATAATTTTCAAATTAGAACAATATGTAACGCAGTTTCTTGAATTAAAACTAGCTAATTGTATATAATTTTAGCAGATAAATAATTAAATATAATTATTTTTTGTACTAGGAAAAAATTCGTACAAACAAACAATTCAGTGGCCAATAATTGAATATTGGAATTGGAGGATTAGGATATGATGCAATAATTGGTCGCCGGGGGAATATTCCGTCCGGGAGCGAAGCACGAGGCGTAGGAGGCTATCTTGTCACCACCCCCACTCCACCCCACCCCAACTCTACATGTATATATATATATATATGCATCTGTGACTGTGTGTATGTATAGAGAGAGGAAGACAGAATGTGCATTGGGCAGTCCCCTCCTCCATCGGGAACAACTTGATAGAGAGAGACACGATTAGGGTTAGGGTTAGGGTTAGGGTTAGGGTTAGGACAGGACAGGTACAGTTGCAGTTGCGGAGGTGACGAAACCAACAACATTGTGGGCTTTTGAGGGATCATTCTCTGATCAAACACTGCTCCCCAAAATTCACCAATTTTTTTTTTCTTTTTCTGAATGACTGTTCAATCATCACACCATTCTCATATGCACAGAAATTCCCATTATTCTAATTATAATATAATTAATTTGTCCTCTAATTTCCAAATGCCAATTATCCACCACATGACACCTGACCTGACCTGACCTGATCACCACCTAGGTCTATGTATTTATTTATTTTAATTGGTTTGGGAGTTGTAATTTAATTTTATTTATTTACAGAAAATGGTTATGGTGGTGGAGATAAAAGCTGGCAAGAACCCATCAAGGGTTTTAGTCTGTGTTGGGGTATCCGAGGTCCAGTATCATTCTCCTACCATGGTTTGAGGAAACATCAATTATTTCTAATCATACATACAACACATATAAATAAATAAAATAAATCAATCAATATAATAGATACACAATTAATATGCAATGCAAAAACATATATATATATATATATATGGGCCCATTGAATATATGGTGCAATCTTGATAAATAGTGTGACAATCTTGACTTAACCACTGTGTTAAGGTTTTTTTTGCCTACCCTTTAAATTTGTTACACCATTAATTCTTTATATATTTAATTTGTGGGTAGCCATAATATATATATATATATTTCCATGCATATCCATGATTTCAATTTTTTTGTGTTCTTCCAACTACTCACATACTGATACACCCTCCAATATAAAGTGAAGTTTATGTCTCTGTCTCATCCTTCATTAAATCATTCATGCTTTCGGCAATATCATGCAATTTATTTATTCTATTTAATTATGAATAAATGCATACATTTTATTTATTAAATGAATTTAAAAAAAAAAAAAAAGTGAGCAGGGTTTAATTTGGGTCATAAAATCCAAAATGCTGGGAGAGAAAAAAAAAAAATGACTGATGAGAAACCCTAAAACAGAATTCCAAATTAATTTGCCAAACCTTAATTATATATCAGAACTATAATCAAATAACTTTTCGATTTATTATTTTTCATCGAATTCTTAATTTCATGCATGCTGGCACTTGCTTTTATTTCTTTTTTTTAAAAAAAAAATAAAAATATGTACACATACCTAAAAGAGCAAATCTTTCTTTTTGATGCATCAAAAAGAAAGCTAAACATTACAGCCCCACAATCTGATTGCAGACATAGATAAAAGTTGGGTGCATTTACACTCAATAAGCCATTCATCATTCAAAAAATTAAATAAAACACAACAAATTAATCTCACACAAATTTGTATATATATATATATATTAGGGTTTATGAGAAATCAGCAATAGCAAAGTATATAATTGTGTCACCTCTGAGCAGCACACGCTTCATCATCACGTTTGAGAAACTAAGTCAACTCACCTTAGGACCCCCCCCCCCCCCCCCCCAACCCCCTCTAGATATATATACATATATATATGTATATATGTATAAAGTCCCACTCAAATTATTCTTTGCCCAAACAGATAGAAACATTTTCACCTTTTTAATTTCCTTTAACTTGGATCTTTAGTTATAATTTCATCAATGGATGGACAGCTCAATTAGCTATATATATATATAGATATATATGGGAAAGTTGGTTTGTTTTGTTCAGTAAATATAAATGGAGAGACTGAATAATTGCTGGTAGTCAAATCTTGGGTTTATGTCTTCTCATCAATCACAAACTCATGAAAAATATTGCAACATCAAATTAAGGAATTCGAATTTATAATTAAATAAAAACATTGGTGGATTGACAATGATTTAGATGCCTATTAACTAAGCATGATAATAATTTTTAAGATCCCTGAATATTGATTGACCCTTTTATTTTATTTCATATTGTCCCATTTCTCTCTAATAATATGAATGCATTGGCAGCAAAAATATATATATGGATATCATATATTTATTTTATTTTCCTGCCTGCATTTGTACTATTAATTTAACTAAATAAAAAATATATATATATATATATATATGTATATTATATGAAGAGCACACTAATGACAGAATGATGAAAAGCAGCACGTCAGCTTCAGGCAGAGATGCCATATATATACACACAAACAATCCCTTTTTACACATAGTAATGAATCAATTGCAATTTTTATTTTCTTATTTTAATTTTCCAGAAAAAAAAAGATTAAAAAGAAAAAAGGAAAAAAGAAACACGAAGAAGGAAATGGCCAAGTCCAGTGGTGTTGAGTCTAATCTGCCAATTCCACATACGACTATAAATTTTCACGATATTAAAAAATAAATAATAAAAAATAACTGCCATCACTATTGAAAATTTATGGCATTTTTTTTTTCAAGTTTTTCTAGTTAGTTATAATATTTTTGTTCAATACAATATTTTATATGAAAATTTAGTACTATTGATAATGTGTTTTTTTTTAAAAAAAAAAATTAAGAGATTGAATGGTATAAAAATAGTAATTGAACAAATCTAAGCTTTTTTTTTATCCATTCTGCAAACTATGTCTCAAATATTTTGTTAATATGTCTTATTTGGATATTTATGGATTTTTATTTTTTATTTTTATTAATCAATAACATATCTACTTTTTATTATTTTTTTATATTTTCTCAATTTTAAATAAAATTTATAATAAGCCAGGATACTTCATGGGCACGAGTCTATGTCTAGACCACCGGATTCCTTAGGAGCATTTTGTAGTTTTGGTTGAATGTAGGTAGGTGTGGGTAATATAAAAAATAATACTTTCTCCGTCACATATTTATATATCAATTTATTTTTTGTACGGAGTTTTAGAAATATTAGTATTATATTGGGATAAAGTAAAAATAAAGGTAAAAAAACTAAATTAACTCTGTTAGTATTGTATGATATAAAGGTAATGGCATTTGTGTAATACATTGTAAATTAGAATGGTATTTGTAATGTTAGGTAGATAGTACAATTACTATAAAAAAAAAAAAGGAAACGGATACTTTGTTATGGGACGGACCAAAATGGAAAAATAGATAGATAGTTAAGGGACGGAGGGAGTATATATTAAAAAATTATAACATGTTATCTGTTAGTAGAAATGTGTAAGATAAATTTTATTTTTTGTATTATATATATAAATTAATTGTATTTGTAATAATATATTTACAAATTATGTAAAAATTAAATGATATTATTTTTATATTCGTGTGTCATTACTTATTCTATAATATAAAATAAATATTTTTCAATATGACAGACGAGGTATGATGTTATATCTTATTGACTTAATTATATGGACTTAATTATATTGATGTATATTTGTTACGTATGAATTAATAAATTTTATCAAGTATAAAATGTATTAATTGTTATGGGACAAATAAAATTAAAAAAAAAAATGTTATTTGTTATTGGACATAGATGATATAATATAATGTAATATATTAATATAAACTTGAGGTATTTATAATATATAATAAAATCATAATTAGTAAAAGAAAATTTGATAATTTGTATATGAGTGAACCAAAAAAACTGACAAAACTAATATTTCAAAGCATGTCGATGGAATATATCTATCCACTATCTTTATCAGTCAAAATATAGAGTATATATATTTATAAAAAAAATAAAAATTAACCACATTATACATTAAAAATATATTCAATTCAAACTTATATTTAGTTAATTTAATACAACTACATTAAATAAAACACAAGGACAAAAAGATATTGAATAAATTAATATTTATAAAATATTCTAAATATAAAATTAATTTATAATAAAAATAGATAGTAATTTTGTTTTTAATTTTTTAGAAATTTGGAGGAATGCTAAAAATCCTCCGAAATTTCTCAAACAAACACACTCTAAAATACCTCTAACTATCGATGAATATGATTACTTAAATATTTGCAAAAAAAATCAAATATATGCCTATTGCTTAAGGGATGAGGGATGAAGGATGTGTTTGTTTTGTGAGATTGTTGAAAAGAATTTTATTTATATGAAATATAAAAAATTGTGTAGTAAATATAAAAATAATAGTATATTAATTTTTGAAAAATGTTTGAAAAAAAATTAAAGAAATAACAAAATCGAAATATGTAATTTTAGTATATTCAAGTATACAATGTATGAGTTTGTTTGGGATTTTTATAGAAGTTCTTTCATTAATTAAGTTTTTATTTAAAAGTATCAATTCAATTCAAATTATTATTATTTTTTTATATTTTACTCAAAATTAATGTTATATTTAAATGCTATATTAATATATATTTTTAAGGTGGGTTTATTATTTTAATTTTAAAATTTAAAACCGCTTGTTTTGTATTTAAATGAAAATTGATATTATTCGTTCAATACTTCTAGATAAAATATAGGAGTTTGTTTCTTTTATAAAATTTATTTAATATATTTTATTCAAAAATATTAATATATTATACATTCATTATTTTTATATTATTTACAAATTTTTGTATATTTTATATTAAAAAAATATATTTTTAAAACAAAAATACAAACAAATAAACCCTACAATATTTTTTATATAAAATATTAAATTAAAATATTAATTAAAACAATATTTAAATCAAAATCTCAAACCAACATTAAATTTTAAATCAAAATCAACAAACTTAAAACACAAAACACAAAATAATACTATGAGAAAAATGAAATAGAAAAAATACTCTTTTTCAATTGAATGAATACATTTATTTAAATTTTTGTAGTAAATTAGTGTTATGTCTCATATCTATGTATTCAAAATTTTAGAAATATTAATATTATACTAGACATATAGTAGAAATAAAATAAAAATAATTAAAATAATATTATTAGTATTGTGTGATACAATATAAAAATAGCTGTAATATTAAATAAATAATACAATTACTAAAATAGAAAGTAGATATATAACAGGAACCAAAAATAAAAAATAAAAATAGATGATTAAGAGAGAAAAAGGTATAAAATAATTTTATTAATGTTATCATTTGTATTTTATATAAATATATAATAATATATTTAATACCTTATATAAAAATTAGATTATATTATTAGGGTGTGTTTGTTTGGAGGTTTGGATTTTGAGTTGGGATTTGAATAGTAAAAATTTTGAATTTGAATAATTGTATGATACCATATAAATAGGTGTTGATGTGATATTTTGAATATAAAATTAATTTTTAATATAATATAAAAAATAAAAAATAGGTATTTAATTTGATATTTTGAAGAAAAAAAATTGAATGAATAGTAAAAAAAAAATCCAATCCCTCTGAACAAACACACCCTTAATATATAATTATTTTTTTATTAAAATAAAAAAACAGTAATTTTAGATGAGAATGGATATATTGGAAAAGCACGTTTAGGGCAGAGAGGCCATAGGATCTGACGGCGGTGATTTCGAGGTCCAAATTGTCGGTCCATATGGCGGCAGCACCACAGCTTTTCTTGTCTTTTGTGGGGCCCAACATTCCTTGGCGGTCCCCCACCGCCTGACACGTCATCATTCTCCACAGTGGGTGCAATGATGCCTACCGCAGGCGATTACTGCCCTTTTTTGGATTGCGTGGCCGTTCTTTCCCGGATAAGATACATAAACCTACTGCTCATTATTATTACTAAAAATAGATACTTCAATTTGGGCCTAGAAAATGAAAATAATTGGGCCAATCCGTACGCCCAATATTTTGGGCCTTATATTTAACTTTTTGGTTGTTTTTTCTTCTAACTAATTTTAAAACAAACATGTTTCGATTCAATCATCTACTAATAACTTTTTATTTTATTTTATCGAGAATTATTTAATTATATACGCATCTTTTTTAGTCTTATCATTATTTTGTTGGACTTATATCATCATCATCGTCATCATGCATGACCTTCACATGGGCAACTTGGCCAATTTGGGTTTGGCATACTTCAATTCACTGAATGAATGCTTTTTTTTCACCTTTCAATTCAATATTATTATTATTATTATTATTATTGCAATTAATTAAATGAATTTCAAAACCAATAATGGAATAGTAATTGGAATTAAATTTGCTGATTCTGTAATTTTCAAGTGACTGAAAACAATAGTGACAGGTCATTTGTCGGTCACAATGTGACAATTAATTGAAATGGTTTAAAATAATAATAATTGAATAGATTTGGGATTTAAAAACTCTAAAACTGAATATAATAATAATAATAATTCTCGTATGAGGATAGTTTGGTCAAGTTACCTTTTTAATTCTTTTTATTGTAATTATATTTCATATCCTTTTTAAGGCCAGAATTCACCATGGATGGAGCTCCTCTGCAAAACCCTTATACTTCCCTTTGTTGTTTTAATCCCCTTCGCTTTCGATTCTTTCCGTGAACTTGATTTGTATGAATTGGAGGCTTTGATCGTTGGGAGAGGCCTGTGAGGAAGAGAATCAGTCTGGTTGTGGATTTGAGGTCTTCATCGTTCTTTCCGCTGTGGGTAAACTTGAGGTTAATTTTAGGTGAGAGCTTTTTCTCGTAATTTTCTTTTTGATTGAACAATTTTATTTGTGCTTGTTGGATATTCGTTCGGTTTTCTAGCTTTTGTTTAATTTTGTGCGTTGAGCCGAAGCTGCATTTGCTTGATGTTTTGGAACTTTATTTAACCAAGCTGAGTCTACTTTGATTTTATTTATGTGCTTTAGTTTTTGTTGTGAAGTTCGATTTTAATTAGCTGAGCATATTAGCTCGATTATACACTCTTGTTGTGTGCATTTTTGTTGAATATGAATGCTTAAATTTGAATAGGGATTAAGATTCGTTAGCATTTGCACATGTTCTTCAATTATATTATGTGTTTCTTCTACCTGAACAATAAATTTATATATGTGGTGTAGTTAAGTTTGGAAGGAAAATAGAAGAGTGAATCTAAAAACAGCATAATGTAATCAGAAGAAAAGGCATTGGGACCAGGTCCTCCCACGCCCATGGTCTGTTGAGTCACCATGATTAACCCCCCGCCATTGTGTCGGACGGGGTTGGGGGCCCTGGGGTAAGGGAATTTTATCTTTTACAGCCAAGGGAAAGGCATAATAGAGTGCTCAAGAAACTGATTATAATTAATTAGACTGCTGAGGAACAGAAACATGGTAGTATATTTAGCCTGATTTAAATTAAGGGAAAGAGGTGAATAAAACATATTTGGTCCTCTCCCAACAATGATACAATCATCTTTCTCCTCATTCATTTCCCTTGTTATTACGCTAGTCAATCAAAACTCGAAGCTCATGTTTTATATGTTTTGTCATTTTCTACTAATTCATCAAAATCCTTGACTATAATAAATGATCATTACTTCATTAATTGCGAAAGCATGTTTTGTCGGTATTAGGGTTTAGGAAATCCAGTTATTAAGGAAGAAAAGGAGCAAGCTACTCCAGCCTTCTATCATATGCTTTTCCACATCACAACTAATGTGGAGAAATGTATGTTCTATTTTTTTTTTAGGATGTCCAACAAGGAACTTCCCCACCAAAAGGTAGTGTGGCAAGAATGCGGTATTCTTTAGTAAAAAGCTGAATAATAGTTCGCTATGTGTTTACTGCATAAATGAATCTAGTGTTTCTTTCGAGTAGATTGCAAATACTTCAGGTTCTTTCTTCTTTGACAATGAAATTTAGGATTATTTTGACAAGGAAGAAGAAGGGAACAAATGGTAACAAAGGTAATATGTGATAGGATTAACAAGAATGTGCTTTGCTAAATTATAGCATTATTGAGTCCGGGAACATCAATCTTACCAAAAGAATGGTTTGGTGACATGTACAACTCTGTTCTATATGAGTGATGCGATCTAGCATTTGAAAACTAAAAGAAAAAGAACAGAGTCCTTCTGGGAAAGAGCACTGTGTAGCTCAATAGGAGTTTCTTTAAGAAGAAGTCAGTTGATTCAATATATTTGTACATGTACTGCTGATTTCATGAACAAGATTTATTCAGAAACTCTGTTGTTGGTCTGCAAATTCAATAATCACCTGGTTTTCCACTAGTGTCCATGGTTAATTTTAGTAACAAACGAATTTTTCATATTTGTTGATTGTGATGCCATTCTACGTGCTTAGTAACTAAAATTCATTTTGGCTGCCGATAGGAATTTAATCAAGCATTTATTCTTTCCTGTCTTGCCAATTGGTTAAGCAGGAGATAGATTGAACTCCTTTGTGTTTTAAGGGAGCATTGTCAGCCAGGATCAAAATTCTTGGGAAATGTGGGAACTTTATTGAACTGGATTATGATTAGCCCCAGTTTTTCTTGTCCTCTCTTCTCAGGATGAAACTCATTTCTTTTCTTTTCTTTTAACATTGTGAATGACTATGAGTTTTTTTTATTTGAGAAGAATATCAAGAAAGATCTCCTGAAGTACCTGACTAGTGTCATATCATCTATTCGGATAGATGAATGCATTATCCAAGTTTTACATTTATCAAGCACATGCATTATGTTTAGATGTATCTTCTAGTGATTGCTGATACACATTTTTCTCTGCAAGGTGCAATCACACTTAATACATGAGTTTGATGATGCTATCTGCCATTTCTAATTGGGCTACCTTGTAATCTATTCTACCAGATCACATACATGTCACCCAGGACCGCCTAAAATTGATTGACCCTGCAGGTTGATGAGTTTCTCGTAGATGTATGGATGAACATACCCGGATTGACTCAGTTAAATTTGGTGACCAGTGTACAAGTGATATTGCTGTATGCCTGAAAATCAGCAAAGAAAAACAAGAGATCTTCCATCTGCATTCAGCAATACTCAAAAGCGAGAGCACATATTTTGCAAACAAACTTGCAGACCCAACTAATCATTCATGTATAGAGATTGAGTGCACAGAACTCAATTTTGAGTACTATATAAAACTTCTGAAGAGCCTTTACCTTCCTGCTGGGGCACTTTTGGAATCCTGGGACTCTGTTCGATCCGTACTGGGTATTCTTCCAGTGGCTGCAGCTTTAAACTGTGAATCCATCGTGCAGAGCTGCCTTCAGTACTTGGAGGCTGCTCCTTGGGACGACACCGAAGAGGATCAGATAGTGGCAGAGGTTTCACTGCTAGGTCCGATTGGAATGCCTGTCCTCGCAAGAATCCAACCAGTAGATTCGGTAGCTTCTAAAAGAGTTTTCATCTCAGCAATACGCTTTGCTACCTCAGTTGACGGTCCCTGCGTTTCTTTTGGAGATGAGCTTAGGGCTTCAGCTCAAGAACAAGTAGAGTATATGCTTGGGGATGACGAAGACATGCCACTGGTTGTTGCTGATAAAGATGTAAAATCGGAGACCACAACTGGCCTGTTGCAGATATTTTCAACGTTTGAAAGCGCTCTCCCCTCGCTCTTGGAATCTGGCTCGAGCAAGGTTGCAGAGGGTAAAATTGTTCAAAGCCTATCCGATCTTGGATGGATGTGCAATATTCTGCTGAAAATGGGTCTAATGGAGAATTTCGTATCCAAGTGGATTGACATCTCCGAAAGCATATTACAGATTATTGAAGACAAGAAACTCGAATGCGACATATGGGGAGTAAAATCGAAGCTTGTAGAAGTGACATCTAAAGTACTCGATGCAGTAGGGTATGGGAACGTGATCCAGCCCCCTCAACGCCGCCTGCAGCTGGTGAAAACATGGCTTCCTTACATCAGAAAACTGAAGCCCACCCTTGACTCCATGACCCAAAAAGATGCTGAATTTCCTCACAAGATGGACGAAGACCTCTGCCAGAGCATCGAGGGAGCTATGGTTTCGTTAGTTTCTGCACTCCCTTCCGATGACCAAGCTGATATCCTCGCTGACTGGATGAATGCCGAGCAGCGACGATATCCTGATCTTAGCGAAGCCTTCGAAGTATGGTGCTTCAGAACCAAGTCGGCTAAGCGACGGTTAGTCGGGGGCCTGGATAGACCTGACAAGACCACAGTCAGTCTCTGATCCATTTGCTATCGCCATTAACTTTTGAGTTTTCTTTGCTATGCGGGATGGCGAACTTGCTGCATACACACTGCTCATTTCCCAGCAGTTTTTGTTTTTTTTTTTTTTAAAACACCTAATTGTATTTCTTATTATTGACTTGGAGTTGGCCAGCCATCATCTTCTTGCCTACGATTGCTTACTTGAAATTATAGAATGGCTGTTTGTTTGTTAGGTTGGTGGTCGTTTGACTTTGACATGCAGCAGCATATATTCCAATTTTTGTTGAGCCCATGTAAAAAATTAAAAAATAAATTGAAAGTTAAAAAATTATATGAAATTATAGAGTAAAAATCATTTTTGTCTCATTCAATATCACAATTATTAATTTTAGTACTATTCAAAAAAAAATTATCAATTTTGGTCATACTCAAATGAAAATTTATCAACTTTAGTCTCAAATCGGTTGACTGGAACTGAAAGCAGTCGTGTTGAATGACTCAGAAGGTGACTTGGGACTAAAATTAATAAATTTTTTATTTGAGTGAGATCAAAATTGATAATTTTCTTAATTGATAATTTTCTTAATGGGACCAAAAATTGATAATTGTGATTTATTGCTCGAAGTTATAAATGAAATGGAATATTGGTAATTATATTATGATTACGATTATTATATTAGTTAGTTAATTATTAATGTTTAAACAAGAAAGCGAGGCGCCGCACTTGACCGAAACTAAAACTATCATCGCTTCCCCATTGATTAGTTCCAATATGCGCCCATATATATATAAATATATGTATGTATTTTTGCCTTGGCAATTTAGCATTGAGCGAAAGAGAAAGTAAATCGGAGGAGGAGGAAAAGGGATTTAATGGCGAATTTGTACGTGCGGGCGTTTCCGACGACGGATCTGAATAAAAACACGGAGTGGTTCACGTACCCAGGCGCCTGGACCACCTACATCCTTATATTGTTCTTTTCTTGGCTGCTCGTGCTCTCCGTTTTCGGCTGCTCTCCTGGCATGGCTTGGACCGTCGTCCATCTCGCTCATTTTGCTGTACTCTCCTTCCTTTTGTCTTTTTGGATTCCGCGATTTTTGAGTTTTTATTTCTTTATTTATGTTATGCTTGCGGACGTGTTGTGGTCTGTTGTTTGGGACGGGGTTGATGGATTGGATTAGATTGGATTGGCTACACTAGCTAGCTTAATTCGTTCTTGTCGATTATTTGGGGCTTCTTTGCTGGGTGATCTTCTGAGATTTGATCGGTTATGGTTCATGTTGTATGATGTTTTGAGTGATGGTGTTCTTGTTGGATTTTGTTTGTTCCTTTTCTTATGTGTTGAGCACTGGCGATTGGATTTGAGTTCGTTGCTGATGTTTTTGTTATTTCTTGAGTTTTAGAATTGATTGGGAACTATTTTCTTAGATGGAAATAGGAGAATTTGTTGTCAATTTTTGTTAGTTTTAATTATCCATGTGATTAATGATTTTGTTGGTGGTAATGTTGCTAGAATTGTCATTTGTGTGGCTGTAGTAGCTCATGTGGATTAAGACTATTGCTTAAGATGATTATTTGGTTCTTTTGAAGCTTTTATTTGAGCATAAATGGTAAAATATCATAAGATTTTGGAATAATCCAGTCTAGATTTTAGTGGGATTTGCTAGAATCGTCATTAGCAATCATTGTTGAAGAATTTAACCTAAATTATGTTTTTACATGAAGTTCCTATCATGATGGCCATTTTGTTGAATCTTTAAACATCAGTATGTTATGTGTGTTGCAAGCGTGGGAATTTGTGAAATTTCTTCTCCCCACTTGTTCCAATAAATATCAAGAAATAGTTTCTTCAACCTCTGCTGGTGGAAGGTTATCTTGGTTCTCTGAATGATTGAATCTTATAATTTCTTCCGGATCAAACAACTGACGGCTTTTCATATCCAATAATGATGCTTGAGTTCTATCCGTGCTATGTAATTTTTCTCTCCGGTTTGAAAATACTAGTTTGAATAAGCAAGCAATGATCAGAATCAGTTAACATTACCCACTGTCGATGGTAGATTGAAAAACCATTGCAAGTGTTCTGCAATGGTGCTTGCTCGGCAGCATAGCTCGTTCCTGTGATGTCACATTAAAATGTTATCAATTATTCAATCTTGGTCATAACTTGCTTTTGGAATCTTGAATTCATTGTGAAGTTTCTTTGTCCATAAGTTGTCTTGACTTCCTCATTTTGCTCTCAGATGACGTATCATTTTTTCCATTGGAAGAAGGGAACACCGTTTGCAGATGACCAAGGTATCTACAATAGACTGACCTGGTGGGAGCAAATTGACAACGGCAAGCAGCTCACTCGAAACAGGAAGTTTTTGACTGTTGTGCCAGTAGTTCTGTAAGTACTCTACCGATCCATTGTTCAAATTGTAATTGACAATATATGCCTTGGTATAAAATCCTTTAATCTTGATATGATTTAGTCAATTTGATGGATTGCATTTGATCAAATATGGTTGATTTCATTGATTTTTGACAGTAAAGTAACATAGAAACCATATGATGATGGGTGGGTGCAGGTACTTGATAGCTTCTCACACGACGGACTACCAGAACCCGATGCTGTTGCTGAACACGATAGCAGTCTTGATTCTGGTGGTAGCAAAGTTCCCGAATATGCACAAAGTCCGGATATTTGGAATCAATGCCGATCAATGAAATTGCTTGCTTTGATCGATCTTCATCACATTTCTTGAACTCAACTCTTTCTTATATTAGGTAAATAGAGGATGATCCATATATATATATATATATATATATCAATCAATCAATTGCTATGATGTCTAGCTCCATTGCTGTGTTGTTATGTACTTACTAAGTTTCGAAAGGCTAAAGGAATTTTCTTTACTAACATTCTCAGGCTTTCTTTGCAACAAAACTGTTAATAATAATTTATTAGATGCTTGCTTTTCATATGAAGTTAAGAGATTGTCAATTTGTTTTTATGTGTTTTTGGATTAGAAGATGTAAGGAAATGTGTGTCAATGTTTCATGTCGAAGCCAAAAAGTGGTGATTGATCCGCCATTAATGCCTCCCCTGTCACCCATCATCTGCTTCAAGTGTCTATACAGATACCGAAACAGGAGGGTCTGATCAGAAAACATATATATATATATGTATATATATAGACTGTTGGGTGGGGTGGGGTGGGGTGGGGGGGTAAAAGTAAAACCTGCAACTTCTTCTAGTAGAAAGACTCATTTAATATTGCCCTGAAAGAAGAATTCTTTCCGTTTCATTAATTCATTATTCACAGACTGCTGCTACTCCAAAAGATTCGTACACACAAATACATTTATATATGTATACATATAATATATATATATATATATATTATCCCTGTTGTGTTGGCAGGGGTGGGTGTTTGTATTCCAAAGATTAAAAACATACTTCCGATTTACTATCATTACGATAAGGAAAGGATAATTAAATAATTGACACTAAATATATAGAAATATCAATTCAGTACAACCAACCAAACTAAAATAACAATGGATGGCGATGCAGATTGCAGACTGCAGAGGAGCTAACAAGAAGAAGAAGAGGAAGATGATGATCCAATTAATGAGAGAGAGAGAGAGGTTGCAGGCCAGGCCAGTCAGGTCAGGTCAGGTCATATCACATGTTGTCTGAAGAAGAAGAAGAAGCAGCAGCAGAAGAATGAATGAATGTTTTGTGGGACCAAAACGATGTCCTGAAGCAAGTAGAGTTGGTCAGATCTTTCCCGGTTTTTCAGTTTCAATAGATATCCAACATGGATATCAATTGATTCACCATCATCATCGTCTTCCACCATTGTTGCAGTGCAGATCTGCAGAAGCAGCCACGTAATTTAATTTAATCATCGATCATTTCATCTCTTAGCTAGCTAGGTAGGATCATCATCATTATCATCTGTCCTTGTTCATCATCATCATCCACTGCAAACTACAGTAGCAGTAGCAGTAGCAGTAGTTAGTTACATTACATACATATATGCATACATATACATTTAATATGTACTTGTACTTCACCCCTAATCACTAACTAACGTAAGCCACCACCAACTAACTTCCATACATTTGTATTATCATTATCATTCTTATATTGCACAATTACACTTTCAATTTAACACACACATACTGCCCTCGATCTTCTCAAAACCCTGGAATTCTTGATCCATCGTCATTCTCAATTATATACAGCCAGAAGTTTCAAACCCCAATATATAAATTTTAAAGATCAAATTTTTATGAAATTAATTATAATATCGATCGATGAGTTAATTAAAGATGCAATCAATATATAACATTTAAGATCACTTAAATATATAACATTTAAGATCACTTATATATATAACATTTAACTTGAGTCATGAATTATTACCATGATTCTTGACGACGCATCCGTGATCCAATATTGCAATAAGCATAGCAGCCATCAGTTGAATTAATGGAATTATCACCATGATCATTAACAATTCTTTCCTCATCACCTGTGGCTGAGATGTCGGAGACGACGAGCTGCTGCTGCTCCCTTCTCCACAGATTCGTCATCGTCATCTCCGCCACAGAGCCGCCATGGCCATAGCTGCTACTGCTCCTCGTTGCCCCATCCACCTCGCACAAGTAGTAATCTGGACAACCACAATTAGCCAAACCACTACTACTTGGAGGAGGAGGAGGAGGAGGAGGATGATGATCAGCAGCCATTGAAATGAAATTAGAGGAGCTCAAAATCCCTAAACGATGGGACACCATGCGACTGGAATTCCTATCGTCATGCCCTAAATGGTGGAACACGAAATTAGGGTTTTTTTGCGGTGCAGGCTTGATTTCGATCTTGTTCTTGTTCTTCTTCCTGGAGGCGCCGCCGACGGGGACGTTCCGGAGAGAGCCGCCTTGAGTCCAGTACCGCCGACACGTCTTGCAGAAGTAGCGCGGCTGAGAGAGGCTGTAGTTGTTGTAGTAGCAGAATTTTGTGTTGGGAGAATTGCACCTCGGACAGTCCAACGCCGCCGCCTGCGCTCTGCTGTAATTTGACTTCACCATTGATGCAAACTGTGGCGCCAGATTAGGGTATTTGCTCGCCATCGCCGTATCTTCCATTGCCACCGCCTTCGCTGCCGTAGTATTATCCTTCATATATATATATATATATATACACACAAACAGTCAGTCCAAAGGAGAAAACATATATATATATGATTCAAATTTTTGCGAATTGGGGACGACGACTGCCATGGAATTTACACAAAATTAAATAGAGTAAGCTGTATATATATGTATATATATAACGCAATCTTCTAAGAAATTAAAAATGAGAAGGTGCAGTGGAAGTAGGATTAGATGTATGCACCTGAAGATGATCCCATGGAGCAGCGGCGTCCATGGAAGAAGATGAAGATTTTGTAGGAAAAGTATGGTGCTTTTGTGCAATATATTGTGGGTTCAGAACGTATAAACAGAAATATAGCTAAGGAAATAATTAATAATAATAATAATAATATAAAATTAAATGTTTAATTTGACATGATGATTAATGTTCCATGTGCAGCTTCTTTCTATATTCCATTTCATTTTCATTTTTTAAAGCTAAATAAATACTCCCATGATTAATATTGTCTAAGGTTTATTAATGTTTTATTTTATAATAATTATAATTATCATAAAGGGAGAGAGTTTATTGACTACTGCAAATTAAACTTTGGGCAATTTATATGCACTTAAAAGTCGATGATGGACATAATACATATGGGGACTATTGGACTATGATTTAATTCCATATAATTTACTTTACTAAATGTTGCATTAAAAATATATACAAATTAAAATATAAGCGTTCAGCATTGAATGTAAAAATTCACAATCTCACTCCCTTAGCCGATAAATTCAGGGCGAATATATATTTATTTTACGACGTGAGAATCCTCAATAGCTATTTTTGGAGTCAACCTTTAAAAAAATTACATTTGTACAAATTCATGTACATGCACGTACCATATGATTTATTTTCATTGTGTTATATATATATATATTAAATTTATCAAAATTTCTCACAAAGTTTACATTAAATACATATTTTCATTTAAAATATTATATTCAATTTAAAAAATATATCAAAACAATGGAACAGCAAAAACCTTAAAATACAAATGTTGGGTTTGTGTTGTTTTATGTTTTTTATTAATTATTTTAGTATTGAAACAACTTTTAAATATATATATATATATATAACATTCCATGGCAAGATTGTCATACAAAAAAAAAAAAAAAAAAAAATACAAATTAAATGAAGACAGCTAACAAATACTATTAGCGAAATTTTTGGTGCAAACAGTTTATGTGTACTGTTAAATACCGGACAAAATAAAAGATTCAGATATGATTTTGATTTTGTTTTATTAATTGGCTGTATCAACCAATATTTTTATATAAGATTTTTTTGTTAGGTTTTGGTTTGTTTGAAATTTTTTATTTGAGTTTTGATTTAAATGATATTTTAGTGCTATATTTTATGAGATAAAACAATAATTTTTTAATAAATATCGTACAAGATGAATAGTAGTGATTTTAATTTGTAATAAAATCAAATAAACCCTAAGGTTTGGAGTTTTTTAGAGTTAGCAAAATAATAAATAAAAAGTAAATATTTTATACTATGATGTAAATAGCCATTGAGTGTGATACTTTATTATTATTTTTTTTAACAAAAAAAATATTGTTAATAAATAATGTCAAATTTTTTAAAAATATATGTGAACCTTAAAATTTTTGTTATTGTACTTGTCATATTATTTGTCTAGTCTATTTAGTTTTGATGCATAATTTAATGAAATTTTTATTGTAGCATTAGTTGGTAAATAAATTTACTCTTATTTCAATTTTAATATAAGAATATTAATGTAAATAGGTATAAATTTAAAAATATTTTTAATGTGCAATGAGTTTATAGTTATTTAAATGAAGCGACACATATTCAAAGTTGATGCTGAAAGAAGGTATTGGGCGGTGATGGCGGCGGCGCTGCCGGTGGCGGTCGCCGTCGTGGTGGTCCAAAAAATCATTTCATAATATTACATTTCCTCTAATTAACTTGTCAACACACAACACAACCTGGAGCTTAATTAATCATCAAGTCCCACCAAACTAATCTGGAATTATCAACAAATACAAAATGAATCATTATAATTTATTTTCGTAAAATAAATTTCAATTCACCTTAATCCATAGCTAGCTACCCAATTATTTTTTATCCATAGTATATTTACTTTGACTGATCAAGAAAGATAATAAAGTAAAATTAATTATCCTTTTATCGAAAACAATGGGTTTTTATTATTATTATTATTATTTAAAAAATTCTTGATAAACAAATCCAATGTAAGTATTTAAATTGAATTTAGTTTTATTATCTGAAATGAAATGAAATGAATTGGCATTGCAACAAAAAGGTAAAAACATAACATGATTTTGAAATGACGTGTTTTGGTTCACATTGAAACTTGAAAGTATAGAAATTTGAATTTCATGTGACCACTACTTATTAAATTACAAATTTATTTATTTATTTATATTTGGATTCGACCACAAAAATATTTAGTTAAGTGCCAAACAGCATCCCGAGTGGCGTGCAATTGCATGTTTAATAAAATGCTACTTATTTACACTTCATTTATTATTATTATTATTATTATTCTTAATATTTTTGGCCATATTAGACTGTATCCTTCATTCTCATTGGATTAGTTCAACCATTAATATCACAATAAATAATCAATTTGGTCCATACCTTTCATGTGCCTAATCCACCATTGTACGTGCACATTCACTTTAAATAACAATAATAATAATAATAATAATAATAGCTAATTAAATAGTGTTTAAAAAAATATTTCTTATTTTTTATTTTAAATAATTTTATATTTAAAATGAGAACAGAGAAAATAAAAATATTTCAATTTAAAAATAAAACAAATAATTTGAGATGGATGAAATATTAGTTGGACGGTTGGGTACACATTACAGGAAATATAAATAAATAAATAAATTAGGCCCATTACACAAAAGTAAGCTTAATTTTGCACTAAATTAGAGGCCCATTACACAAAAGTAAGCTTAATTTTGCACTAAATTAGAGGCCCATTACACGGAAAATAAATAAATGGATAAATAAAATATCCTACTTAAATAAACATAAGGCAACCACCTATTACGGATGGCTATGATTGGAGGGATAAACCGCACCTCGATTTACCAAGGTTGACACGTTTTCACTATACAGCTTTTACTAAATTACCCCTACTGTAATTTACCTTATAAATTATCCACTAATTAACAAAGAATCCATTTACTTTGTATGTGGTCAAGTTGCACAAAAATAATTAGCCAATTGGAATGTGTTGGGAATTAAAGCTATTTCAAGAGACATTTAAGTAAATAAAATAACATAAAAATTGCTGGAAGTTCAAGAGCCCTTATAAACTAAATTTCACAAAATGAATAAAATAAATGTAGAAAAATCTTAAAATTCAATGCAACGAAAATATAAAGTAAAATATGGACATCAGAATTTACACTAAAGTCAGCATCTCATTGTGTATCAATCAATCCAAATCGATTTTAAAAAAATAAATATTGAGTGCGACTATGTGAGTAACATCGAATCCATTTCAATCAGAATTTTTTACTTTATTTCAGAACAAAATACATCGTGGGCAAAAAAAAAAATCATTAAAATCAATTCATTAATGAATTATTGTCTCAAAATTAAATATAAAAGATACTATCCCATTGTGTAATTAACGCCTTCATTTATATATTGGATTGAAAAATACTTTGCGGTAAAAGTACAAATATACCCCTGGGTATTACTTTGTAGCATTCAATTTTTAAAGATTTTTATATTACATGCAGTAACTGCAGACATATTGTTTTCCTGAATTAATCAAAAAATAATTCGAAACTTTCCTTAAGAAACATAAATACAAAGGAAAATATACCAAAGACTACAATCAAAATATTGCAATACTATATTTTTTCAAAAATTAAATGATCAATAAATCAGTGGTTACAAATAGATTTACCAAACAAACAACCGAACTGTATATCGATGAACTCAACAGTCAACAACGGAAAAGTCAGAGGGGCAGACTAAGGAGTGGGTGGGTCAAAGCAGGGCAAAATAGTAAATTCGTTGGTGGTGTTGATTCTAGCGAGTGGCGAATTAAAGCGAGAGGACAAAAAAAACGATAAGACAAAATAACAAGGAAAATAATTAAAGCCGAGGAGCGAAGGGACGTTCGTTCGGGGAGTGAGGCACCGTTAACCATCATTTCCACCGTATAGTCTTTCCCTTTTTCGTGAAATCTCGCCTCGTTTCAGAATCGGCACCTGTTCAATCAACGAACCCCTGTTTTTGTCTTGTCGTGGCTTATATTCTTTCAATTCTGGTAGTTTGGTGGATTTTATCGACTTGGTTACAGTTAGCGTTGAGTGATTGATTCCATCGAAGAACTGGGAATTATACGGCTTGATGATCGGCTTTGAGGTTGTGTGTTTGCTGATTATTCAGGCGTGGAAATCGTATTGGTCGTGTTATCAGGTTCGCTGAAAATACCTGAATTTTGCGCCGGTTGTTTTGATTTAATTTATTTGTCAAATTTAGATGAACATTAGGTGGATGAATGATATGTTTGTGTACAATTTGATTAATATAAGATGATGGAATTCTGAATTCTGATTGATGTTAAAAAATTTGGATATGGTGAAACAGAGAGGCTATGCTCAGAGGACAGCATTTAAGATATCTTATGAATTTTATTTGGGGATTTAGGTTTTGATGGATTGAATTTGGAGATCATGGACAGCAATAGCGACTCAGAAGATCAATTCTATGACACTCGCGATGCTGTTTCTTCGGTATCATCCGATTTAGGTTCTGACTGTTCTGAAAGTTATCCAAGTCCTGGGCCAGAGGACAGTGCTCCAGGTTTTGAGTATTCGGCTGAGAGATTGGATAGTGTCAATGAAAGACGACGGCGGTTTTTGAAATGGATGAGTAGCCATTTGGATTCTCAAAATAGTTTTAGAGATGAAGAAGATAATTTATGTTTCATGGACATGAAAAGAGACATTGAAAGATTGAGGGATGATGGAGAGGCAGTGCTGGCTAATACTGATTCAGAATTGAGAATTTTCTCTACTTCTTCCCTACCTTCTCAGTCAGACGACACCACTGATTCACTCGAAGAAGAGGAAGATAATATGCTTTGGAGAATAAAGAACTTAGACAGTGGAAGGGAATTCATCATGGATGAACTGACTGATGACGGCTCCATTTCCAAGTTGAGGGAAGTCGGTTCAAATAATATTATACCATTCCAAGAGCTTCAGAAGTCGCTTACCTCATCAGAGCTTGTACTACAGTTATTGAGGAAAGACTCAACAGGGTTCGGTGCAGATCATCATTCGAAAAGGAAAGGGAAACGCCATTTACTCCAAAAATTTAGTGCCATAACTCGTGTTTCTGACAAGACAAATAGTTCAGTTGATAAGCCGAGTGAAGGCAATCGAAAGACAGGGTCGGCTTCCCAAAGAGTTCATGTTCATGTATCAAAAAAAAAATTTAAGGAACTATCGTCTATTTACAGAGGCCAAGAGTTTTTCGCTCATGAAGGTTCTATATTGACTATGAAGTTCAGTCCAGATGGTCAGTACCTGGCTAGTGCTGGAGTTGACGGTGTTGTACGCATCTGGAAGGTGCTTCAAAACGACATTGTGAACAAATTTAATGCTAGAGATATGGATCCTTCTAGTTTGTACTTCTCAATGAATCACTTATCCAAGGTCTCTCCTTTGGGAGTTCTTAGAGAAAAAGGCACAGCTAATAAGACCACAAAATTATCGTCCAACTCACCTTGCGTTGTTCTACCTGATAAGGCCTTTCACTTGACCGAGAAACCTCTTCACGAGTTCCATGGACATGGGGGAGAGGTGTTGGCTCTCTCATGGTCAAAAAATGGGGTTAGTACTTTCTCCAAAGCCTTTGCTTCTATAAATGGCTGTGGGTACTTTGTTTCCATGTTTAATTGGCATAATTGTAAACATGACTGTTGTGTTTTTTACCTTGTAGCATTTGCTGTCATCTTCCAGTGATAAAACTGCTCGTCTCTGGAGATTGGGGCATGACGAATGTCTAGGGGTGTATACGCATAGTAATTATGGTAAACCTTTCTTCATGAGTGTATATCATGGCTGCATTTATGTAAGTATATATGGCTTCAGGTGTTTAAATTTTGTATTATTCTTGATGCAGTAACTTGCATTGATTTCAATCCCGCGGATGACAATCATTTTATCAGTGGCTCGATAGATGGAATATTACGTGTTTGGGATGTAAATTGTGGTCGAGTGTTTGATTGGATTGATGTTAGAGAAATAGTCACTGCTGTGAGTTACCGTCCTGATGGGAAGGTATGCACGATTAGATTTGTGATACGCTATTATTTATATAAATGCTTACCAACTGACTTCGTTAACCATATCCTTACATATCCAGGGAGGCATTGTTGGCTCAACCGATGGAAATTGCCGTTTTCTTGATATCATAGGTATATATTACCGTATCATTTTTAAGATTTTCCTAATTGTCAAAACATATCGTGATCTCATTTAACATTTTGATTAGATAACCACTTGCAATTGGGTGCGGAGATATGCCTGAAGAGAAAGAAGAAGAAGCTTTCCGGCAAGCGAATAACTGGATTTCAGGTATATTTGTTGACCCTTTTTTCACTCTTATGTATTACGCGATTTCTCAATTTTGTCTTCGCATCGATTGATTTCATTTTATCGATATTACAGTACTTCATGAGCGATATGAGCAGAGTAATGGTGACTTCTGCTGATTCAAAAGTGCGGATCATATGTGGATCCATAGTTGTCTGTAAATTTAAAGGTAGCCGAACTTCAGGAAGTCATGTGCCGGCATATTTCACAACAGACGGCGAGCACGTTGTCTCCGCCAGCGAGAACTCCAACATCCGCGTTTGGAACTACACCCCCGACAACCCAAAATCATCATCCCAACCCAAGAAAATATGGTCCAGCGAGAGCTTTTTGTCGCAGAACACTTCCATCGCCATTCCCTGGTGTGGCCTAAAGAACAAGCTGGTAGCACTCCCGGGAAACATTCTAGGCAACCGGCATTTCGATGATAAGCTTCTCCAGAAGCTACCCGCTTTCCCCGACTGCTTCATAACGAGCCTCGGATTTTTCTTGGATGCTCTGCACAAAGGATCTGCAACATGGCCGGAGGAGAAACTGGTTATATGGAACGAGAAGGAAGACAAGCCTCCACCGTCATCTTCGATAGGTAAATCTGAATTCAAGCTTCTGAAAAACGCGTGGCTTAGCGCCATGAATGCTCCCCATTTGTGGGGGCTCGTGATAGTCACCGCCGGATGGGATGGATGCATTAGAACATTTCTGAATTACGGATTGCCTGTTCGACTTTGAGACGGGGACAGTGACAGGGACAGAGTTTTGACTTAACAGTTAACATTCGTTTGTAGATTGATTGATTGATCGATAGATCGATGATACGCCGCCACCGTCGTCGTCGTCGTCGTCATGGTGGTTTAACAATGTCGGTATAAATTGTATAAAGGCTGGGCATGGCCGAATCAAATTGAAAGTGTGGCTTGGCTGGAGTTTATTAGCTTTGTTTTGCAGTAGTTATATATGGATGGAGAGGAAACAAAGGCATGAAACATAGCTTGCAAAACGTGAAAATTTGCAGGTGTTATATTTTTAGTCAAAAAATATTTTTATTTTTATTTTTTTAAGTAAAAAATTATTATATTTTTATATTTTTTTCAATAAAATAGAAAAGTAACTATTATTACTCAATTTTATATATAAAATAACATAATTGTTAGTTGACGTCATGAAAATAAATAAATAACGATTATATTTTTGCAACATCATGTATTTAGAGAGTCACTTGTATGTATATGAAGGCCCAAGCTATATTTAAAAGAGGAACTATTGAATATGCCAAGATCATAATGGCTGTGTCTTCTGCTAGATAAAATATATTTATTTTGTATTTTTGAATTAATTTTTTATAGATAAAATATAAATGTGTGTTCGCAAATATTTATGGATAATTGTTTTATTAAGAAAAAAAAGTTATTGGTTGAACATATTTATATTTCTCTCCAAAAACATAAAATTAAATATTTTTGTTTGTTTGTTAATATTGTATTAAATGTTAATTTTATATTTAAAATATACATCAATATTTATTTAATATGACATTAAATATCTTTTTCAATTCAATATTATACTATTGAAAATTAATTTAAACTCAATACTCAAGCCAAACGACGCTCAATTATATCCATTCTAGTTATATTACAATATTACCACATGAATTAATTTTATTGTATCAAACATTTGTGGTAAACTATTCTTTTGGTTTCTCATTAATCTTATTATTTCTATTTTAATCATAATTTTAAATTATAATAAAATTTCAATAAAATTAATAGTTACATATATATTATATATAAATATATATACAGATTATTTCTTTGTTTGACTCTTAATTAATAGATTGTTCTTTCTGTTAAAGTTTTACAGCAATGGGAAAGTAAGACTAAAATCAGGCTAACACAATGAAGAAATGACCAGTTTATTTATTAAAAAGTAAGAGATAAAAAATTGATTTCAATATTATTATTTTACTAATATTAATAATAATAATAATAATAATAAATGTATTTAATAACACTTATGTTGCGTTTACCTTGATATTTTTTAAACTTTTTTTTACTTTACAATTCTTATGATTATTTATTAAAATAAATTATTATTTTTCACAAATATTATATCCAATTATTATTTAATTAATATATAATTTTAAAATCAAAATAAACAACCCTTTATTTTTCGTTTAAAATATTTAACAAAGTGTTATTTTCTATTGAAAACATGAAGTATGTTCTTTGATTTTTTATTTTTTTTGTCTTGTTTTTATTTTTTTGATGCAATATTATAAATAAAAAATAATATTCTTTCCATTTGAAACAATGTATTTATTTTGTTATCTATCCGAAATCAATCTATTTGTTTCATTATTTAGTAATTGTCCTACAATAATTTTCTAAAAAGATACCTTACATCATATACATTATTACAATAATGTAATCAACATAATTTACATACACTATATTAAAAAAAGTGTTCCTAAAGGTAAAATTATACATACATCTCTACATTATACTACATACTTATAAAATATTAATATTTTATAATTTACGTAAAAAGAATAAATGAATACATTTGTACCAGACCGGAATATAAGTTTTTATATATATAAAAAAAAAAGATAATGAGTATATAGTAAAAACAAAAAAAAACAAAAAACAAACTAAAAGAAAATACCAAAAGAATCCATGCATCATATATATATATATATACCAAATAATTCCAAAATTATATAATTTTTATTTTTATTTTTTTTAAAATTGATCCCAATAAACATGAGCACAATATGAGTATGTGTATATTTATGTGGTCAACCGTGAGGAGTAGTATTAAAAAGTTGACAAAAGCAGATAAAGAGTAAAAAATAAGTTTACAAGTCAAAGTTGCCATGCATGCATGCAACGGATCAAACTTGTTCTGTTGAATTTCTTACTTATATTTTATGGATAATAATAATAATAATAATAATAATAATAAATAATTAATGGCTAAGAAACCATTGCCATTCATACTTATAATATAATATTATATCATATATTTAACAAATATATAATATTATTAATATTTGACAATTTTATCGTAGTCTACACAAAATTGTATACTCCATTTGTTTTATAAAAGTATATTTATTTTACTATTTTAATTTATATATGCAAAGTATCCTTATACTATATATAATAGGAAAGAAAAAAAAAAAAAGTAGAAACCGTTTTTAATATTGTGTTGGTTTACTCAAAATCCTTTTAATCTTTTATTTTAGTCTATCCACTAAAATCTTCTTATTTGTTTTTTTGCTAAAAAAATAAAATTGCATCCTATATAAATACAAAAATATATCTACTCACATAATTTTTTTTACACAAAAAAAAAGACAAAATTATTTTTGCATACATCGTTTGTACAATATTTCAATAAAATATTAATATTTTTTAAATTTGCGTGTTAAAAGTAAATAAAAAAATTCTTAGTGGACAACGGAAGTATTTGTTGGAATAGTAGTGATGAATCCGAGATGTGACGAGAAAATCAAATCACCAAATCTGATAACAATTTTGTATATCAGATTCAAATATAGATAGATCCGAGCCTCGAGTGGAATACGATTTCCTTGAAGCGAATTCGGCCCTCCACCGATCACTTCCAAGGATAGAACGAATTATAACAGAATGACAGATTCCACAAACCGAAATAGAGAACTTTTGGAAGCAAATTTGTAGAGAATTTTCTAAATATTTAGAAGGGAGAGGTTTTCCGTGTGTGTATATATATATATATATATATATAAAGGAGGTATATAATATATATTAGATTTTCCTGGGAAGCGATCGGTGAAGGGTCGAATTCGCTTCAAGGAAATTGTGTCCCACGCGAGGCTCAGATTTATCTGTATCTGAATCTGATATACAAAATCATTATCAAATTTGGTTATTTGATTTTGTCGCCACATCTCAGATTCATCACTACTATTTTGAAAGCAAATTTGCATAGAATTTTCTAAATATTTAAAAGGAAGAGGTTTTCTGTATATATATTAAAAAAAAGGACATTATTTTGTATTTAATCACGTGTAGAGAAAAAAAAATTGTCCACGGTTCTACTGCACGTTGCATTCAGTTGCAACAAACTATTTATTTAATTATTTATTTTTTAAATAAAATAAATTAATCAAATAAAATGTGGGACATATAATTTATTATACCCAACAGTATTATATTTCTATTTAGTTACGCACTTACACTATTGTCACCCTTTTGCTTTGATTAAAGGGTAAACTATTTTTTTAAGTCTCGTAACTCGACCTTCTTATTATTTTAGTCTCGTAAGTGGAGTATGTCGCAAACTAGTCTCATAAGTAAAGATTTTTCGCTGTTTTAGTCCTCCGGCGCTGGAGATATCCGCGTGGCTCGCCGGAGGTTACGTGTCCGCCAGGTCACGTGGATTTTGTTTTTTATTTTTATTTTTTAATTTTTTTAAAATTTATTTTTAATTTTATTTATTTGGTCCAATTAAAAAAAAAAAAAGAAAAAGTCCACGTGTCCGCCAGATGTCGCTGACCTGGCGAGACAACTGGCGGACACGGGGCTTCCGGCGAACCACGCGGGTGTCTCCGGTGCCGTAGGATTAAAACAACGAAAATTTTTCACTTACGAGACTAATTTGCAACATGCTCCACTTACGGGACTAAAATGATAAGGGGTTCAGTTACGGGACTAAAAAAAACAGTTTAGCTTAATTCAAAAGTTATACTGTTACTAATTCTATAAAAATAATAGTAAATTATTATTTTTTTTTTAAATTATATAAGACTGGGAAGGCCAGGATCGAGTATATATATATAGTTAAATTGAAGATTGTGATATAAGATCTATGTATATAAAGTAAAAAATTATTGAATAATAATTTACTATTCACTTATTATCAATCAATTTTTTTCATTATGTTAATTAGTTTATCATATGATATTTCTACAATTTTTTGTGTTGATAATATGTAGTAATTCTCAATATAAAAAAAAATTGTTTAATTATATAATAAATATATTGAATCATATTTTCGATATCTTAATCTAAAAAAAAAAAAAATTAATATTATCTTAAATTATAGTATAAAAAAATTATTGAATTGCACAAGAAAAGAAATTTGTAATCATATTAATTCAACAATATTGAAATTATTATAGTATTAATTTGACAGTGCACCCGCACGCACACTAAAGTACTTTGAAGCCGTACGTACCATACACATACACACCTACCAAATTCTGACACTGGACTTTGACTTTTCTATTGGATAATAATCATAACATATATTGATATTGCATTTTTTAAATAACCCGTGTGTGAAAATAGACTTACCATTGTTAACCTAATTGTCGATTCTTACCCAGACAACTCACATACTTTGGTATTTTATGATGTCAAATATGCACGAATTTTAATAAAAATAAATAATTATTATTATTTTTTTCTTTTATAGTAAAAAAAAAAAACAAAAACATAATAATTTTTTACTTAAAAAAGAAACGAAAATATTTTTTAATGACAATCGAAAAAGAAAAGTGAGCATAGATTTAAATGAAGGAGTAGGTAATAATAATGGTTGTAAAATGTTCAAAATTTCAAATTTGCAAGGCTTTAACTAACATTTGTGGAATTACTCGGTAGCCAATGTTTGACCCAATAATAATTGGATTGTTTTGTATGGTTATAAATTGAGTTATGATATATGGTATATATTTTAAAAGTAAAATTTCATATTTTAATAAAATATATTTAAAATAGACATTGTCATATATATATATATATATATATAATTGTTGTCCTAAATGTGGGCAACTTTTTTTGTTTTGTTTTTTTTTTTTTTTTATCAATAATGATATATATAATATTCATTTATGTGTGTGTACACTAATTTGGATACTAATTCAAACATTTTCTTTGTGGT